TTCACAGTATAATGCTCGAGTCGATTTCAGAGCTTTGAATGAAATGGACCTATGTGTAACATATTCAAGATGGCAACCATAAAGCTGTGCAAAAAAACTGATCATAATGTAAATGTTATTTATTTCAGCAAATATACAAATCAATTTCTTGGACGCAGGCTTGATATTTTGACAAATTTTGCCATTTCAAGTTGAGTTTCAGATGTTTTAGTACAGCTAGTAGTTAAGGTGAATTTGCAGGGGGCACCACCGAAGGTAAAAGACGAATTCACTTACTAACATTTAATTCATACATCACTTAGCTACCTAAGTTTCCAATTTACAGAAAATGTCCAAATGCGAATCGTCCAAATCGTATATGAATGGCTTGAAATGAACAGGGACCATGCATTCACAGAAATAAATTATATTCCAATTACATACTTAAGATTCTCTTACAGAATACCCAAGTTAATATATATGGAAATGTCCCACCTTGTAACAATGTCCCTGAGAGGTTATTGTAAGTTCATGTCATTCAAAGAATATTTCTGCCTACTACTATTTTAAACGTAGAATTTTTGTATTTTTTACTTGTGGCTAACTTTGCATAGAATCGCCAGGTGATGAAGGGAGGATGTAAATCATCCTGGGGTCCATGCAGGTAGCAAAGGTACTGTAAGTCCCCATGGTCCCCAGTATGGTGGTCTACCTTCAGTTGCTGACGATCTATAGCCCGTTTTTATCTTGTATCGATATGTATAGTGCTATTCTCTTTTATGATTCCGTACTAGTTTTACATCTTTTTCTGTGACAAATCTAGTTACTTTACTGTCCTTCGTTGAAAGGTTTTTATATAAGTGTCAATATATGTATTATGATTAACTATTGATAGTCACGATATGGCTGAAACATTGCCGATTTGACTTAATATTTTAACTCACTAACTCACTCACTCACTCATTGTAACAATGTCATCACCGTGATTATGTGTCTTTTGAGGTTGAACTGTTGTGACTGAGACCAACAACGTATACAACCGGGAACAACTCGAAGACAGCTTTGACATCTCAACCTAAACGGAAACGTATCCCCAGGGATCCAGAGCCAGTGTGCATCATACACGTACCTGGCTTGAAGTATGGCCCACTACAAAGTCTGAGCAAAGCCAAAGATCCTGATGAGAAGATGGAAAAGCTGAAGGAGCGATCAAGCGTAGAAGGATGGCAGAACCTCCAGAAACGCCAAATCAAATGGAAGTGTCATGTACAAGCCTGCCGGCAGTTCTGGAAGAAACCCATGGCTATCACAGAGAATATTATCAGCGTTTTACAATGAACCTTGACCGTTTGAAACAACCTGAAATTGAATCTTTGGAACTAGCTTGCCGCCCAATTCGGCGTCCATCCTATGAGCCCATCATCTTCCAACCTGACTGCATCTTTTGTACTTCGTATTCATGAAAGAAATTCAAGTCAAAAGGAAGCTGGACAACAGAAGGGCTCACAAACTTCAGTCGGGATGGATGGCAGCATGTCGTTGAAGTAGCTCAACGTCAAAACGATGAGCCTCTCCTGCTGCGGATCAGAGGGAAGAAACTATTTGCCTGTGAAGCAAATTATCACAAGTCGTGCCGAACTGGTTACTTACAGATTCCTGAGAAATTTCGGAGCTCTCAACCTTAGGAACACCTTAGACAGCATGAAATAGAAGAGGCACACAAGAAAGCAATGATATCAGTGTCGGAAGTTATCAACAGCAAGAAACTGTAAGAGAAGACTACTGGAGTACCAAGTTAAAGAAGAAAAGTGCAAGCGTGTCATTCGAACCTAATTGGTAGTCGTTTCGTATAGCTGAGTCAACATTAATCTGTTGTACACGATAAATGATTGGAAATGTCCCATGTGACAATTTTCTTCTTTAACTTGGTACTCCTGTAGTCTGGGTTTGGGTGTGCAGTGTCCTGAAGACTATATGTATACACCTTTAGTAGATCTTCTTCTCTTTCAGTATCTTGCTGTTGATAACTTCCGACGATTGAGAGCTCCACCATTTCTCAGGAATCTGTATGTAACCAGTTCGGCACGACTTGTGATATTTTGCTTCACAGGTAAATAGATCCTTCCCTCTGATCCGCAGCAGGAGAGGCTCATCGTTTTGACGTTGAGCTACTTCAATGACATGCTGCCATCCATCCCGACTGAAGTTTGTGAGCCCTTCTGTTGTCCAGCTTCCTTTTGACTTGAATTTCTTTCATGAATACGAAGTACAAAAGATGCAGTCAGGTTGGAAGATGATGGGGTCATAGGATGGACGCCGAATTGGGCGGCAAGCTAGTTCCTAAGATTCAATTTCAGGTTGTTACAAACTGTCAAGGTTCATTGTAAAACGCTGACAATATTCTCTGTGATAGCCATGGGTTTCTTCCAGAACTGCCGGCAGGCTTGTACATGACACTTCCATTTGATTTGGCATTTCTGGAGGTTCTGCCATCCTTCTACGCTTGATCGCTCCTTCAGCTTTTCCACCTTCTCATCAGGATCTTTGGCTTTGCTCAGGCTTTGTAGTGGGCCATACTTCAAGCCAGGTACGTGTATGATGCACACTGGCTCTGGATCACTGGGGATACGTTTCCGTTTTGGTAGAGATGTCAAAGCTGTCTTCGAGTTGTTTCCGGTTGTATAAGATGTTGGTCTCAGTCACAACAGTTCAACCTCAAAAGACACATAATCATGGTGATGACATTGTTACAAGGTAGGACATTTCCATATATATTAACTTGGGTATTCTGTAAGAGAATCTTAAGTATGTAATTGGAATATAATTTATTTCTGTGAATGCATGGTCCCTGTTCATTTCAAGCCATTCATATACGATTTGGACGATTCGCATTTGGACATTTTCTGTAAATTGGAAACTTAGGTAGCTAAGTGATGTATGAATTAAATGTTAGTAAGTGAATTCGTCTTTTACCTTCGGTGGTGCCCCCTGCAAATTCACCTTAACTACTAGCTGTACTAAAACATCTGAAACTCAACTTGAAATGGCAAAATTTGTCAAAATATCAAGCCTGCGTCCAAGAAATTGATTTGTATATTTGCTGAAATAAATAACATTTACATTATGATCAGTTTTTTTGCACAGCTTTATGGTTGCCATCTTGAATATGTTACACATAGGTCCATTTCATTCAAAGCTCTGAAATCGACTCGAGCATTATACTGTGAACCTCTTATATGCATACAAAAGTGAGTGATATCAGAGTTGTCAAGAGGTATTCTATATGATTGTCCAAAAGTAGATCAATAATCAGCCTACATCAAATTATGGTGTTTATATATGGTTTCCTATGGCATATAACACATCAAGGTCGGTGAATAACACACAAGATGACAAGCCAAATCCTGAGCATACATCCAAGTGTTGTTCCGATGTAGCTAAGCCGAGAATGCAATATTAGGTATCCTACTCTGACATTATAAGAGTAAATTTGTTCCAAATTGTGCAAAAGATTTTCACCTGGTAACATCACATGTTAAGTAAGTACTTCAAGAGATGTACTTGAACACGTGTTAGACGATTATAGTGGAATCAGGCACACGTACCTAGAACATATACCGGATTAAAGGTTTCTGCGAGAAAAAAATAGTTTTGTCGGGATATATGACGTTCAATTTGCCATGGGTTGGTCCATATTCACTCAATACCAATTATTGATACCTCATTGGAGAGGTATTTATATATGGATTCCAGTGGTATATCACACTTGAAGATCAGTGGATCACTAGTGAGATGACAACCCAAAACGTAATCATACCCCCAAGTGATATACGGCAAAACCGGGCGAAAACGCGATGTAGGGTACCATACTTTGAAAGGCTGTAACAACAAGTTCGTCCCAACTTTTTTCTTGTTAACATTCAAAATCATGTTTAGTATGTTTATGGGCTTTAAAAAAATAAAGTGGGGTTTGGATGTGGGGGGGGGTGCTCGTGGGTCATACCTAGCCCACGGCCTATATGTGATGATGCCATTGAAGACCCGGGTTGGAATAGGTCTTCAGCAACCCATGCGTTTCGTAAGAGGCGACTGTGTCATTGTATCCCATTGGATTGTCTGGTCCATACTCGATAGTTACAGGCCACTGTCTTATAGCTTGAATATTGCTGAGTGCAGCGTTAAACAACACAAACTTGTTTCATGTGAAATCTTGAGTTCTTCTTGAACAAATTTCAGTGATGATGCAGGTTTTGTTGGTATTTAAGACAATGTGAGCCTTGTTGACATGACACAAAATTGTGGTCATCCAACTGTGCAGATTTGATTATTTACATGCCTTTATGACACAGCTGGAATATTGCCGACTCGGGTGTTCATTAAACAAAGAAGAATCTGATAACACTATACAGGCCTCATCTTCCTGAGGCAAGTCCAGTTTGCACCCTTGCCAAACTTGGCTTGCAGTTTTAATTTGCTGGACTAACGAGTCTATGCAAAGTCCAATCAAAATCGCAATGGCAAAATTGACATCCTGCTCGTAAACAAAACGGCAACTGCTGTGCAGATTTCGGTTGATTGCAGGATTTGCAAAGCATGTGTACCATCAACTGGGCGTCAGCATATATTTTCCAAATCTTTTCATGTTTTTAATCAACATGCTCCAGTGATTTGATGCATTTACGAGGTAAGACCCGTTCGGCAAGGGTGGAAACTGGACTTTCATTGTTAATAACCTCGGGAAGATGTACAGGCTTCTGTGGGAAACAAGGGTGCCACTGTAGCATTCATGACTGTACTCACTTCCATTAATTCACTGGGGTGATTTGGTGTTTTTGTCAAGATCAGTTTGTCTCAACTAATAATAGTTGCGAATAACTTCTTGTATGGTCCATGAACCCCTTCTGGGTTTCAGGGCTGTCAGAGTGGTTAGTGCTTTCAGTCAATGTGTCAAACAGTGTACAAGTCATGTACTACACTCCTCATTCTGTGATTGCTATGAAGTTTTGAATGTGATATTTCAGGAGAGAGAAAGGGAAGAAAGCCAAAAGAAGGGGGTAGAACCTATGAAGCCCAAGGCCACAGCCACACAGGTTGGTGTTTCCACCTTGATTTGTAGCATTTCTTAGGGATTCAAGACACACTCTGGCGACTCAGCATAACAGCACTGCCACAGGCTAATTTGCATATCACGTGACCAGACTTTTCTCTTTCTTGTAAACAAACACGCTTTTTCAGAAATCAGTATAGAACGGACTAATAGAGGATATTTAATGTGTTTTCTCAAATACCACTTTTATCTCGACTGAAGTGGGGAGAGTCTAATATTTTCACGAGTGACGCAGTCACTCGTGAAAATATTAGACTCTCCCCACTTCACGAGATGAGATAAAAGTGGTATTTGAGAAAACACACTGAATTTTCTATTTATTATATACATGTTTTATTTTTATTACTTGCAATTTATATATTTTTTTGAAAACAGTGTCTGATAAAATAAGTAAGTTCTCCCTGTCGCCCCTTTACCACCGCCGTATAAAGGGGGTTTGCGAAAAGAATATAGTCCGTGAATAAAACTAGCCCTGTTAATATATGTTATGCGAAATATATTATTTCATATCGAGTATTAAGTTCCGTGGACATTTTTGTTTGTCATAATTAAACAGTCCTGTTTAAAATGAAAACTGAAATCATTTTCAAACAGCGATTATTTTATTGGCATAGGAATACATAAACAGTTAGTACTGTGGTCATGTCGAACGATCAGCTGAGCGGTCTCCAGGCTTACAAAATCCGCCAAATTTGATCAAATTTTCTCACAGATAAGTATGAAAGTTGACATAAACACATTTATAGAACCCCGAACATTTTAACTGAAACATTGTTGCTTGCTGTCAAGAATTGAATTAGGAAAGTTCAATTCTCGGAAAATTCAAGTGGGCGCTTCGTCTCGCTGTCGCCAGTTGTGCCTAATGTCTGGCGAAGCATGTCCGGCGCAAGGGTGATATTAACATTGCCATAGATGTTATTACCAGACATCAGACTCGTCAAAAAGTTCCTGTGGTCAGTTGAAGAGAAGTTATGCACCTGCGGTTGAGACTGAGTACAGTCGGCATCCGGCACCTTGTTTATGTCAGTCGCTAGTGACTGATATAACTTTTTTATATCATTCTTTGTGGAACGGGTCCCATGAAACCTTTTCACCAACTCGAAAAAGGCACTAATTTGGTGTTGTAAATTAAGGGTGCTCAGTCTGCAACTTTAGCCATCAGTCTTAAGCCAGTGTCTCGTAAAGTTCTGTATCATTTCATAACCTTAGCTTATATCAGTCCATATAATACCGGTAACAATGAAACTGACTAAAGTTGATGTTATGGCCAAGTTGCAGCAGTAGACTGTAAGATTTGGGGCTCAAACTGGTGTCTTCAGACCCACTGACATTTATGTTTTGAAGATTAGGGCGATGACAAGGACCTCTTGACTTTATTTCCTGACACTGCTGACAGATTGACAGTACAAGATGCTGTATAGGGCCTCGCTCCCTGAGATTGCATCAGTTCTGTTTCCACTTAAGGCTGCCGATGCCCCGTGGATGTCGTCCGAGTTGAAAGTACTCCTGGTGGCTAAGGCCCGCAGTCACAAAAAGGCCAAGGATAAGAACACTCCAGAAACCTGGGCTAAATTCAGAGCAGCTCGGAACCTTTTCATTTGTAAGACTCGACAGGCCAAATTAAAGTACAATTTACAGAAAGCATTGGATGATGGGAAGGTAAATGTTTAGCGTATTGAGTGTGGTTGTGTTTTCAGTATCGCAAATATCTCCGCAAGAAGGTTCAGCAGCAGAGGGAGGAGGATGTGAGTATTCAAGTGTAGAAAGTAGACGTTCTCACAGTTGCAATTTGGGAAATGTTCATTTGGATGTGTGGGAACACTCAAATTGCGCAAAATATTCTGAGTATTTACATTGCTTTACAACTCAATTCCCACTATGTCTTATTTCTAGTGCATTTTCCTTTTTATTGTTTACATAACAATGTCAATTTAAAAATTCTCCTGAAATTCTCCTGATGAGTCAAAGCACAAAATGAATTGCCACACTTCCTTTGAAAGTTGAAGTAACCACAAATTTGCATTTTGTAACCTATAATTGTACATATAATTGTTTTTAAATGCCTAAATGCAATGACTAGTCTATAAATGTTCGCTTCCACACTGAAGCAGCCTTCAAAATGTGAGTTCAAATCAGGAGGTTTTTTTGGTGATTTAATAACCTTTGATAGACCAATCAGAATTGAATAATGTATAAAGTCATGGTAGAATGCATGTTATTTGCAGTTGTCAAGACCTCTAAAGTGTGATGAGAATATGCAAGATAAGTTCTCACCCATATTGAATAAAACCAACGATCCTTCTCTTGTATCTTTTTACAAAATGTCAGATAGTTATGAAGTTTTCACTTAGATTGTCCAGATCCTACATCATTCACTTTAGGATTTTTAGCATGGAAGAAATTTATCGTTTCATACTTCAGGGAACCTTTCCAGCCTATGAAGAGGACAAAGTCATCGGTAAGCTGATTTTTAAAGTTGCCTAAAAGAAATGGATGGTCCACATCAAATAGATTGCAGAGTTAGATCACTTTGTTAAGCCAGGGTCTTGTTGTAGTAAGTTTGAAACTCATATTCGCCTCAGTAATGCTCCTAGGTAAGTCAGCACTGTACTGTTGGTTGGTTGGTTTGTTGTTTAACGCCGCACCTAGCAATATTCCAGCTATATGATGGCGGTCTGTAAATAATCAAGCCTGGACTAGACAATCCAGTGATTGATATCATGAGCATCGATCCACGCAATTGGGATGGATGACATGCTACAACCAAGTCAGCGAGTCTGACCACCCGATCCTGTTAGTCGCCTTTTACGACAAGCACAGTCGCCTTTTACGGCAAGCATGGGTTGCTGAAGACCTATTCTACCCCGGATCATCATGGGTCCAGCACTGTACTGATACTTGAAGGTTTCTCTGTGGGGGATATTTCTTAGAATATCGATCGCTGTTTTATTCTCGACCAGACTTGATTATATACCAACTGGGCCTGATAGGTGAGATCACAAATCAGTAGTAAGTAAAATGTGGGCCTCTGTCATTAGTTTTTTTTTGTTTTAGTCAGTGTAGAGCACGCACGAATAGCAAATGTATCAAGTTGAATAAATTCTTTTTTAAAAATGTCATTGTATCCCAATTGTGGGGTTCGATGCTCATGATGTCAATCACTGCATTGTCTGATCTATTCTCAATTATTTACAGACTGCCTTCACACACTTTGCAACAAAATTTATCTTGACTATCGTATTTACTCTCAATGTAACTGGTTAAGCTGTTTGATAGTTATGTAACTGGAATTTAGAATCTAATTTCTGCCCATACAACCTTATTCAATCAACTTCTCATACCCCATAATATACAGGGAACACCAGGTAAGAATGTAGGTCCCATTCATCCTATGCTTGTTGTAAGAGGCGACAAAATGGATCGGGTGGTCAGGCTTGGTGACCTGGTAAAAGTGGTTAATTGCATGTCATCGTATCCCAATTACGTGGATTGGTTCTCATGATGTCAGTCACAGGATTGTCTCGTTCAGACACAACTGCCGTCATATAGTTGGAATATAGCTGACTGTGGCATTAGACAACAAACAAATACCCGTAATATACCGCTGAAATGAAGCCCATCTCGTCATGGTTTCAACTTTACTTAGTCAGTGTTTTCAATGGCAGCTGATAGTGTACTGTATGGTTCTGTTTAGGGAGGAAATACATTGAGAAGGTGGAAGGCTACTACTGCCAGAAGTGTCGCAGGTTCTTCCGGGAGGAGTCAGAGGCAACCATAGAACACTGCATGACGTGGGCACATTACCAGAGGATCAAGGTATGTGACACTGTGATGCTAAAAGCGACATAAAAGGTCACTCACTCACTAGTCCTTTTCTGAGGCTCTTTACAAGCACAATGAGTGGTACTGTGAGAAAGCCTCCAATAGTCTGCTATTATCCTTTCAGAATACAAAGTTCCCGAAGGAAGAAGACAAGAAGAAGGATGGGGAAGCTGGAGGAGATGAGGCAGTAGAGATGACTGCGGACATGAAGACTGATGCTGCTGATGCACCGCTGGATGAGGAGCAGTTGCTGAAGGAGGACGATGAGTGATGCCGACCTGATGAAGATCTATTGGTGAAAAGTTGAGATGATTTGTACAAGTTCATGTCGCAGCATTGAAGGCCTCAACAACTTTTGCGACTAAGGAAAATTCAGTGAATGAATTTCTGTGTACCTGTGACCCACATGATGGATGTAAGCTATGATAGTGTACAGCATGTATCAGTCATGTGGAGACAGCATGTGTAACATGCTTCAGTGTATATGGACAAAGGTCGGGTAGCCAAGTGGTTGAAGCTATCGTTGGTCACATCGAAGACCCTGGTTCCATTCCCATGTGGTTACAGTGTGTGAAGTCCATTTCTGGTGTGCCCTGCCATGAAATTGCTGGAATATTGCTAAAAGTAGAAAACTATACTCACTCACTCACTCACAGCTGTGTCTTCGAACTGTCCATTATTTGGCATGGTCTTATCCATCATTGTGCATGGATTGCTTTGTTAGAACCTCTGTCAAGTACTTTGAAATAACAGCTGTTGCATGTCCATCATTTCTTTGTTCATTTTTTACTTTTGTTGATTATGAAGGTTATATACTTTGTTCGGATGACAGTTTCATTTCATTTCTCAAATATCATTGTCACATCATTAAACTGTCCAAGTTGCAACATTATTGTAAAATGTACAAAATCAATGAATTTGAATAGAACTATTTGTGTTATTTTCTGTTTTCAACTGTGTCTTCACTGTAGATGGGGCTCAGGTAAACATTGTGGCCTAAGACGTTGTACAGGGTTGCATCCCTTAGCCATGCCAGAATCTGATGTTTGAGGGTTTGTCCCATATTCACATTGATTATTGGTTTATCAGAACATACAGGTCAACCTTTGTCAATTGGGCTTTCCTCCCTCCTTAAGGTATCTTCCCGAGACAAGGTAGTTAACTGACTATAAAAGTCCAGTTTCCACCCTTGCCGAACTAGGCAGGAATTATGGAGTTACATTTTAGCTGGACTAACGAGTCTATGCACAGTCCATTCAAAATCGCGCACCAAAATTGAAATGGTTAGTAAACTGTCGTGCAGATTTTGGTCGATTGCAGGATTTGCAACGCATGTGCAACGCCAACTCGTCAACAGATAATTTCCAAGTCTTTTCATGTTCATACAGGCCTCATTCAGTGGTCGCTATGGTCTCCACTTGCCCTTTTCTGTACCCTACATTCCATGCGGCTTGTTCCAGAATGACACCAGTAAGGCAAGAGTGTCAGCAGCCATATTGAAACCTTGTCAAGGCACCTCCGTTTATCTTTACCAGGTGAAAGAAATATTTTTGGTTTTTTCCTTGCTCTAAATATGCATTGCAAGTTCAACATTCTTGTTACGATAAGCATTCACACTAGCCTATCTGTTTTCTGTATCTGAAAACAACAAACTTAAGAGGACCGGTTCCGAATGTTAATAATTAAGGCTGCGCCTATACTGCAGCTTTTTTATGCACTCTACTTTCTGAGTGGCAAACTTGAGTTACATCGTTTGTTAAAATTGAAAAATTTCGAATCAGGTTGAAGAGAAACGAAGCTGAATTGTTTTTATCCCCCGCCGCGCGAAAGCGCGAAGCGGGGGATATAGTATTCACGACCGTCCGTACGTCCGTCCGTACGTCCCACCTGTTTGTTGCCGCGATATCTCAAGAACTAAACACTGGATTGTCTTCATATTTGGAACTATGGTGTATATACAGACTCCGCAGACACCAGTCAGTTTTGGTGACCTTGACCCCATTTTAAAGGTCACAGCAGGCATATCTGCTTTTGGAGTTGGAAAACAGTGTTGCTGCGATATCTCAAGAACTAAACACTGGATTGTCTTCATATTTGGAACTATGGTGTATATACAGACTCCGCAGACACCAGTCGGTTTTGGTGACCTTGATCCCATTTTCAAGGTCACAGCAGACAAATCTGCTTTTAGAGTTGGAAAACGGTGTTGCCGCGATATCTCAAGAACTAAACACTGGATTGTCTTCATATTTGGAACTATGGTGTATATACAGACACCGCAGACACCAGTCGGTTTTGGTGACCTTGACCCCATTTTCAAGGTCACAGCAGGCAAATCTGCTTTTGGAGTTGGAAAACGGTGTTGCCGCGATATCTCAAGAACTAAACACTGGATTGTCTTCATATTTGGAACTATAGTGTATATACAGACTCCGCAGACACCAGTCGGTTTTGGTGACCTTGATCCCATTTTCAAGGTCACAGCAGGCAAATCTGCTTTTAGAGTTGGAAAGCGGTGTTGCCGCGATATCTCAAGAACTAAACCTCTCAATTGTCTTCATATTTGGAACTATGGTGTATATACAGACACCGCAGACACCAGTCGGTTTTGGTGACCTTGACCCCATTTTCAAGGTCACAGCAGGCAAATCTGCTTTTGGAGTTAGAAAACGGTGTTGCCGCGATATCTCAAGAACTAATCGCTGGATTGTCTTCATATTTGGAACTATAGTGTATATACAGACACCGCATACACCTGTCAGATTTGGTGACCTTGACCCCATTTTCAAGGTCACAGCAGGCAAATCTGTTTTTGGAGTTGGAAAACGGTGTTGCCACAATATCTCATGAACTAATCGCTGGATTGTCTTCATATTTGGTACTATGGTGTATATGGCGGGGGATATTTCGTCACTCTGTGACAAATACTTGTTGGAAGCTAACATCTGATTGGCTGAAGAACATGCGCATCCTTCACGTAAGATGCTTTATGTAAGTTGAAAGTAACATAATTTAGATTTTGAAGTCTGGATCTGCATGCAGAGGTTGGTGTCAGAGTAAGACTATTTCTTAAGGAGATAACACATCACTTGCACATCTTCAAACATCCTTGATTATCCACAGTAATTATATCTCCATTCGTCATGATATAGGTGAGTGAGTTAAAATTTAAGGTCGCATGTGCACTATTTCAGCCATGGAGCGACAAGAACAAGTTGCTACGAATATTGCTACACAACTGAGTCATTCATACAACGTTATATTTAAAACCAAATTTGTAAAACATATTTTATGATAATATTTTTTACAACTGTGAAGATCTGGGGTACTATATATCTGCAACAACCCATGCTTGGCGTCAACGACAACTATTCTTGTAAGAGGCGACTAACGGGATCGGGTGGTCAGGCTCGCTGACTTGGTTGATGCATGTCATCGTATCCCAATTGCGTGGATCGATGCTCCTGAGGTCAATCACTGGATTGTCTGGTCAGACCGCCGTCATATATCTGGAATAGTGCTGTGTGCGGCGTTAAACAAAAACAAACATACAACTGTTTAAAACACGAAGCTGGGACACTTCGCGTCCAACAATATACTCAAGCAGGATTTAAGTCATCACTTTAGTTACTGGTGGTTGTGCACAGTACTAGCCAATATTAAAAATGCTCAGCAATAGGTTGGCTTGAAACACTGGTGGATAATGTTTGCATTGATTATTATAGGAATTACGTTTCACACGGGGACAATAATTTGACCGTACTTTAACCTCCAGAGCAGAGCCTTCGAAATAATCTTTGTTGATAAAAGCATCACACCAATTTTGAAAACAAGCAAATTTATTATTCACATACATACTTAAAATTTATGATATACAGACCAACTTCTTTCAAGTAGCTGAGAATTCGATGCCCGCTTACAGGGGGGGAAATCTCAGATTTACTGTTGCCTGTTTACTGTGAATCCCTTGTGAAAAATATGCTTGACGGTGAACCTTTCATCACAAGTGATACACTTCGTCCTCGTTTTAAGCATATATTTGTGGGTAAACGACTGTGGCCAATACGACATGGTCGTAAAACGACTTCATCATCACTAGGTATGACCGATTTTTGGTTTAAATTCGTGAAGTTTATTGATTTCTACCGGGGTGTCCCACCTTTTCTTTTCTTCCCTAGACCCCGATTATAACTTGGTTGGTTTGAAATCACGGGATAAGAAGTGGAGATAAAGGTTTGTCAAGAGCTGCTTTAGCTGCAGCATCGGCATTTGAGTTACCTGTTATGCCCACATGACTTGGTAACCAGCAAAAGACGATGTCACGTTGGTCAGTGGAAAGATCATTGAAAAGTTCTAAAATGTCTAGTATGATAGGGTGATTCGAGGAGACACTTTTAAGTGCCTGAAGGCAAGACAATGAATCGTAAAAGACCATGATTTTTTTTATTGGTTTTGTTGTACAATACACGTCAAAGCTGTTGAGATATCTTTGGCATCAGCAGTGAAGATTGAACCAGCATGTGGGATTATTGAGAAGAGTTTTGGATCCAATAATGCTGACACTTGCAACTTTGCCACCATCTTTTGATCCGTCTGTGAAAATGGACCTTTGAGAATTATATTTTGTTCGTACTTGGTTATATTCTTGTTGATATAACAAAGATTTGTTTCGGGCTTTTATTAGCTGGGTGAGAGTGAGGTCTACCTCTAGCTTCACCTTCTGCAAGGGCGGAGAAGACAGAAGTCGGTAGAGTGATATAATATTTAGATCTATTTCAGCTGAAGTGGTGTGTGGTTGAATTCTGGTTCGAAGTGGTTGAGACCCGTGAAGATCCGGGGTAGAATAGGTCTTCAGCAACCCATGCTTGCCGTAGGAGGCAACTAATGGGATCGGGTTGTCAGGTTCGCTGACTTGGTTGATGCATGTCATCGGTCCCAATTGCGTGGATCGATGCTCATGATATCAATCACTGGATTGTCTGGTCAAGACTCGATTATTTACAGACCGCCGTCATATAGCTGGAATATTGTTGAGTGCGGCGTTAAACAACAAACCAACCAACCAAGTGGTGGAACCAGGTTTGACAAATTTCGAAACAGGTTTTCATACAGAGGGTTGAAAACACGATCATATGCTGGGTTTGACTGATTGGGATGCAATTTAGTCATGTATTGCAGTGATAGTTTAATGCGGCGTTCTTCGAGATAAGGTTCGTCAGCTTCCACATACAAACTGTCCACAGGAGAGGACCTTAGAGCTGCTCCAAGACAGAGATTTAGGCCTTGGTAGTGTATAGTGTCTATTTTTTTCAATGTTGTTTGTGGAGGGTCCACCATAAACAATGGAACCAAAGTCTAGTTTAGAGCGTATTGGTGACATGTACCGTCATGATATACATACCCAGAACCCTATACGGCATTACCGCTTGTCGCTGTCTCAATCATCATGGGGCGGTCGGGTAGCCTACTGGCTAAAGCGTTCGCTCGTCAAGCCGAAGACCCGGGTTCGATTCCCGACATGGGTACAATGTGTGAAGCCCATTTCTGGTGTCCCCGCCGTGATATTGCTGGAATATTGCTAAAGGCGGCGTAAAACCATACTCACTCACTCACTCACTTAATCATCCATCCATGTTGCTAACTGGCATCGAATGATGCTGATGTAGCTGATGGCCATCTTCCCGAGGCAAGGTAGTTAAAAGTCCAGTTTCACAGTTGCCGAACTTGGCTGGGATTATAGAGTTTAAATTTTGACTGGACTAACATAGTCCAATCAAAATCGGGAAACAAAATCAACATCCGGTTCGTAAACTGCCTTGCAGATTTGCAGATCTTGCCTCGGGAAGATGCTTATAGCTTGGAATCAACAACCAATCAAAACTACTCTTCTGTATGGAGTTCGGCATAGACATTCGAAACAGCGAGCTCCACGTTCGAGCGAAACCTCAATCTATTTCAAACAAAGAATTTTACAAAGAATCAGAATGAACTTCCAGGTGCAAAGATGTTTTTTTAGTAATATGGAATAGATGAAGTCTAAAGAACGCAATATCCTGTGGTATATAGATTTGATGCTTCCAGGCGTGCCCAGTTGTATTTGAGACGGTACATAATAACATGAGTCTAGTCGAGTATTTTGTAGAACTGGTGGTTACTTCCTCAACACAGAGTTCCTGAAACCAAGGTCGAATAATTTGACTAGATTGCAGTCCAATGTAGTGTCGTGTCGTGCAATTGGAACTTGACTCAACGCGAAGGTTAGATTGAGTTAGTTTGGTGTAACGCCGCTTTGAACAGTGTTCAAGTTATCATGGCGTGCTAGCTTAAGTGTTGCAGGTCCTGGGCGTTTTCCACTGTTGTGTAACCCACGAACACGGGTATGGTGCTGACAAACCCAAACATATTCGGGGAGAACTAGGATTTGAACCCACGATAACATGTTTCTGGCGTGCCCATGGGACGAAACTCTGTACAGCGTATAGCAGCGCCCAAGTCGACTGGGCCATCCGTGGCCCAGGGAAGCTTTAATGGCGAATGAATCCAGGGTATTTATCATAATGGAATGGTTTGTTTGTTAACTATGAAGTTAGCTATAGTTTGTTGTTTAACGCTGCACTCAGCAATAGTCTAGCTTTATGACGGCGGTCTGTAAATAATCGAGTCTGGACCAGACAATCCAGTGATTGATATGAGCATCGATCCACCCAAGTGAGATACTATGAATGCATCGACCAAGTCAGCGAGCCTGGCCACCCGATACCGTTAGTAGCCTCTTACGACAACGTGGGTTGCTGAAGACCTATTCTAACTAGGATCTTCACGGGTTCATAATGAAATAGAGATAGGATGCACTGGATAATCGAGGATGACATTCAAATTGCTGTATTTTGTATACATGAGTCTACTTGTTACCCTTTATTCGAATCTAATGATACAAGATCATTGTGACAATTCATTTTAATAACCATAAACAGTCCCTATGAATCTCAAAACAGGAAGCAAATGACGCCATGTTTCCAGTTTGTTCCATAGATATCTCATTGAATTTGGCGTATACCCATGGGCAGCGACAACAGACTCTGTGTGAAACCACTCGCGCTCTTCTGTCGGTTCAAGATAAATTCCACACGTACCCACGTGAGTAGCTCGCGCAATATGTGCACACAGCCCAGTGACATATACGTCCTCGAGATGTATCGGTGGTGCATGACGGGCAATCTCGTACAGGTCCTTCACCAAATCTCGCGAGATCACGTATGCGGGCCCATGTACGAAACGAGGAAATCGCGCAAATGGATATTGTTCATACGATAGATACCACTTGTTTGTTGAGTTGCGTTGAGGTGCTTCTCCAATGTCTGTGTATCCTAATATGAATCGGGACTCTGCATCCAGAAGGTGCAGCTTTGAGAGCAGGTTATCTGTTTCAAGAAACACATCGTCATCAACCTTCATTACGTACTGGGCTTGAGAACAGAACTGATTTGACCATTGTAACATTGCCGTAGTTTTAAGCGTCAGGTTTCTGTACGTGTCGATAAAATTACCTTCAACAACGTCGGCGTGGGCCTCCTGTTCCTTGGCAATCTGGGTCTCGGTGTCGGATGCTGACATCCCGGACAGAAATATCAGCTTCAGATTTACCTGCTTTCTGAACCGTGAACCCCACGTCTGCCGTATTGCTGCGCGTTCGTCAAAATTAGACGGTTTAGACGGAACTATGACAAGCAGGTAGACGGACTGAGCGAATTTACAAACGTCAGAATTGACGAGGAATTTGAAATCTTTCATAACAACACCGGACGTAACATACTCTTTCAAGTTGTCGTCAGTTAGATCACGTCCTACTAAGTTGCGATCTGTCACGTCCGATTTTATGCAAGGATGGAACTCCTTTTGGGGTTCACTGTTGTTACCATGGTAACCAGAATGTCTGTATATTTTGATACTCCAGCCTCGCTTTAGTCGGACATAATACAAGCACACGACACAGACGATCGTCATCACCGCCATCAGCTTCAGTTTCCGTCGTTTTGGCCAGAGATACATCTGAAATGACATTAAAGGCTGAGTATACTCGTAGATACATGTGAAATGACATTAAAGGCAGAGTATACTCAGAGATACATGTGAAATGACATTAAAGGCAGAATATACTCAAAGATACATCTGAAATGACATTAAAGGCAGTGTATACTCAAAGATACATCTGGAATGACATTAGAGGCAGAATATACTCAAAGATACATCTGAAATGACATTAAAGGCAGTGTATACTCACAGATACATCTGAAATGACATTAAAGGCAGAGTACACGCAAAGATACATCTGAAATGACATTAAAGGCAGAGTATACTCATAGATACATGTGAAATGACATAAGGTAGAGTATATTCCACGGTGTTGAGCTAAAGTGTAGACCTTGTAATTAGTGTCTTATGTGACAATTACATATTGGTACCATCTACTCATTAACTTTAAGATTGATATGCAGGAAACCAAGGAAGAAGCAGACAGGCAAGGGTGTGTTAAGCTCGGATTACACCTGTCTGTGACATTCATTTGTGTGTCTGCTTGTACTAGTCCTGACTAGTTCGGACTTGACCAGGCGCTCAACCACTAGACCACGGAGGCGGTCCGTCGCCTCTTACAACAAGCACAGGTTACTTGGTACTTCTCACCCACGTGGCGCCACAATATCAAGATACTAAGAATGGAATTCTCATACTGTGCCACAGGGAAAATGGAACCCGAGACTTTAACCACAAGGCTACCGATCTGAGCTACATGATACTATTTGAGTGAGTGAGTGAGTGAGTTGGGTTTAACGCCGCTTTAAACAGTATTACAGTTATATCGCGGCGTGTCAGCTTAATGTGGGAGGAAAGCCCGAAGTGATGCAGGTCTCAGACGTTTACTACTTCGGTGAAACCCACGAGCACGGGTATGGTGCTGACAAACCTAGAAACATAATCGGGGCGAACCGGGATTCGAACCCACAATCATAGGTTTCTGGCGTGCCCAAGGAAGGGTCACTGGACAGTACTATCGGGACAACATTCTGACACCTTTTGTTGTCCCGTTTGCAAGGCGCGTGGGTCGATGGGTTTTTTTCCAGACCGACAGCACCCGTGCTCACCGTGCACAAACCACCAATGCTCACCTCCAGTAGCAGAAATTAGTCCAGCCCCGACCTCATACAACTATTACCAGAAACTAATATCTCTTACAATTTTGAAAATTTTAAGTTATTTCCGAGTTTCCTCAACTTTCTTTTAACAGTGTCTATATTAGAAGGACATATTTAAATGATACTTTCGGATAATATTTGTTCCCAACTCCCAATTTTGCAAACTGTCAGTTGTAAAAAAATCCCGTGTTCTTGTAGTAAAGACCTTCTGTAGTTATATTAATACAATCGATTATCCGCCGAGACAGATTCCATTTGGAGTAAAGTCAAAATAGTTGTGAAAGTTATATGAATAAATGACACAAGGTATATATATATTTTTTGTGGGATATATACATGTACATTCTGCCCCACCGGTAGCACGCGCCATTCACAAAAAAAATTATTTCAAGGTGTATATGTTCTTTTATTAAAAAAATGTCTCAGTTACTACATGTTGGAAATGTTCTAAGCATTAAAAGACGTGTAAAGTTTGGAAAGGAATAATTTGAAGGTGTTAGTTATTTGTTAAAACGACCTTAAAGAATAATCTTGTCAGAGATAACACGACCCACATTTTTTGCTGACCTCAATTTACTTTTCTAGATAAGAAACAGGAAACTACGACAAGATGACATCCTGCTCAGTTGAATGAGGCTGCTTGGTTCCTCCAGAGACCAAATAATAGATGGTCTCTGGTCCCTCTAACCTTTTACTACGCGGGATTCGGGGGTCTATTTGGGGGGTATTTGGGGCTCAGCAGTGTGGTACGCATGGCGCGACTAAAATCGTATTTGGTACGCAGATTGAACAATCTAAAACAATAATAGTGTACATAACACATTCCTTTGTATATTTATTTCGATATTTTTTCGGTCGTTTAACTTTAAATGGTGCCAGTTTATGACCTTGAAACGTGTTCTATGGGTTTGTTCCATATAAGGAAGTGCTTACTACGGCACGGGAGGAAAATGCCACCGAACAAAATCAGATTCCTTTGTCCATGGATAAGCTATATGTAACATGCGGAGACCTGCTCTGAATAGGGAGCGAAGCTAGGACAATACCCCTGACAAACCAGTTCAGTGTTGAAATATTTTAAAGCTAGCCCTGTGCTAAAATAATATATATATATATATATATATATATATCGTCACAATACCAAGGTGACAATGGACAAATAACTTACGCCTTTACATTTAACTTAGGCACGTATTTATGAATGAAATGTTGCTCTTTTTGAAACAATGTAGGTTCATGATCGAAATTTAGCTTATATAGCGGGAAAACTACTTCATGTCCGTTATTCAGTTATGGCCTGATGAGACTCGTACGTGGTACGAGTTGAAAGCGCTAGCCTATTAAAACTGTGTTCAATCTTTCTCCACTTATTTAATTATTACTATATCAGATGAAAATTTATTTATATACGTCAGAAGGATATGATACTTTCAGATAAGATTTGTAACAAGATTTGTTAAAAAACTCTTTTCCTCTTCTTCTTAAGGCATTCTGTGAGAATGTTAAAAAAAATCTTACACGGTATATGTTTTGTTTTAACTAAACCAGTATCTTAGTTACCCCATGCTGGACATTGTCTCTTCTAAACAACGGCAGAATTGTAATTTTAGAAAGAACTATTTTGAAGGTGTTAGGTATTTGTTGAAAATGATCCTTGTCAGCAATCTAGACTAGCATATGCAGTCTATGGTATGACTTCTCGTTTGTGTGAAACGTTCTTTCAGTTATCAGTTACAGTATCTGTACTGTTATAATATAGGAATGTATGAAACGCCTCAGAATCTCAACGCCTCTTAACGTGAGGGGTCAGGTAAAATAATCTTTATTTTTCGTACTTTACCACGGACAGACTTGCTTTGAGAGATAATACGACCCATATCTTAGGTTGTTCACGATTAATGACGCTACTCAGTTCAATGCTACTCAGTTCAAAGTGTGGCCAAGCAAACAGGCTTGACCCCAGCGGGGGAAAGTCAACAAATGATCTGTCACCCCCTTACTGCTTATACGTAGGGAATCTTAAAACATATAGGTCAAATATTATATCGATAAACTGTCAATTGACATTGAGAAAGATTCGCGTAGACTAGAGCAAAGACTTTGCTGGAAAGTTTAAATAGTATGCGTTGGTTGTGACTCAAAACGAAGATATAAAGGCCAATTAAGCGGAAAAGGTCATTAGGACGTTGCGATCGTTTGTGACTCGATATCTGACACACAACAACACGAACAGGTACGATGGTGTGTTGACAGATTTAGTGTATTATTTGAAAAAAAACGAGACATACCTGTAAGGTGAAGTTTTGTTTATTCTCCGAGGGAACAAGTGAGATCACACGAGACTGCCCATGCGCAATCGGGCTTCAGTCTTCAAAAAGATTTGTAATGTGGGTTAACAAAGAATGTATACTGCTGGCGGAGGGAGGGTGTGGCATGTGATATCACTTGTTCCCTCGCAACTCGGGGAATTGCTATCAAACGTGACCTTACAGGTAAGTCTCATTTGATGTTAGACCGCCTCCGTGGTCTAGAGGTAGAGCGTCCGCCCGGCGAGAGGAAGGTCCGGGGTTCAATCCCAGTTCGCGTCATACCAAAAGACGTTAAAAGATGGTACTTGTTGTTACCCTGTCTGGCGCTCGGCATTAAGGGGCTAAAACAAGGACTGGTCGGCTCGGAGTCAGTATACTGTGTCTGAGTGGGGTATTCATGTTAAACTGCGGCATGGTATCTCAATGATATGCCGGGCAAAAGAAAGTATACTCTTGACAATATGTGATCTGACCAAAACATTACGAATGTCTGCAAAGAGTCGCCGAAACACTGAAAACTTAAGGCCCCAAACATAACTATGATACCCGGATCATATACATCAAATATGAGTGTGTACTTTGTTTTGCCGGGAGTATATATTGAAGTAATGTTGTTATTTGCTCCTCTGTGGAGAATCTAGGGCAGAATGGACACCCAGTTTCACACGTCAGGACGGTTCACTCCCAATTGTCAGACGTCCCATTTGTCAGACGACCCAGTTGTCAGACAGACCAGTCAAGGAAGAGAATATATGGATGTCAACTTCTTTATTATGAGGAACACCACGTTTCGGAGTATATGCTTACTCCTTCATCAGGAAGGACATAGACATGACATAGACTCCGAAACGTGGTGTACCTCATAATAAAGAAGTTGACATTCTTATGTCAATCACTTCTAAATGCCTTTCGGGGGCACGGGTGGCCCAGTCGTCTGAGGGGCCGCGATTCGCCTTGCAGAGTTGCGTCCCTTGGGCACGCCAGAAACCTATGATTGTGGGTTCGAATCCCGGTTCGCCCCTAATATGTTTCTAGGTTTGTCAGCACCATACCCGTGCTCGTGGGTTTCACCGAAGTGGTAAACGTCTAAGACCTGCATCACTTGGGGCTTTCCTCCCACATTAAGCTGACACGCCGCGATATAACTGAACAGAACAGAACAGAACAGAAATTTATTGCTCGAAAGAAAATCACACAGAGTGAGCATACATGAGGTTGAATATATACACAACCACACCAACAATAATATCTAATAATATATACATACATGAATACATACATGCACCCAATCACGCATAATGCATTTCTATAATACATGTATGATCTGCATAACTACACACGTGAACACATAAAATGTACACATATATATAACTGGAATACTGTTAAAAGCGGCGTTAAACCCAACTCACTCACTCACTCTAAATGCCTTTATAAGACCAGACCAGTCAAGTGTGACCAGTGTACCTCACTGGTCTCACTGCATGGCCTTACCTGCTAATCAATGAGCTGCTCCTAACTGTGGGCAGAGCATGCTACTCCAACTCGTCACGCGATACAGATTAAGCAGATTATGATTGTGTTTGTAAGTTGCCTTTGATTTGTGCCGGGTTGCTTGTTTTTTATTAGCAAAGATTTAGAGAAGTTTTTCCAATGATATAGAATACAGGAAACTCAGTGATGGTACGTTTCCCTGCCGTCCTCACCACTAAGTCTTCCATAACACACAGGCTATATGGAGACTCAAAACCTTGGCTTAGTTGTCCAGCTGAAAACAGCCATTGTACAGAACTGTGATCAGTGTGTATTGTGTACATAGCAATATTGCAATAATGTAATGAATGCTTCAAAAAGTGTGATTTCTGTTCTGTCTGAAAGGTAAACAGATAACTATTGCTTGACTAACCAACCTTGACGAATCCTGGTATCAGCTGTCAGACGGGTTTATGCTCACTGTGCCACCAGTAGCAATGTTTATACAAGCATGGGGGCCATATCAAAGTCACCAAATACTGAACTGAGTTCACCCCCTCAATTAATGTCAAAAGTGTTCACTGGCAATATTGGTGAGCGAATTTTCTTATTTGTTGATTAATTACTGATTAACGATCAACGTTCAGTTTGTAGATCCTGCTATATAAGAAGGTTAATTTTTCGAAATACGCATCAGTCGGAAAGCTCACGTTAAATCTCCAAAGTAAGTAAGTAAGTAAGTAAGCATGATATGATATGAAGTGCTATATAGAATAAAATAATGAAATTTTTGTGCATATCATATATCAAAATTTTGAGATGACCCCTGGTGCCTTCTATTGTTTAACCAATTAGCATGCCTGACTGATTTTCATACTGGGAACAATAGGTGGTGGCAAAGTTAGGAGATCCCGTCTGACGAATGGGAGGTGACAGGACATGCTCTCAACCCAACTCGCGTGCTCTGCGTTCTCACATTTACGGTATTCAGTTTGGGGCCTGTGCTTGTATTTAGTCCTAAAATGGAAATGAAAAAAACCTGTTTTGCTCGATTTAATAATCGACGCAAAGAATTACGTAGATGTAAATAGGAAATAACAAAACAACTGGAAAAGTACTAGTCTAGATTTGTTAGTTTTATCTCAGTGCTCAATACAAGATGTACTTTACAGGAGGTAAATTGTAGGCACTTTCAACATTGAAAAATAAAACTAAGTCCAAATTGACATGGCAGAAACAGGCTATAGGCAATATGCAAATAACCTGGAAAAAAAGTTAATAAAACAACAATAAAAAACCCACTATGTTTATGTACATAATAATAATAATGACATGTAAGTTGTTGTTTGAGAAGGGAATATGTTACTTTTACGTTCTGATATTTTGACGATGATTCACTATCCCACAATGCCACTCACAAATCACTAACCAGTGACAAATCACATGCACGTGGGTTTCAAGCACCTGTTTTCACCTGTCGTCAAGGTGTCATAGGTCATGGACATTCACCTTGATCTACCAACACCTGGTTATGCTCAGTTTCACAATAGTCTGTATTTTTACACACTTTTACGTGTAAAAAGACATAAAAATCTTTGATACGCTGTATTTGTGCCAAGGCCCAATTAGTGCTTATTGAGTTGTTTGAATATTTATATATTTTGTATATTAACTGCATTTATTTAAAATCTGAGATCGAAAAAACAGTTTCTTTTTTCATTTCCGTGAGTACTTTAGTTACGCCCCCGACAAGCACCGTAAGTCTATGTTAAATGATGGGACATAAGACGGTCTTAGTTCTAAGAACGCTCTGAGTAGCAGTGAATAAACCCAAAATAATAAAACTTCGGAAATATGAACATCAACACAACATATTTACTGACCGTCGGATACCTGCTGCACTCGCAGCATCCGGTGTGCTCCAGATTATCCACTCATCTGAACTCGCATGTTCATCAGCAATGTCTATAATGACCGCCATTATTTTAGAAATTGTTAAGCCATTGTGGACGCCATAGAATTATCGGCTTAACGATTACGTATTCATGTTATGGTTACAACAGCTTGGGTCGAGCGAACACCAGGCTTACCCTGAATGTGTAATACTTCTCTAATTGCTTAGGTTCGTCAGTGAACAATGAGACTCGTTCAATTGCTCATTGCGTGTGTTATTATCAATACTCAATGTCACTTACAGCGATGAATAGGTTAATTAGTTGTTCAACTATTTGTTTTATGTGCCGATTTTAAGTTAACAAAGAAATGCTGGTTGGTTGTTTAACGCCGCACTCAGCAATATTCCAACTATATGTCGGCGGTCTGTAAAAAATCGAGTCTGGACCAGACAATCCATTGATTGATATCATGAGCATCCATCCTAATTTTCGTTTTCTCCACGCAATTGGGATCGATGACATGCATCAACCAAGTCAGCGAGCCTGACCACCCGATCCCGTTAGCATAGTCGCTGGGTTGCTGAAGATCTATTCTACCCCGGATTTTCACGAGTCTAACAAAGAAATGATATACTGCGCACGGAGTTTCTTTGTTTGTTTGGAGTTTAACGCCGCACTCGGCAATATTCCTCCCAGCTAACGGTCTGGACAGCACTGTATTCACTACTGCATCTTCAGCATTGTGTTCGGTGCGACACATACCTAAACTAATTTTCGTTTTCTTGTTTTCTTCAATACCCTGAATGTGTAATAATAACATCTCGGCAGAAAATGGGGACCCGAACTCGGAACAAATTCTCCGAATTAATGATAGATTTGGTCATCTGATTGTGTTATTTTTTTTGTCTTTTAATCGTTAACGTATTCCTTCATTCGTATTTACATATTCCTATGTGAATAGTTGTATGGCGTATTGACGATTTGTAGTACTGTGCCCGACGGTTGGGATTTGGTTTAAAATAATCATCTGTTCACAAACTAAATCGTCGGTGGACATGCTGGATGTTCCAAACACAAATAAGGTGTTGTGGATATTTGTTACTCCTTCTTTCAAGGAACACAAAATGCGAGTCTTGAAGCAGTGTCTTAAACTATTCCGTCTCAAACAAAATTCATGATATTATGTTGGACATAAGCTTGTGCTGGATTATGTGACAGTTATCTTTCACAGAATCTGCATGACTTCATTTGCTGGAACATAGTTGACATGCGACTTCGGATAAGGTGTTTACGCAGTCGTGCAAATTCAATGTGTAACCTTTTACTGTCATACGCGGTATCATGTATTCCTTAAAAATAATGGTCCTCTGCTCCATTGTTTTTAAGGAATGGAGAGTTACTCGGGCATTCCCCTCTACGTATTGGTGAGAAAAACTATCCACTCAATATTTTGAAGAGTCTACATTTTATTTATATATCGTCCACCTACCAATGTTATTTTAGAATAAAATCCGTAAACCAACTATTAAAAAGGCCAACGCGAGGCCACCGCGATAGCATCTAGCCGTAGTGGGCTATTAAAAATCGGCATCAATAGTGTATTTCCAACACAATACACTACATATATCCATCGCACGCGTCATAACAGTTTGACAATAGTAAACTTAACGTAATGGAGAAATCGGGTGAATTTGTTTATCTGTTTGGGCATCAACGAACAACGAAGGATTCAATTCGAGCATTGTTCATATATAATTTCTCTTTCAGGCAACTATTATACTTTAACTCGCAACTGTAACTAACAACCCATTCTGAATGTAATGTTTTAATTGCCATATTGGAGAAAGGGGAGGTAATAACTAGCAATTGGTATGGATGAAGCTTTGTTTCAGTTACATTTCGAATAGGAGCTAATAAACAAGATCCATAAGCAGGTTCACCTGTTGTGGAAAGGACCTATTTAAGCCGGACAGCAAATATTTTGATATATGGCATTTATGGATCAAGTCGAACGCCAGTTGCACCTTGAATTGATAGGTGTGTTTTTAGGGAGTCACCAAAGCATAGATTTCTGTAGAATTACAATAGTTCAAATGTGTCTTTCTACACATTTTCTCTACAATGTTGCAAATTGACATACAGTTGCGTCAGTTTTACACGTTCGGAATGGCCAGTAAATTCCTGGCTCAGATACAAATAAAAACAACAATAGTGTGACGTTATCATTATGGCAATAGTGGATGTAGACAAATGTACACAATAATGGTTTTAGACGATAGTGGATGTAGACAATAGTGGATGTAAATAATAGTGGATGTAAATAATAGTGGATGAAGACAATAATGGATGTAGACAATAGTGGATGTAGATAATAGTGGATGAAGACAATAGTGGATGTAGACAATAGTGGATGAAGACAATAGTGGATGAAGACAATAGTGGATATAGACAATAGTGGATGTACACAATAGTGGATGTAAATAATTGTGGATGTAGACAATAGTGGATGAAGACAATAGTGGATGAAGACAATAATGGATGTAGACAATAGTGGATGTAGACAATAGTGGATGAAGACAATAATGGATGTAGACAATAGTGGATGTAGACAATAGTGGATGTAGACAATAGTGGATGTAGACAATAGTGGATGTAGACAATGGTGGATGTACACAATAATGGATGTACACAATAGTGGATGTACACAATAGTGGATGTACACAATAATGGATGTACACAATAGTGGATGTAGACAATAGTGGATGTAGATAATAGTGGATCTACACAATTATAGTGGATGTAGACAATAGTGGATATAGAAAATAGTGGATGTAGACAATAGTGGATGTAGACCATAGTGGATGTACACAATAGTGGATTACACAATAGTGGATGTACACAATGATGGATGTAGATAATAGTGGATGTACACAATAGTGGATGAAGATAATAGTGGATGTAGACAATAGTGAATGTAGACAATAGTGGATGTAGATAATGTTTGATGTAGACAATAGTGGATGTAGACAATAGTGAATGTAGACAATAGAGGATGTAGACAATCGTGGATGTAGACAATAGCGGATGTAGACAATAGGTCTATATAGCTACCTCTCACAGAAACTCTTAAATGAAACGTACAAACAATTGTTTCACGCATATTAAAGAGAAACAAATGGAATCTTGTTCAAGACGTCTTTATTTCACTTTTGTAAAAGCTATGCACCCTCGCAAATCAAAATGTCACAATAGTGGACGTTATAAATGATAAACAAAATGATACAAATCTCGTGTGTGTCTCGTTCTGTTGCATGTCCCGTATATCCGTGGTTAAACACGCTGAGACAGGAGAAGCAGAGCAGAAAAATCAAATTCTCTCATTGTGCCCATTGTCTTCATCGTAACTTCTTTGATATTGATCTTCACCGTGATGGAATTTGCAATTAATACGTGGTTGAAAGAGAGACAGTATCCTTGCAATACCGGTAACGAACTAGCAGGCACACACGGTAGTGTTTGGGGGACATAAATCAAATTTGCCAGAGAGTAGTCTCCCTTTGATATAACACTCAAGAAATTAGGGATGTGAAAAACGGAAATGTAAAAAAACAGCGTTTGAACCTTGGCAGGTATGTTTAACGTTCCAAAGCTGTCAATGCATCAATCGATAGATATAAATGCAAAATGTATATTCTTCATCAGAAATCATTGTCGACACGTTGAATGTCCAATTTACGCCTGAGAATAATCGCGAAATAAAGGATTACAGGGACGTGTGTTGTTTAAACTGCATTAGTGGCACACACGTATAACTTTCAGCACAGGGCCCGGTTCACAAAGCGATCTTAGCGCTAAGACGATCATAACTCCCATACTTTGACATGGACTTATGACAACCGTAGCGCTATGATCGCTTTGTGGAACGGGACCTAGGTCCACTGTAGCCCGAAGCATGAAGCGGGGTAGTACTATGTGGCAACACGGGGAAACACAACTCTTTTATCTTTCATCTTCCAGCAGAACGGATCCTGGTCTATATCTTCTTCATCTTGTAGGTCATGGAGACATCATCCTTCGTCGATTTCTGTAAGAAACATGGATGTCTGTGTTATCGGTGGTGGCCAGATTGCTAATTGATACGCTACTGGTAACTGGTGACATGAGTCACCATGGCAACCTCTCTATATCTGGATAGTCTCACTACTCACAGTGACAACATGCCCTCTCTATATCTGGATAATCTCACTACTCACAGTGACAACATGCCCTCTCTATATCTGGATAGTCCCACAACTCACTGTGACAACATGCCCTCTCTATATCTGGATAGTCCCACTACTCACAGTGACAACATGCCCTCTCATTATCTGGATAGTCTCACTACTCACAGTGACAACATGCCCTCTCTATACCTGGATAGTCTCACTACTCACAGTGACAACATGCCCTCTCCATATCTGGATGGTCCCACTACTCACAGGGACATCCATGTCCCCTCTATATCTGGATAGTCCCACTACTCACAGGGACATCCATGTCCCCTCTATATCTGGATAGTCCCACTACTCACAGGGACACCCATGTCCCCTCTAAATCTGGATAGACCCACTACTCACATGGACAACCATGTCCCCTCTATATCTGGATAGTCCCACTACTCACAGTGACAACATGCCCTCAATATATCTGGATAGTCTCACTACTCACAGTGACAACATGCCCTCTCTATATCTGGATAGTCTCACTACTCACAGTGACAACATGCCCTCTCCATATCTGGATGGTCCCACTACTCACATGGACAACCATGTCCCCTCTATATCTGGATAGTCCCACTACTCACAGGGACATCCATGTCCCCTCTATATCTGGATAGTCCCACTACTCACAGGGACATCCATGTCCCCTCTATATCTGGATAGTCCCACTACTCACAGGGACATCCATGTCCCCTCTATATCTGGATAGACCCACTACTCACAGGGACACCCATGTCCCCTCTAAATCTGGATAGACCCACTACTCACATGGACAACCATGTCCCCTCTATATCTGGATAGTCCCACTACTCACAGGGACATCCATGTCCCCTCTATATCTGGATAGCCCCCACTACTCACAGCGACCATCACGTGGCCCTCTATATATATCTGGATAGTCCCCACTACTCACAGCGACCATCACGTTGCCCTCTATATATCTGGATAGTCCCCTTTACTCACCGCGACCATCATGTCCCCCTCTATATATCTGGATAGTCCCCTCTACTCACCGCGACCATCAGGTCCCCCTCTATATATCTGGATAGTCCCTACTACTCACTGCGACCATCATGTCCCCCTCAATGTATCGTTCTACAGTCCATTCTCTTGTGGTCCCGTCCTTCTCGGCTTTGTGCTTCTCGGCAATTCTGTCACCGTTCCACTTGTAATCCGACTAGAAACAGAGTAATGTAAGGAAACCTGTCAATGTTTGTCATTGTTTGTTTGTTTGTTGGTGGCCAAGTAGTCTAAGGCGCCGCGATTCGCTGTGCAGAGTTGTATCCCTTAGGCACGCCAGAAACCTATGATTGTGGGTTCGAATCCCGAATCGCCCCGATTATGTTTCTAGGTTTGTCAGCACCATACCCTTGCTCGTGGGTTTCACCGAAGTGGTAAACGTCTGAGACCTGCATCACTTCGAGCTTTCCTCCCACATTAAGATGAGACGTCGTAATATAACTGGACTAATGTTAAAAGCGGCGTTAAACCCAACTCACTCGCTAATAATCGAGCCTGGACTAGACAATCCAGTGATAGTGATTGGCATTATAACCACGCCCGCGCCGTTGACAAGACCCTGACTCCATTTACCATGGTTGACTGCCCTTTTATCCAGAAAAATAGATGACGGCACAGTGATGTGTCTTTGTTGATGCATGTCATCGTATCCCAACTGCATGGATCGATGCTCATGATGTCAATCACTGGATTGTCTGGTCCAGACTCCATTATTTACAGACCGCCGTCATATAGCTAGAATATTGCGTTCGGCGTTAAACAACAAATAAACAAACAAACAATTGTATGGTTCCTACTTAGCGAGAATTCACTGTATATCGGAAACGGGCATCACACGTTGAATTGGGTTTCCACGACCCGGAAAGTGGTGATACGCCAGCCACGAGGCACAGGTCACGATAACCACAAACGTATATATGTGGCACGTGGGCGGCTTTTCAAGCGCAAAATCGATCCTATTCGCTAAGAAAGTAAACACATTTATCATTTAACTAAAGCATTTATCCATGACATAAGCTTATGACATAAAAACATGTATGTCATACCCCAATGACATAAGTATGCAAATTAGATATGCAAATTAGATAACCGGAAGTGGGACTTTTTTCGCCGGTGCACGTGAGTAGGTGTTTACAAACAACATGGATACCTTTGATGTTGGAGACATTATTTCAATTATTCTGCAAAAGTCTGTTCAAGTATTTTGTTTAAAATAATCCGAGGAACTTTTTTTCTCAGCGAAGGAATATGTCATAAAGGAGTTAAGAGGTTGTTTATTTTGGTTTACACGGCTATGGAAAACATGTATCACTACGCACGATCTATACGTAAGATTTCGACAAGTTGCTGATGTTAATGTTTAATGCAATTATTCCTTAATTGGGAAGCAAAAATGTGAAAACGATAAATAGAATTCATCACTCGTGTTTTTTAATATGGGAAATATCAACCTCGTCCCGTTAATCGGTATTTGCCTCGCCAAAGGCTCGGCAAATACCGATTAACTAAGACTCGGTTGATATTTCCCATATTAAAAAACACTCGTGATGAATCCTCTATTTATTTTGTATCCTTACTTATCGCGATCGAGCCTGTAAGTATCGTGTATTGTATCGAAAGCTACTGTGGTGCATCGATGTTTCGGTGTATAGTTTCACCCGAAACATTGAAAGAGAAGGGAATTGAAACCGGGTCTACTTTGTGACGCCCTAAAGCTTTAAACACATGCTTCCGCGAACTTCTTAACGCCATTTTTCAGCGATGGGAACACTTTCTGTGCACGACAGTATTGGTTGATAAGCGCTTAAGATAAAGAGGATATTTCATGTGTCGCGAGTAGCGCGGGGGGTATTTCCACGAAAATACCTCTTTTTTCCCCACCAAGAGATGAAAGAAACATGATACGTCACGAGACACATCGGATATCCTATTTATTATCTACTTTTTGTGTAGTTGTCTACCGGAAAAATAAATTGTTTCATTTAAATGTAAAACCCTGTAACGTTAATTCTCCCTACCTTGTTCACCACCGCTTGTATTTGCGACTAAAAAGGTAGTTTCGTGTTTGCTAGATCTTAAACATGATAGACCAAAGTAACAAAAAAATATATAATACATATAGATAAGATTATATACAAAATCAACTCGAACAAAAAATATTCATGAAAACCAAGAGACAACTGTTGGGAGCGAAAGAATACACGCTGGTCAAGTCACAAAATGAGAAATTAACAGTCTATAACGAAAGATTTTCAAGAGAATGACAAACGGCATGAAGCGATATTAACTCCCAAAACTACCATCTGTCATTATTTTGCCTTGTCAATGAGTCAACTAACGTAAAAAGGAAGTCAACAGCTTGTCATCGGACCCGCCACTTACGACACTTACGACAATAGTTCCGTCTTATATTTACAGCAAGTGTTATGAAAATATCACTTTTCACAACTTCAGAAAACTCAGTCTTTCACACTGAAACATACACAAAAGTCCAATACCACATTCAGGATCACCCGTTTATATTATGTACTACAAGACAACTTACTGTCATGTTTGAGCCTTCGAATCCTTTATACTCCAAAGGTTCTCCTTCGGTAAAGCAGAGCTCTTGTTTCATTGGTTCACCGTTGCATTCAAGGGTCATGCGCTGTTTATTTCCCTCCATCTTTATGGTTGTAGTCATAACAGCATTCTTTAGCATTTCTACTTCTTCTTTTAGCACTCCTGAAAGAAAAAAACATTTTTGATTATTTTTTTTAACTTTTAAAGAGGTCGATGCTACATCAAACAAAATAAGCCTCATCCATCTTCATCGGATCTCTGGACGCGCATCAGTTACTAGGGGCATATTCTTACCTCTATGAAGGGGCGGTGGGGATAGCATATTGGTTAAAGCGCTCATTCGTCACGTCTAAGGCCCGGGTTCGATTCTCCACATGAGTACAATTCTTGAAGCCCATTTCTGGTGTCGCCCGCCGTGATATAGCTGGAATATTGCTAAAAGCGGCGTAAAACCATATTCACTCACTCTTACCCCGAAAGGCCACATGATTCACTGCCCAGCCTAGCATGTAATACATTTTACAGATTAGTTAGCTTGATAGACTCATTCAAAGACCCATACCAATTTTAGAAAAATGTTCCATATTGTCAGGCACCATTTCAAATTTAACTTACCCATTTTGAACCCGCAGAGAGAGAATACCATACTATATCCCGACGTATCTTGTTGAACGAACCGCCGTTGCTACGAAAAGTCATTACTGTGCAGAAGTGTAGAATGTATAACTACTGAAAGATGGCCTGTTCGTTGCAGTCAAAGCATGCGTCTATGTAATCAAAATACACATAGATATACCTTGCTGTGGAAGCGGTAAACTAAGGCACTATTTTATGTAAACTGGGCCCGGCTCTCCACACGGAGTCCAGTAACCCTAAGCCGGATGTGACGTCAAAGAAGCGAGCTGGGGCTCCTACCTTCCGCATAGCTACAGCGAGCTGGAACCAGCTTAAATCTTATGACACACGACTCGAAAGCCGAGTAAACTAAAGTGGGTCTTACTGCCCTTTTTCAGTTGCGAACTATTTATTTAGTATCTCTTGTTTAATAGTTTAATTCTAGGACATGTTGGCATCTCGCGGATTCAAGTTGATCAATCGAATGCATATTTCATGAAAGCTTTTAATCCGAGTTAAATGTAAACATCAATTAAATGTATCGTGATGTCATCGTTACCATGACACAGATAGCCATGAATTTAAATTATCAAATAACTTGCAAGATGGTTGAATAAATATGCTTTGGAGCAAAACATGTATGTATGTTATATAACATACTTAAGCATACAGTAAGCATATTAACTAATCACACATTGTACCCATGTCTGGAATAGAACCCAGGTCTTCGGGGTGACGACCCCCCCCCCCCCCCGTAAAAAACAATTGCATACAAGAGAAAGATTAACATGAGTAGCGAAATACGCATATGTCGGCAAGCACACGTTAAAACCGTAAGTAAGTTAGTAAGTAAGTAAAACACGTAAGTAAGTAAGTAGCACATGCGTTCAGGGTTAGCACCGTCACCTGAAACACCCCTGCACACCCACTACCCAATGAATTTATTATGGGTTAAATACGGTAAGAGTTTGCCTGCCGCAGCCAGGTACATTGCACGTGAATGTGGTGTCACGAAGTCACGTGAGGAAGGTGACGTGTAGTGTTCACTGACAGTGTTGAACCATTCGAGGTCTTCGCATTACACAGGCGAGCATATTTTACATCTTGCAAAATATTGCCTCAAGAATTTGAGGTTGCAAAGTATTGGAGTGTTTAGCCGTTGGGCAAAGTTGAGCCGTTGGGCAAAGTTGGGGCAAAGTTGAGCCGTTTGGCAAAGTTGAGCCGTTGGGCAAAGTTGAGCCTTTGGGCAAAGTTGGGGCAAAGTTGAGCCGTTGGGGCAAAGTTGAGCCGTGGGGCAAAGTTGAGCCGCTGGGCAAAATTGAGCCGTTGGGCAGATCCTTGTATTTGAGTGGTACGATGTGTTTGGTATGGTATGTATGGTATGTGGGAAGTTGCTGGTCAAGTTACAGTTGGGATCCAAAACTGAGCCAAGGAAAACGGAAGAAACAACAGTCACAGATGAAGATTAATTTAAGATAAGTATATCATGGTTATAATTTCAAACTCTCTGAATAACAACTGCGAAACTTGTTACATCACGTTTGCTTTGGTCACAGTTTTAGTTGGGAATTGTATATTTCAGGTAACAGAGGAACAGACAACAGACAACTTCTCCGTCATCACACCTCGAAGCTGCCGAGGAAATTCAGTCTGACAGACCAAGGGATTCCGTTGAAGGTTATGAAACTTTTAAATTGTTCAAAGAATATATGGATTGCAAACTAAAAACATTCAAACGTGATATAATTGAAGACTCAGAACAAAGATCGCTTTCTGCCTTAAAAAGAGCTCGCAAAGATTCTGAAATACCATTTTTCAAATTTAAAGGAAACCAGTTGCAGTATAAATTCAATTGCGGTCTTTTGGAGAAAATAGATTCAGCCTTCAGATATATCAAACATAATAAGTATTCTGAATGTTCAAATTCCCTTGAAAGTCTTGCTTCAGAGATACACAAGCGAAACAAACATATCAGGTTAGCCGACAGATCCCTGTCCGGTTGGGCCGTAGTTGCGGAGTTGGAGGGAGACGACATTGCTTCTGGTTCAGATGAAGAACGTCGATTCGAGAAGGCAGAAAGTAAAGCACTCCGTAAGCGTCGAGCAGCCCCTTACAGGCCTCGTGACAAAGGTTTTCACAATGCTCCTTCTGCTACTTTCTCTAACTCTAATAACGACATGCCTTCTCAGGTCCCTCCCTCCCTGCAAACCCAGGCCTTTCGTCCCCATTTCAAACGTACAGCAACACCAAACCAACAGTGTTTTTTTCTGTGGCGGATTCGGGCATTGGCGTGCCCCCTCGCTGCTGCTCAACGCTCAGCCTTGACAGCCAGTCACACACAAGGGGTGCAGACATCAGCAGATCCAAGTAAGAAGTAGACAAGAACTAATTTCAGGTAACGAAACATTTGCATCTTTGGGGTTCCAATCATATTATGGGAGATTATTGGAGATTAGTCTAAAATCTTTTTCCAGAGCATGTAAACAAGCCTGCAGATCCGGACATGGTTCTATACGGCGACAAGGTACCTTTTGCTATGTCTGGTCGGGACACTTCTCTCAGGACAGATGCTGAATGTCCAGTCAAGTACAGTTTTGGAAACTCAAGCACAGGCGATTCTGATGTCTCAAATCTCGGAGGTACAGATCAAGACTCTGAACCTTTCAGACATATTTATGATTGATCAATATGAAATCGAATCAGGATCTTCTGCAATCGTAAAGGGTAGTTTAAGGAAGTATATTACATTTTGGAAGAACATTGATGCACCAGAATATTATCAAAACAATCCAGGAAGGTTACCTAATTCCTTTAGTTGATAGCCCACCCCGTACACACAGTAAGAATAAAAGTTCTGCTATGAAAAATGGAGAGTTCGTTTCAGAGTCTATTCAGGAACTGTTGAAAAACGAATGTATAGTTGAAGTGAATACTACACCTCATATTATTAATCCTCTTTCAGTGTCTGTTCAGCGTTCAGGGAAAAAGAGGTTGATTTTAGATCTGAGATTGGTGAATCCGTTTTTGAAGGCTATAAAGTCGCACTAGACTTTTTAGAAAATTCTGGTTATATGTTCAAGTTTGATTTAAAGTCAGGTTACCATCATATTGACATTCACCCTACTCAACATACTTTTCTTGGTTTTGCTTGGAAATGCCAAGGTGTTGTGAAGTATTACTGTTTCACAGTTCTTCCCTTTGGTCTCTCGTCAGCTCCTTACATCTTCACGAAGTGTGTTCGCCCATTGGTCAAGTACTGGAGAAAGCATTCCATTAACATCGTAGTTTATCTGGACGATGGTTTTGGTTATTCAGTGTCAAAGGCCGTATGTACAAAACACTCATTTATGGTTAAGAATACTTTAACCAGAGCCGGTTTCGTTTACAATGTAGAAAAGTCTATATGGAATCCTCAAACTAGACTAGAGTGGCTTGGCTTTATCTGGGATCTAGACTCGGGTATCCTATCTGTTCCGTCTATAAAATTGGAAGATGTTAGGTCTAGATTCGCAGGGTTCCTTGCGTGTCTTCCGCGTTTTACAGCACGAAGCTTGGCTAGTTTGACAGGGAAGGTCATATCTCTATCTCCAGTTAAGGGGGACATCTGCAGGCTATTGACTAGACAGATGCACACAGAAATTTAGAGGTCAGTATCCTGGGACAGAATGATAAGGTTAGATAATCCTGAGTGCGTCTATGAACTTATGTTGTAGAGGGACAATGTTTCCCTTCTGAACTGTCGGAATCTGCGTAAAGATTATGGTCCATTGATTTCAGTATTTTCAGACGCCAGTGATTCGGGCTGTGCCGGCTATATACAACATACTGATTACATTTTTCAATACAGTTGGGATTTGGATCAAGCTAAGCGCAGTTCAACATGGAGAGAGATGAAAGCTGTGGAATTAACTTTGATTGCATTTTCAAACATACTGCGTAATAAGACCATAAAATGGTTTACAGATAGCAAGCCTTGTTGTCATATCGCAACATGTGGTAGTTTTAAAACGCATTTACAGAAACTGGCTATGTCAACTTTCGTTACAGCTAGTATGCACAACATTTCATTGAAGTTCAGTTGGATCCCAAGGTCAGAAAATGAGAAAGCTGATGCTTTAAGCAGATTTGAAGATTCAGATGATTGGAAAGTTAAAAATACAATTTTCAGGATTTTGGATGCACGATGGGGGCCACATTCGGTAGACAGATTCGCAAATCACATTAATACCAAGTTGGTAAGATTTAATTCCAGATCTTGGGTTCCCGGTGCCGAGGCAGTCGATGCGTTTACACAACAGTGGGGAAGAGACAACAACTGGGCTGTACCACCTGTACATCTGGTTTCAAAAACAATCAAATTCGTTCTGAGTAACAAGGCTCCTACAACTATGGTTGTACCTATGTGGCCCTCTGCGTCATTTTGGCCTGTCTTGTTTGATGGTGATAAACCCAGATCTTTTGTTGCAGATATGCTACAACTTCAAGGCAGTACTGCTGTTGAAGGTGGAAGCAAAGCTTCTATGTTTGATTCATTTAAAGGATTCATTCTGGCCATTAGAATTAATTCAAATTGATGTTAATATTGCAGATATGTTTGGTCTGGGCATCTGGAAAGAGAAAGATTCCTTGGTTCATAAGGATTTGATATGTTTAGCAGCACAAATGCCAGAAATAGTGTCAAAATCGAAAGCTCCAGCTACTGTCGACAAGTACAAGAGTGATTATAATCTATGGAAAAAATGGAGTTTACATTTTGCAGAGGTTCCTTGTTTACCAGCAAAATCTTTTCATGTTGGTTTATATCTCACGTCTCTTCTCCAAGGTGGTAAGAAATCACATTCTGTTGTTGCAGCAATCTATGGTATAAGTTGGGCACATCAAGTAGCATGTTTACAAGATCCATGTCAGTCTGATCTCATAAAAAATATCAGAGAAGCAGCCCTGAGAAACTATAGTAATCCCGTCCAGAAGAAAGAGCCAATTGATACGCATATGCTCAAGAAACTTGTCTGTGTTTTTGGAAAGGAAGGTTGTTCCCTGTTAGATTTAAGATTTCTGACTATGTCCATTCTCTCGTATGCAGGTTTTTTCAGATTTTCTGAAGTTGTGCATATAAACGTTCAGATCTATGTTTTCATAATGGATATGTTCGTATTTTCATTAAAAAGGAAGTCTGACGTATATAGAGAGGTAGATACGTGTAGATTTCGGCCTCCGGGTCCGAACTTTGTCCAGTGAACATTTTGGGTCGATATTTGACATCTGCAAATATTAAGCAAGATTCTGAGGAGTATATATATTTCGTCAAATTAGTTGTTGCAAAAAGTTAGGCAGTTATAAACTAAAAGGAGAAAAGCCTCTGTCATATACTCGAGCGAGAGAAATATTTCTTGAAAAGTTTAAATGTATTGGTGAGGACGTTGCAAAAATAGGATTACACAGTTTTCGTTCGGGAGGAGCAACAGCCGCCGCCAACGCTGGGGTACCCGACAGGCTGTTCAAGAGACACGGCCGCTGGGCCTCTGACAAAGCAAAAGACGGTTATGTCAAAGACAATTTAACAGAATTATTAAACGTGTCGTCTTTGTTGGGATTGTAAAAGTCAGTATTAAATATGTTCATATTCACCCCTTCTTTTAATTTCGAGCTGCGGTAGGCATAACCCTTGAGATGCGTATGTTGTACATGGTAAATATTTTATGTTCGTTTGAGCGAAGCGAATTAGAACATAAATGAATTTATTATGGGTTAAATACGGTAAGAGTTTGCCTGCCGCAGCCAGGTACATTGCACGTGAATGTGGTGTCACGAAGTCACGTGAGGAAGGAGACGTGTAGTGTTCACTGACAGTGTTGAACCATTCGAGGTCTTCGCATTACACAGGCGAGCATATTTTACATCTTGCAAAATATTGGCTCAAGAATTTGAGGTTGCAAAGTATTGGAGTGTTTAGCCGTTGGGCAAAGTTGAGCCGTTGGGCAAAGTTGGGGCAAAGTTGAGCCGTTTGGCAAAGTTGAGCCGTTGGGCAAAGTTGAGCCTTTGGGCAAAGTTGGGGCAAAGTTGAGCCGTTGGGGCAAAGTTGAGCCGTTGGGCAAAGTTGAGCCGTTGGGCAAAGTTGGGGCAAAGTTGAGCCGTTTGGCAAAGTTGAGCCGTTGGGCAAAGTTGAGCCTTTGGGCAAAGTTGGGGCAAAGTTGAGCCGTTGGGCAAAGTTGAGCCGCTGGGCAAAATTGAGCCGTTGGGCACATCCTTGTATTTGAGTGGTACGATGTGTTTGGTATGGTATGTATGGTATGTGGGAAGTTGCTGGTCAAGTTACAGTTGGGATCCAAAAGATGAAGATTAATTTAAGATAAGTATATCATGGTTGTAATTTCAAACTCTCTGAATAACAACTGCGAAACTTGTTACATCACGTTTGCTTTGGTCACAGTTTTAGTTGGGAATTGTATATTTCCGGTAACTGAAAACGGAGGCGGTTTTGACAGATTCCTGGATTCGACTTGAAACACTTTTTACGAGTTTGTCGAGTGTATTTATTTGTGATTGTTTATAAACCTGCTCGCTTGTCTGCTGCGGTAGGCATAACCCTTGAGATGCGTATGCTGTACATGGTAAATATTTTATGTTCGTTGGAGCAAAGCGAATTAGAACATAACTATTGTTCTACAGTCTACTCTTTGTTGTTTTGTCAATGTTGGGCACTCTGGGTGGTAACCATTCGTCACCACTCGCCCCTTTCCGTAACCTGCAAGAAGACTCGTCCCCCTATCGATGAATGCTATGTGCGAAAATACGACAAACCAATCAGAATGCGCGTAAGATTTCAAGTTCTTCGTCAAAGAATCCCACAGAAATAATTTTTGATTTTACACATGTCTTGCATGTTCAATCATACTGTATAATTCCGCATGTCCAGATGTGCTCTAATTTCATCTGAAGTATATATAATATATTGGGAAATATATGTGAACCATTACCAACGAGTTGACAATTGTTTTAGGTATGCCCGTTTGCGCTAAGACGGAACCCGGTCGCAAAAATGGACACGAGATGGGCACGAGTCGCTATTCGGCTTGTCCCGGAATAACACGAGTTGGTCACGAATGGGTGGTAACCAGTTAATGTACTCAGACACCTTGAAAAGGTTGTTTACATGACAAAAATAAAATGACTCCCGTTTCATATATTTAACCAACTTGGATAAAAATCTGATAAATGTTTTGTTGTGTACTGTGTGTCATGAGAATGCGAATCGGCCCGGTTCCCTGGGTAGGCTCCGCAAGCGATACGCTGCGCAAGTGGAACTTACCCAGAGAACCTGTCTGACTGAGAATCAGTTTTGAAGTGAGACAACACGCACGTAATACCGGGACCCAGTTTGTCTGTGCAAGCACATTCGTCACCACTCGCCCCTTTCCGTAGCCTGCAAGAAGCGGCTTGTTCCGGAATAACACGAGTTGGTCACGAATGGTGCAAGCATTGCGAAACAGCAATAATTAACAGAGCATGTACGTCCTACTTCTTGATTCAATTTGTCAGCGTTATCGACCCGGTCGCTCAGTGCAGTCAATATTAGGAGGTTAATGTGACCGACAAAGATTGTGAGATGGTTATTTTCCAAGCAAAACAATATATGCAATGGTTGCAAAATATCTGCTGGTATTGACTCGCATTTTTATGTATATTATACAATATGGAGACTTCCATATCGAAATGATAAACACAATGTCCATATTATTACGGGTGAACTTTCTCATGATGTGGGCGCGGTCGGCTGTGGGAACACTGTGGGCTATATGTCTACACGAGGTCATTGCATTTGGGCCCTACGCGAATTCGAAAGTGTCTCTTTTTTGTTGTTAACATCATGTTTTATTTAATAATGATGGCAACTTCATGATATATATTTGTCACGTGGCGCAGGTGCAGTGACGATTCAAGGCAGGAGTGAGTGAGTGAGTGAGTATGGTTTTACGCCGCTTTTAGCAATATTCCAGCAATATCACGGCGGGGGGAATCGAACCCGGGTCTTCAGCGTGAAGAGCGAACGCTTTAACCACTAGGCTACCCGACCGCCCCTTCAAGGCAGGAGAGAGTGGTATATGATTGACGTGATTGTGGTTCGTTGTTCAGGTTGGTTTGTGTTGTAAGCTGGCTTGTGTTCCTCTGTTAAATAGCCCTCGAGGTATTGAATATGCGGAACATGTTTCACTCGCTCATTTAGTGACCGACAACGGAGTTGACAAGCGGGGGAAAGGAAAAGGTGTGGGTTCTTCTTATAACAAGGGACGTACAATGTATTTCCTTTCTATCATGGCGCGTCGGCTTGATGTGTGAAAATGTGATTTTTACCACTTCAAAAAACATAAAACGCGGGCAGAAAATAACGGATTATCCGACGTAACTGATTCTATTGGGCGTAATAGGGAAAATAGCGGTGAATGCTGGAATACGAGTATAGTGCTGACAATCCTAGAACCATAATAAGGGCTAACCGGGATTCGATTCCACGATCGTAGGGTTCAGACACCCCTAAGGGAGACAACTCGGCACGCGAATCCCGGCGCCCTAGACAACTGGGTCCATTAGCAATCATGCAAGGAGTGAAGACTACGCTTTCCACAGATTGTGTTTGGAGAATCAGAAAATATTTATTTGTTTGGATGATTGATCAAGTGTTTGTTTGGTTGTCTTTGTTTGTTTAACGCCACACTCAGCAATATTCCAGCTGTGTGACGCCGGCCTGTAAATAATCGAATCTGGACCAGACAATCCAGTGATTGATATCATGAGTATCGATCCACGCAATTGAGATACGATGACATGCATCAACCAAGTCAGCGAGTGTGACCACCCGATCCTGTCAGTCGCCTCTTAAGACAAGCATAGTCGCCTTTTACGTCAAGCATGGGTTGCTGAAGACCTGTTCCAACCCGGATCTTCACGGGTCGATTGATAAATTGAACATAAGTAAGTTATTATAAGATTTATTTTAGTTATTGCTAATAATCTTTTGAAATGCAGCTTATAAAGTCCACTGGATTTAATTAATATTATTATAAAGATGATCGTAAAATATTTTATCCTTACCCATTTTCTCTGAAAATGCTTCAAGATTTTCATACGATCCTGTCACCAACTCCCATTTTCCATTAAACTTCTCCATTTCGATTCCCGAAACTGATTATCACCTACGTTCTGAACGGCTTTTGAATAAAGACAGGTATTGCCTCTTACATATAACGCCCCACAGTGAGCAATTCAACACACAGTTGCTATGTTCACGCTGCATTCCTTTTATGGCAACCCGTTGCAGCCATAATCGTCAAGCGGTACAACTAAGGTTACGTGTTGTTCATGTGCCCTGGGGGTTGGTATACCTTGATATCATGACCTCGACCTCAGTATTAGTCACAGTCTGCAACGCAGATGTCTAGGATAACGCTGCCAGGGTATACCATATATATCCTACATTACGTCTGATTAGGTGGTTGGTGTCACGTAGCGCAGGTCGTCATATAAGTGCAAGAATCTTGAACGCGACGCTATTTGTTGGGTTGTTGTTTAACGCCGCACTCAGCAATACTCCATGATGGCGGTCAGTAAATAATTGAGTCTGGACCAGACAATCCAGTGATTGATATCAAGAGCATCGATCAACGCAATTGGAATACGATGACATGCATCAACCAAGGCAGTGAGCCTGACAACCCGATCCCGTTAGTCGCCTCTCACGACAAGCATATCTTTTCTACCCCGGATCTTCACGGGTCGTCAACCCCATTTCCCCACACCTTAGGGCCCGGGCTCTTAACAGAGAAATGGCGGTCTCCCAGACGGGACATAAGGTGCTTATACATGCTACCCCATAGTCTTGTTTCGCATTCATCGGGGAACTCGTTGGATAATGTGTTTAATGTTAACGATCGTGCCACGGGTATTCGTTATTGGTATTGGTCAGTAAATAAAGATATATACTCCGTATTAGACTAACGTTTAGTCTCTGAAATCTTATATTACACAATATCCTCCTTGACTCTAAAAATAAAAAAAATCCCTATGCTGATTGTGGAATAGAGCTAGCTTGAGCTGGCTAGACTTGCTTTTGTATGCTTTTCTAGATTATTTTTTTTTCATAAAATAAATATATTCATGGTGCAGGACTAACTCCGTATATATAAGTAGAGAATTATATGCAGGGGGGTATATACTTTTATTTACTGACCAATAACAACTTCCTGTGGTGCATGCGTATATGTGGCTGCGTGTCTCCGTGCGTGCGTCTGTGTGTGTGTGTGTGTGTGCGTGCGTGCGTGTGTGTGTGTGTGTGTGTGTGTGTGTTTGTGTGTGTGTGTGTGTGTGTGTCCCTCCGTCCGTACGTGCGTGCGTGCGTGTGCACTTAAAATAGAAAAGAAATGAATGGAAAAAGCTCGGGAGCAATTTGTGTTTGTTATTCAAACAAATAGTCAATTAACTGTTATATTTGTTGAAAACACATCACTAGATATTTAGTTATATGGGTTTTTGTTTTAAAAAAGGCGGTGCGCGTACCGCTGCACCCATCCTCTTCATTCCCAAATGCGGCAAAGCAAGAACGTGAATAAATATATAATGTGAAAGCTCCGCACAGCAACGTAGCCCTGTCAAGCAATTGAGCGGAGCTTGGTCCAAAGTCTGATCGTGTTGGTCATGTCTCCAGGTTCGTCAGACGCCAGTAGAGGGCGCATGGTGTTTCATTGTGTCTGTGCTGCGACGCATGTCAAAATAGGAGGGTGCCAACGCCGCCCTCTGGGCAACCGGCACACCACTTAATTTGTCTTGGCATCCAATTTAAGAACTCTTGAGTCGTATAAGCGACACAGCTGTTACAAGTAAATTAGACTGGGGTTTTCATATGAGTGTTCATAAGATTAGGGTTAAACATTCGATTAATTTGTCACTCAACACATTGAAAATATTGGAATCTGCGTTCTAAATGAACGTGTTTTGGCATCCAGCGTACTGCTCAGTGGCATCTGGAAGACAACCAGCGTATCAAAATGGGACTGGCATCCCTAGATACTGAAGAAAGTGGAATAAGACTGAGTGCAACATCTCGCGTCGTCGGGGTTCGACGATACAAATCCAACCAAGTTACTGAATAACATATAAATTGTTCATGGCCGCTACTTTCGACAAGCATGAGTGTTGGGGTCAGGTCTAATCGGTCCAGGCTGCTGAAGTATTGCTGACGAGGGTACAAAACCTCATCATCCAAACGTATTAACCATCTATAAGGTCCATGTCTAATATAGGGCAGTGGGGTAGCCTACATCTTCCCGAGGCAGGGGATTTAACTGTCTATAAAAGTCCAGGTTCCAAGTGTGCCGAACTAGGCGGGAATTATGGAGTTGTGTTTGTTTGCCGGACTAACAAGTCCATGCGTAGTAAAAAAAAATCGCGTAACAAAATCGACATTCGAATCATGAACATCATGGCGACTACCGTGCAGATTTCGGTCGATTGCAGGATTTGCAGAGCATGTGTACCGTCAATCTGGCGTCGAGAGATATTTCCAAAATATTTTCATATTTTTAAACAAGGTCCTCACGTTATTTGATGCACTTCGCGAGGTAAGACCCGTTTTATTACAGTATAGGTCTTGATAAACGAGAAGATCGTCTTGACTGGGCGCCGCCATTTTGTTTGGAGCAAATGACAGTCATATGAAAGATGGAATCTGATTGGACAATAGGCTGAACAGAGAAGGGACATAACTCGTAATAAACCTGGTGGCACTAAGACCGAGACCATAAATTCCAGGTTAATTCGGCAAGGGTGGAAACTGGATAGGTTGACTCCCTTGCCTCGGGAAGACGGGTAGCCTAGTGGTTAAGGCAGTCGCTCTTCAAGCTGTTTACGATCCCATGGTTACAATTCTCGAAGCCCACCCTTTTTTTGTCTCCTGTTGTAACGTTACTGGAGTTTTGCTAAATGAGGCATGCAACCTACCCACAAACTCACTCATATAGTAGCTGCCGTCATATTGCCGGTACGTTATCGAGTGCGACGTCAAACAACAAGCGAAACCCCCTCGTAAAGATCGGGTTTTCACCAACCCATGCTTGTCGTAAGAGGCAACTAACCTGAGGTGGTCAAGCTCATGACTAGGTCGATGCATGCATGTCATCGTATCCCAATTGCGTAGATTGATGCTCATGATGTTAATCACTGGATTGTCTGATCCGGACTCGATTATTTACACACATGGACAAAATATGTGGTTCTAATTCATGTCGTCCCTTGGAGTAGTGGGAAGATTGCCAAAAGCAATGCGAAATCACTGATTAAAATCTGTGGTATCGTCATTTTGAATAATATGGGTTGGGGTGTCCACAGTGGTTAAATTGTTCGCTGAGACCTAAAATAGTATGTAATACCAATATCCCCAGGAAGTAAAGGAAAGCTCCACCTCCGTTCTTTCGAAATATCTTACCCAACATTTTAACCTTACATAATTCGAAGCTCGTCTGAGGCGCCGCGATTCGCTGTGCAGAGTTGCGTCCCTTGGGCACGCTAGAAACCTATGATTGTGGCTTCGAATCCCGGTTCACCCCGATTATGTTTCTAGGTTTGTCAGCACCATACCCGTGCGCACCGAAGTGGTAAACATCTGAGACCTGCATCACTTCGGGCCTTCCTCCCACATTGAGCTGACACGCGGCGATATAACTGGAATACTGTTAAAAGCAGCGTTAAACCCAACTCTCTCACTCATAACTCGAAACAAATATAAACATGTATGGTTTGTCAGCACCATCTCATCGCTATAGCTGGTTTCATCAAAGTAGGTGTTATGCCTTGGTTACTGCGGGTTTTTCTCCCCAAATTAAGCCGACACGCCGTGATGTAACTCGGGAGACGCAAGCCGGGGATATTTACCACTGCTTGTGAAACCCAAAAACACAGGCATGGGGCTGACAGATCAAAGATCATAATTTGAGCGAAAAACGGATTCGATCCCCCGAGCAGCAGATCCTAGCATACCTAAGGAGCGCAATATACCACCCTTGCCTCCTGCTTTTAAGTAAACCAATGATAACGTGATATACAGATTGGAATTTAACGGTTGCCATAGTAATAAGTTACTTGTCATTGTTTCGAGTTATCCGCCCTTGATATCAAATATCGGGAGTGTACAAAATATGTATTTTTCTCCTACATTTCGAAAATCGCCTGGTAGATGTGACTTCTCAACTAACGAAGTTTCGTAAAAATGTATCCGTGGAACGTGTGTAAAGACATAAAAATTAATTGAAATTTAATTTCTCATGAGAAAAATCGCACTTTTAACTTACTCATCAGAGTAAAAATAGAATCTACAAGGCGATGTTCTATTTCTTGATCCCGTGCCCGGACTATCTCAAGGACGCTTTGCTCATTCACGAGGACCTTTTCTCACTCGTGTACCGTCTCTGTCGTTATCGTCAGTCATTATGTAAATATACAATGTGCTTTCACAGCAAACACATCTTCAACGCAGCGGTTGTGTATATATACATTTACTGTCATACCTTATCAAAACATTCGATATCAACAATGGGTGTCTTTCTTTATGGGGCCGACAATTTAAGCTCCCACCCCCCTCCCCAAAAATCCTAGAATATTTAATAGGGGGCATCAAACGCCGTGAGGGTACGTTTCTAAAGGCCTGTCTCGGTTGAAGAGTATGCGAATATAGTAGTGACGCGGACATTAACAGCTATTGAATATATTGAGATACGAGTGGATATGACAGTTGACAAGGATATTTGCTAACTTTATAATTGACATGTACCCTTTGCACGTTGTATCGCGTCTCAAAATTACACCCATATTTGGTGTGGTACTTGACAAAACTTCATATACAAGGGTAAATTGAAAATCGTTCAGAATCTATCTTGTTCGCACATTATCTTTAAGTATAATATCTTCAAGTTTTCAGTGTTTCGGCGACGTGTTTCAACCTAGTAACATTTTGATATCGATTGTATTTTGTGTGTGTAAAGTCCAATTATCAAGTGTATATTTTTCTTTTGCCCGAGATGAGAGTGGATCTCTTTGTCTGTAGTCTCTTTATTTTAAAAGATGCTTCTGAATATTCATTACACGGACACTGGACCCAATACCATTTTAAAACTTTTAAAAACCGAAAGTGAAGAAATATGTTTTTCATAAATATTCATTCAGCTCAATGGAAAACATTTCGAAATCAGTAAGGATAAGTATTCTTGAAAATCTGTGAAGTCAATTAAGTCAAATATGAGCCATGCAGGTACAGACACTCCACTATAATATCTATCTACCCATGAAGACATGGGTTAGAATTGGTCTTCGACAAACCATGCTTGTCGTAAGAGGCGACAAACGGGATCGGGTGGTCAGGCTCTATGCCTTGGTTGATGCATGTCATCGTATCCCAATTGCGTAGGTCGATGCTCGTGTTGTGTCAATTACTGAACTGTCTGGTCCAGATTCGACTAGTGAGTGAGAGGGTATGGTTTTACGCCGCTTTTAGCAGTATTCCAGCAACATCACGGCGGGGGACACCAGAAATGGGCTTCACACATTGTACCCATGTCGGGAATCGAACCCGGGTCTTCAGCGTGACGAGCGAACGCTTTAACCACTAGGCTACCCGACCGCCACCCAGATTCGACTATTTGCAGACCGCCGTCAAAAAGCTGGAATATTGTTGAGTGCGGTGTTAAACAACAATCACACATTTAATCAATTCCTTTTGTTAACTAGTGCAGCCCCTCCCATGTATATCCTCCGAATATGATGTTGTAGAATTTTGTTTTCTGTGGTAAACATGTTTGTTTTAGGTTTATACACAAAAATATACCCGTGTTATGGGGATCAATAGCCCCGTGATTGTAAAGCATTCGCTTGGCATTCCAAATTCAGGGTGGGATTCCCCATGTTAGTGAAACCCCATTCCTGGTACCCTCCATCTTCCCGGGGCAAGCGTGTCCACTAGCCTATGTCAAAGCCTAGTTTCCACATAAAAATTAGACTTTGACACAGGCATGTAGAGACGCGGTTGCCTTGGGAATATGGGCACTCCCTGCCTTGAGATGACAGTAAAACTGCCCGTACCAACATACTCGGGGCGGTCGGGTAGCCTAGTGGTTTAAGCGTTCGCTCGTCACGCCGAAGACCTGGGTTCGATTCCCGACATGGGTACATTGTGTGAAGCCCATTTCTGGTGTCCCCCGCCGTGATATTGCTGGAATATTGCTAAAAGCGGCGTTAAACCATACTCACTCACTGACCAACATACTCTGAAGGGTCAATGTCATGATGGAGTTCACCCAGTACATACCTCCAAACATAATATTCTGTATCAAGTGTATTTTGCAGTGCTAAATGTATGGGTGAGGTGGCCATGGGTGAGATGGTGTTTAATGTCACGTTGAAAATTATTCCACTCATGTAGCTTGCTGCATGCGTGCGTGTGTGTGTGTGCGTGCGTGCGTGCGTGCGTGCGTGCGTGCGTGCGTACGTGGCGTCTACTAGTCCATACATATGCCTGTCTTACAGTGTTTTTTCCTGTCTTCCCAGACACCATGCCGCAGTGTTAACATGGATACCCCACTCAGATGCCGAGCCGCCAGGTAAATGGATGAAACACGTACATTTCGCTGGTATTTAGGAACATTCACTTTTAGAAACGCATATATATATATATATCAGTGACGAACAGGAAACTATCATGAAGAACAATCCTTATCTGTCGGGATATTCCGTAACTAACGGATGTCGAATAAACGGTTTTTTTGTCAAAACGGCCATACTTCAAATCGGCCACAACCACAATAGGGCCACACACCCCAAACAAAATGACCAACGTTTCTAATGTTTTCAAGTGTATACTTTCTTTTGGCCGGCAGTTTTTGTCCCCATTCTTTTGTTATTTATACCACTGACTCATTCGCCTACGTAGCTTCGTTTCGGAAATGACGTCAACTCCTCTTTCGGGCCAATCTCAAACGTAGCACAGAATTTCTCTCCTTCGTGACAGTAATGTGATTGGGCGGCTATTTTTAGCGTCGCGTGTTTCAATTCGGGTTGAAAACGAGGCTTTGGGGTCAAATGAGGCCAGGGTGTGTATCCTAACAGAATGGAGATATAATACTCTGGACACTCGAGGATGGCTTGACACAAACTCGTGAAGCGGGACTTGTGTTTATAATGAATTTATTCACATAAGGCAACAAACTGTTAACGTATTTGATAGCATTGCTAAACAAACACAGATCATCCCACTTCTCTTCAAAGTCTCTTCAGTTTGGTAGTCATTGATACTCCATCTTTTGTTTGCACCTGAAAACACGTACACAATGATGTTACGAAATGTTTGTTTGTTTGTTGTTTAACGCCCCACCCAGCAAAATTCCAGCTATATGACGGCGGTCTGTAAAATAATCGAGTCTGGACCAGACAATCCAGTGATTGACATCATGAGCATCGATCCATGCAATTGGGATCGATGACGTGTATAAAACAAGTCAGCGAGCCTGACCACCCAATCCCGTTAGTCGCCTTTTACGACAAGCATAGTCGCCTTTTACGGCAAGCATGGGTTGCTGAAGACCTATTTTACCCCGGATCTTTACGGGTCGATTGATAAATTGAACATAAGTAAGTTATTATAAGATTTATGTTCTTTATGCTAATAATTTACAATAATCAGAATACTGAGATGTCAATGGAAAGACAGTATATCGGTCCTGCAGATTTAAGCATAAAATGAAAAGTGGATTTACGTGCGGCAAGTATAAGGAACATATTGCATATTACACAGCGACTATGGCCTGTTAATTTGAAATAGTCTTAATCCGGGCGATTTAACGGGTTTATTATAATAGAATAGGGCATTTATATTACACATAATTCCACACAACACAGGGCCATGCTCAAAGTGATGGTATTATCCCGGTCACTGGATCAGTGTGCACCCAAGAATCATTCACAGCTCCCTGGGGAGTATACAACCCAAGCTGCCTGTTAGGCGCTAGAAGGTTAACAACCACATTGCCACCTCATCCTACCGGGTACCCATTCACTGCTGGGTGAACAGAGGCACGTTTCAAACAATGTCACTTGCCCAAGAAGACGCCACCTGTGTTACATGTGCTTCGGTTAGGGGCAGGACCGGAGCCCCAGAAACTCTCTGGAGCCAAGCTACCGAAACGCGGTCACCCATCCAAGGACTCTCCGCAACCGGCGTTGCTTAACTTCACCTGATATGTGACCTGTGCAATCATTTTGTGCACGCACACGCACACGCACACGCACACGCACACGCATCCCGCCTATGTCGTTACCTACCCCGACCAGGGGGGCACGGGTGGCCCAGTCGTCTAAGGCGCCGCGATTCGCTGTGCAGAGTTGCGTCCCCTGGACACGCCAGAAACCTATGATTGTGGGTTCGAATCCCGGTTCGCCCCGATTATGTTTCTAGGTTTGTCAGCACCATACCCGTGCTCGTGGGTTTCACCGAAGTGGTAAACGTCTAAGACCTGCATCACTTCGGGCTTTCCTCCCACAGTAAGCTGACACGCCGTGATATAACTGGAATAATGTTAAAAGCGGCGTTAAACCAAACTCACACACACACACACACCTACCCCGACCATGTAGTCCCCTTCGATGCATCTGTCTGTGGTCCACTCTCGTGTAGTTCCGTCTTTCTCCATCTTATGACTCTCAACGAAGTGACCGCCCTTCATGTTTATACAGCTCTGTGGAGAACAGTAGCAGAAGTAGTAGTAGTAGTAGTAGTAGTAGTAGTAGTAGCAGCAGTAGTAGCAGTGGTAGTAGTAGAAATATTGAGGTGAGGTGAAATGGCGTTTAACGTCACGTTCAAGATTATTGCACTTATATATCGAGGTGCATGCAAGTGTGTGTGTTTGCTTGTACTAGTCCGGACTTATGCCGATTGATAGTGCTAGTCCAGCAAGATACCAGTCTTTGTTTAGCCCCTTCATGCCGAGCATTTTTTGTTATGACGCGTCCGGGGATCGAACCCCCAACCTTCCGCTCTCCAGGCGGACGCTCTACCACTAGACCACGGAGGCAGTCAGCAGAATTAGTAGTAGTAGTAGTAGTAGTAGTAGTAGTAGTAGCAGTAATAGTAATAGCAAAAGTAGTAATAACAGCAGTAGCAGTTGTAGTAACAGCAGCATCACTAATAGTAGCAGTAGCAGTAGTAGCAGTGTGGAAGAGATATGAGATGATACCAAGTACAAGCAGGTGATATCACAAAGAGACGCGGTAACAGCTGGCGGACTGGAGGTGAGGTGAAATAGGGTTTAACGTCGCGTCCAAGATTATTGCACTTATATAGCGACGCGCATGCACGTGTATGTGTGTGTGTGGCTGCTTGCACTAGTCCGGACTGATGCCGATTTATAGTGCTAGCACACTTAGATACGATGCCGCAGTTTAACACGAATACCCCACTCAGACACAGTATACTGACTCCGAGCCGACCAGTCCTTGTTTTAGCCCCTTAATGCCGAGCGCAAGACAGGGTAACAACAAGTACAATCTTTTAACGTCTTTTGGTATGACGCGGCTGGGGATCGAACCCCGGACCTTCCGCTCTCCGGGCGGACGCTCTACCATTACACCACGGAGGCGGTCGGCGGACTAGAGTGTCTGGGTTAACGCATACAGTGTACTGGTAGAAGGAGTAGTATGGAGTTGCTGCCTTTCTCACTTCGCAAGGTTAGCAGAGATTTCTTATGATTGTCCAAAGGGCTGTGTCGCTTTTTTCACCCAATCCTTGTTCGCCTTACCGTCATACTTGAACCATCAAAGCTTTTGTAGGACAGGGGAACACCGAGCTGGAACCTGAGTTCTTGGTTAAACCCTTTCGTCTCCAGACGAGCAACCAGGGTGCTACCATCCAGGGCAAATGTATACGTCGCTTGCATGTTTTTATACAACTCTCTCTTCTCCGCCGGAATCTCTGCAAGTGTAAGCATGAGGAAGTGAATGAATATAGTTTGACGCCGCTCTTGTCAATATCGAATGCAAGAGTTAACCGAAATTGGTGAGGTGAGGTGAAATGGGGTTTAACGTCGCGTCCAAGATTATTGCACTTATATAGCGCTGTGCATGCACGTGTATATGTGCCTGCTTGTACTAGTCCGGATTGATGCCGATTTATAGTGCTAGCTCACAGAGGGATCAAACCCCGGACCTTCCGCTCCCCGGGCGGACGCTCTACCACTAGACCACGGAGGCGGTCTGACCCGAAATGGACTTCGCACATTGTACCAATTAGGGAATCTAAGCCGGATTTCGTCCGAAAGAGAGAACCTTTAACTATAAAGTTACTATACCGCTGATTCAATATCTACCATCGTCGAGTGTCAGTTTTGTTTTAAAAAACACCCCTGGATCCCTAGAAGTCAGGGAGATCCTTGAACACGTAAATAATCCGCCATTTGCCACAACTAGTCAATTCATGTACCACCAAATGATTTGGTTATGTTTTACTTAAACGTCAACATTATTAAAATGCTTTAAAAACACACCCAAAAACAAACAAAACCAAGCAGAACAAAACGCGTAAATCATAGGTGAGAATGGTTCACAGTATAACAAGTCGTACCCATTGTATCCGAGAAAGCATCAAAGTTTTGGGTCAACTCCGGCCTCACTTCCCATTTTCCAACAAACTTCTCCATGCTGATGTCTGTTACGTGACGACAGAGATTGCGATGCTCATGTTGGACTCTTTATATATATACCCACAAACTGGTGACTCAGATATGTAAACAGCCTTTTACACTCAGATAACAGTGTTGATAACTAAGCTATCAAAAGGCGACCGCTTATGACGAATAAACTAGAGTGATCATATTAGGTCATCATTAATTAATATACTACTCAAGGTTGGCTAAGGATCACCACTGTAAAAGGTAATACTGGGTGCATCTGTTGAAATAGCCAACGATAATATTGCACGAAGTCATATTTCGTGAACAAAGGTTCACAGTGCCACAAAATGCTATCAAAAAACATGTGACCAAGAATCAGTAGGATTACCCGTCAAAATGGGAGTATCTGACCAAAAATGACACATAAAAAAATCATGAAAACAAATTCATGGTCCTGAAAAGCAGCTCTCAGAGGCGCGTATATGTGATCCACGTGATGCGTTTGTTTGTGCGGGGATGTATAGTGGTACATTCGGCGACATGGTAGCGTGGTGGTTCAAGCGCTATAGAGCCGGTTCGATTCCCCACTTGGATACATTGTGTGAAGTCCATTTTAATAGTTCTAAATGCGGCGTAAAACCACACTCACTCACTAATGGCTCGTTCTCCTTCAGTAAGGTATCATATCACGTATCTGTTTTAGTCTTCAGCGAATGACTTGTATTTAGAATAGCACGATCGATGACGTATTTTTTGTCATTTCATTAATCAGGTCAGTCCAAAACACTTTACCCGCCCTGTACCATGTGTTGTGGTCTGTCTCCCAGACACCAAGAATATATTAAAAATGAAGTCCAACTCAAATCTAGAATGATTGGGCAAGTCTAGATTGCCTCAGTTGTAGCCTGAAATTAAGAATTGCACTGGGCTCCTTTTGGATTTTATTATTTTTATTTTGTTGATATAATTATATTTTTAAATAAGAAACTTTATTTCTGGAACTAATGTCAGTCTACACAGGTTGTTCAGTGAATGGTTGGATCAAGTGCACAAACAGTTCTATAGTAACTATATACGAGTATAACTCTGCCGTCGCTTTATGGTTAAAAATACTAACGATGCTACGTTACATAAAAATTTACTTTAAAAAAAACATGTTACTCGGGCGTCCATTCATGTATTCTTGGCACTTCATATACCGGATAGTAAAATTGTAAAAATCAAGTATTAACTCGAAAATCCATACTCTTATTCTGGAGAATGCGTTTAACAGGGCGTTAAAATACATTAATTTCATGTATTTCCATGCTTTACTTACCCCCGCCTTGTTTGTTCCGGACACTTCAAATACATGACAGTTAAAACACTCGAAATTCGAAATAATTACAAAAACGTATTTAAATACATGGAACGGGTATTTTGCGTGGTTACCATAAGCGCATGCATATTTGATGGATATTCAGTACAAAACAGAAATATTGTTCGTTATCATAATTTTGAAGGAAGGATTGTCGAACGTCAATGTATAATTAACTGTCATATAAAACATGAATAATATCTTCAAGAAAGTTACTTTGTTTGTATAGTATGTCGGTTTCATCATTCACTCAAACATTTTGCTCATTGCTGAAACGAACGAAAACAATAGAGCGATTGTTTTACTGTGTTAAACATTCGTTAATATTAGGAATGTCATGGCACGATAAAGGGTTTTGTATCGTGTGTTTCTGTGTCGTAGAGAATTAATATTTGCATTAAAATATATATGAATTATGGTCGCCAAAGGCTCCAAATATTCCTAAAATATGAGTGAGTGAGTTGGGTTTATCGCCGCTTTTAAAAAGTATTTCAGTTATATCTCGGCGTGTCAGCTTAATGTGGGAAGAAAACCAGAAGTGATGCAGGTCTCAGACGTTTACCATTTCGGTGAAACCCACGAGCACGGGTATGGAGCTGACAAACCTAGAAACATAATCGGGGCGAACCGGGATTCGAACGCTCAATCATAGGTTTCTGGCGTGCCCAAGGGACGCAACTCTGCACAGCGAATTGCGGCGCTGAGACGACTGGGCCACCCGTGCCCCCCCCCCCCCCCCCCCCCCCCCCCCCTCCGCCCCTCCTACCCATCCCCTATGCAGAATAGAAGCAATGGGTGCATATCAAATGAGTAGTCGAAGCTTATAATGCTCGCTCGAAGCCTTTTAGGGCCATTTGTTTTTTTTATTTCTTTCGATACTATCTTGAAATTTCTACATAGTATCTTGAAATTTCAAGATAGTAACTTGAAATTTCAACTTAGTTTATTGAAATTTCAACTTAGTATCTTGAAATTTCAACTTCTGTATCTTGAAATTTCAACTTAGTATCTTGAAATTTCAACTTAGTTTCATGAAATTTCAACTTAGTATCTTGAAATTTCAACTTCTGTATCTTGAAATTTCAACTTAGTATCTTGAAATTTCAACTTAGTTTCTTGAAATTTCAACTTAGTAACTTGAAATTTCGAGATAGTATCGAAATAAAATATATAAAACAAATGGCCCTAAAAGGCTTCCGTATATAGCTGCACTATTGCGGAGTGCACCTAAACATGCACCAACACACAAGAGTAATAATCTCTATTTATCATGGCGTGTCATTCCATGGGTTTGGTTTATGGCGCCCTACACCATTGGGTCGCCTGCTCCTCTTTGTGCAGTGTGCACAACATAAAACACTCACGTTGACATGCTGGTGTTTATTTGTGCTCTTTATCACGACTAGGTATGTATGCATAAACGTACAATTAGTGAAAAGGACAGTTTTAGATCTTCAAGTGAAAATCAAACTATTGAGTATTGTTTACCATGTCTTCACTGTCTTTTTACATCACGTAATAAAAATAGCTTGGTCAAGGACGTGCATTTTTTTCAATTATAAGAAAAATGTTACACGAGAACCTCTATAATGCAATCGGGTAGCCTAGTGGTTAAAGCGTTCGCTCGTCACGCCGAAGACCCGGGTTCGATCCCGACATGGGTACATTGCTGGTGTCCCCCGCCGTGATATTGCTGGAATACTGCTTTCAAGCGGCGTAAAACCATACTCACTCGCTCACACACTATAAGACAAAATGAGCCTTTTCGACATGTTTTATCCTTACTGGTTATAACATTTAGTTATGTTATAAATCCAAAACATATAGATATCCCAGGAAACGTTGGGGTTTAAAAAAAAGCAGGGTGGTTCTGAAAAAAAAACACCCAAAAAACACAACCACCTTATTCTCATTCATGTTGACATACTAGCTGACCTTCAGAAGGGACCCGACCGCCTCCGTGCATGGTCTAGTTGTAGAGCGTCACACCGGAGAGACGAAGGTCCGGGATTCGATAATGTTATATGACGTTAAAAGGTGGTACTTGCTGTTTCCATGTCTGGAGCTCGGCATTAAGGGGCTAAAACAAAGACTGGTCGGCTCGGGGTCAGTATACTGTGTCTGAGTGGGGTATTCATGTTTAACTGAGGCATGGTATCTCAGTGAGCTAGCACTACAACTCGACATCAGTCCGGACAAGTACAAGCAGCCACACACACACACACACACACACACACACACACACACACACACACACACACACACACACACACACACACATGTACATGCAAGTCGCTATATATAAGTGCAATAATCTTTGACGCGACGATAAACCCCATTTCACCTCACCTAGTAGGGGACCCGTGAAGATCCGGGTTAGAATTGATCTTCACCAAACCATGGTAAGGGGCGACTAACGGGATCGCTGACTTGGTTTATGTATGTCATCGTATCCCAATTGCTTAGATCGATGTTCATGTCAATAACTGGATTGTCTGGTCCAGACTCGATTATAAAGAGATCGCCGTCATACAGCTGGAATATTGCTCAGTGCGGCGTTAACCAACCAACCAACTTCCATAACGAGTTTTAGATGTATGCTAGTATCTCACTGAACTTAAAACATCACATGTATTATTGGTTATACGATTCTGACTGGGTCATCGAGTTGCTCTTCCAGATATGATATAGTGAGTGAATTGAGTGACTCAAGAATGGGTTTTTACACGAGCTGGACTTCGGCCCCGATCTGGAGTGAAGGGCGAAGTTTTTAACACTCGTGACAATGTACACGTTCACATGACGTGTGCCGCTGTACATGAGGTGCATATCTCCGGGTAACATAAGTGGGCGCATGAGACACTGTCTAGATAACACACACTTGATACCCTCCCTCCCTCTCTCTCCCTATCTCTTTCTCTCTCTCCCTCTCTCTCTCTCACTCTCCCTCTCTCACTCTCTCTCTCTCTCACTCTCTCACTCCCTCTCTCTCTCCCTCTCTCTCACTCTCTCTCCTCTCTCCCTATCTCTTTCTCTCTCTCCCTCACTCTCGCTCTCTCTCTCGCTCTCTCTCCCTCTCTCGCTCTCTCCCTATCTCTTTCTCTCTCTCCCTCACTCTCTCTCTCTCTCTCTCTCATAAATTCGCTGATGACGGAGCAATATGGGTAAAGCACAGAGATATTTCACAAATCCGAGACCCGTGAAGATCCGGAGAGGAATAGGTCTTCAGTACCTCATGTTTGTCTTAAAAGGCGACTATGCTTGCCGTAAAAGGCAACTAACGGGATCGGGTGGTCAGGATCGCTGACTTGGTTGATGCATGTCATCGTATCCCAATTGCGTGGATCGATGCTCATGATGTGAATCACTGGATTGTCTGGTCCAAACTCGATTATTTACAGACCGCCTCAATCCAGCTGGAATATTCTTGACTGTGGCGTTAAACAACAAACAAACATGGCAGCATAGTCACATGTTGAAACATGTCTGTTAACATCATATCTAAACATATTCAAAGTAAATTAACATGGTCTATATCAACACATCCCTTCACCATGGTATGCCAGTACTTGAGAAGTCATACTTTAGTTTTGAATCTCAAAGATAGGAATTAGCAGGAGACAAATGGAATTAGATTTGGAGGTCTTTGGTCATTTCTAATTTGATCATTCTTCAAACAAAATCAAATTTTTAATGCTCAGGGCCATTGGCAAAATACCTTGGTCTAAACTCTAAATGAGCGAGTGAGTATATGGTCTCTAGATGGTGTGACACGCTTTGAACTGTATTCTTGCTGGAATACCGCAGTTTAATGTTGGAGGAAAGCGCGAAGTGATGCATGTCTCAGACTTTTATCACCTGTGAGAAACCCACGAGCACGGTGCTGACAAACGTAGAAACATAATCGGGGCTAGGGGTTCGAACCCACAAACATAGGTTTCTGGCGTGCCCAAGGGGCGCAACTCTGCACAGCGAATCGCGGCGCCTTAGACGACTGGGCCACCGGGGCCGTGCCCCCTTAATGTTGGAGGAACGCACGAAGTGATGCATGTCTCAGACTTTTACCACCTGTGAGAAACCCACGAGCACGGGTATGGTGCTGACAAACGTAGAAACATAACAGGGGCCGGGGCAAACCAGGTTTTGAACCCACGATCATATAGGTTTCTGGCGTGGCCAAAGGATGCAACTCTACACAGAGAATGCCAGTACCTCAAACGTCTGGGGCACCTGTGATCCCTTTAAAATCTGAGGCCCTGTCTCCAGGTAGTAAGCTCCTTAACCCATGTAATAGACAGGCTAATGTTTTCTCATAATAAAGAAGTTGACATTCATAAATTCTCTTCCTTATAATTAAGAATGATTAATTAACCCTCGGCTTCCTTATAAAATTGCCATGTGCATTTTCTGCACATTTCTCAAATATCATCATGAATTAAACCATAACATGTAACAGCACGTACGGTGTCTAGTCAAATTCATCCTAAACAGTACAAAATCCATTACCATTTCCACCTAAAGCTCCACGATAACTCACAGTAACAGCCTAAATATAGTTATGTAGTGGTAAGCAACGAATAAAGGTGATGTTCTTACCCCCCTTTCAATGTACGACGCCAAGCTCCAAAACAGCGCGTGACACCTTTGTTCCTTTCCTATATCGTTTCCGGGAACGGACTATCGCTGTAAGGAGCTTAGTAAGACGCATGCGCTCATGTCATTTTATTTCCGCCATTTATTCAGGTGCGTGTTTGTGAAATTGTGTTTGATGTAGATCTATACAGCTTTTATTTTTCTAACTAAATAGGAACACGTTGAAATAATTTACTACCTCACTTACATTTCTGCTGTTTTTAGCACATGTTTGAAAAAAAGAAATGGAGAGTTATTGGTTAACTGACGCACGTTGAATTTCTGGAATCAAAACCACGTTTTTCTTTTTGAAAATCAAAACACCTTCTTATCATACGAATAAATACTGTTTATAAAGAGTTAAAAATTGGGACAGACTTTCTTTCTGATTTCGATAAATCTTGTTTTAGTAGTCTAAAAATTACCTGACAAACGTAACTGACCACGTATTGTATTTGGCTTCTTCACACGAAGCACACTATTTGCCTTCTCGGGTTTCTGTCTTGCATGCCAGTACTGACTAAGAACTGATCATCTGAGGAATCTAAAGAATGTTATTTGTTTAAACTGCATGGTGCAGTGTTGGTTTGCACACATTTAGGATGTTGTCATAGCACATGTGACTGTATAATGTATTTATGTTGGCATATCTAACGTATCAAAACATTCCTAATCAGCTAATAATAGTATTTCATTTATTATGAAGGATATCATAATTTTGTTTCCACTAGTTGTAGGTTTAGGTATACCATAACAGAGCTCCAGATAAGCTGCGTATCTGCGTAAAATACGCATCAGAAATGCAGAAATACACACTAAAATATAATCCAAGCGTATCAAATACGCAACGAACATTACAGATACGCTACAAAAATAAAACTTGTGCGTTTCATCAAAATATTGTGAAGTAACCCTGCATATTCGATTAGCAAATCAGCAACTTATTTTGAAATTATAAAGGGGCATTCTGCAACCTTGCCAAACTCCACGATGACAGTTACATAGTGATCATTTGCCATCACACTTTCTTGTGGAAGTATCGTGGTATTTTTGAGTCCTATAAAGCTCTCGAACCCACACGACACCAGTTTGCAGGGACTAGATGAATGGTGTTTTTAGATATTTAACTTAAATACCCACATGTGTAGAAACTAGTGGGTAACAGAAATTTGAATACGCAGGTAGAATTACTGATACCCAATGATTTTAAAATGCATGGGTAAAATACCCACAACACCAAAAGCTTATCTTGAGCTCTGCATAAGCAGGAGATGGATAGCCAAGTCAAGGAGTCGAATACCAACCAAAACTGCTCTATACACAATTTGTTTTAAAAAGCTATTACTGATGCTATAGCGATAGACATTTTTCCACTCTCAGGATTGGGACGAGAGGCTAAGGGCAAATGGTAGTTAAGTACATGTATTGAAGATTAAGGCAATCCCTTGATTCAATTACCATAGCAAATGGGAAGCACCCCAGCACTCGCTTGGGCATTTCAGAGATTGGTTTGTCTATGCACTAATGCAGTCTGACAAAAAACATTTGAGTCTACTAGCCTGAAAATTGCTCTTATCATTTTCAGTAGATTTTTAGTATTGTTATGTGGTCTTTTTTTAGCTTAGCTTAACAGACTAAAAGTGACCTTAAACCAGACATTTTCTCTTCTCTGGCTAAAGTCGCAGATAAATGATATAAAAAACCATATCATAGTGAAAAGACGTACAAAATTGTTCCCCTATGAACATTTTATATTCTGAAAACTATGTTACCCAATACGAAAAAGCAATCATTTCCAAGTTGTAGTGGTGTACTACTTAAATTTGCATATTATTCCTAACGCTGCTTTTATCCCCAGCTTGTTGGGTTAGGTGGTATTGAAGTGTCTTAAATCTTAGCCTGTCTATTACATGGGTTAAGGAGCTTATTACCTGGAGGCAGGGCCTCAGATTTTAAAGGGATCACAGGTGCCCCAGACGTTTGAGGTACTGGCATTCACTGTGTAGAGTTTACTCTTTGGCCATGCCTGAAACCTATGATCGTGGGTTCAAATCCTGGTTCACCCCCCTGTTAATGTGTTTTGTTTCTCAGTGTTAGAAACTAACAGTTTTAGTCCACTAGTCCTTATAATGATAACATATAGCAAAACCCTTAAAAGGGCTAATTTCTACTGGTCTTTGTGATACCTTACAATTGGGCAGTTTGGCAAGGACTATGGGACTAGTGCCAATTTCTACAGCTGTTTCTACGCTTGTCAGCACCATACCCGTGCTCGTGGGTTTCTCACAGGTGGTAAAGGTCTGAGACATGCATCACTTCGCGCTTTCCTCCCACTTCAATTTAAACTGGTATGTCGTGATATAACTGGAATACTGTTCGAAGCGTGTTACACCAACTCACTCGCTCATTCAGAGTTTAAACCAAGATATTTTTCAAGTGGCCCTGAGAATTTAAAATTTGATTTTGTTTGAAGAAGGATTAAATTAGAAATGACCAAAGACCTCCAAATCTCATTCCATTTGTCTCCAGCTAATTCCTATCTTTGAGATTCAAAACTAAAGTATGACTTCTCAAGTACTGGCATACCATGGTGAAGGGATGTGTTGATATAGACCATGTTAATTTACTTTGAATATGTTTACATATGATGCTAACAGACAGGTTTCAACATGTTACTGATGCTGCCGTGCGATAAATATCCACCTTATCAGTGTGACATTCATAAAATTCATAAATATTCAATAAACACAATGCTGTTAGCAGTGGTTAAGAAAGATTTAGCCAAAAAAGTCCCTTTGTTTAATGTTATGTGTTACGTTGCCATGGTGCTTTGCTTATTTATTATTTTCTATTATTTAATTATAATTATGGTTACATGATTTATGCTCTTTTTTATTGAATTTATTTGTATAGCGTGGTATATTCATTATGTATGTCTCCTGTGTTAAACATCTTGCAGTGCATGCTCAGGACGTTAAATTCACATATATTTATGCTCTACATGTTAATTACATATATTTCATCACATTTATTATGAGTATCATTTATATGTATTTTATTTACTAGATTTTATCAGCATCCTGTGAGAAAATTAATCTGAGAATATTTTTTTGCTGTTCCTAGGATATCTGAGGTAACTGTTTATATATCTTTATTGATGTTTAATTTATGATTTATTTATTTATTTATCATGTTTAACTCTCCATGTTATGTGTTATATGGGGTTCTCTACTAACAAACTGCCTGAATAAGAGATTGTTTCATGATCATGATGATTAATAAAATATATGTAATAATAACTATGTGCCCCACATTATTCCTTAGGCTGTAATAATATGTGTTTTACATTGATGGTGAATATGATTATTAATAGGTAATGTATTATCTCTGATTTTCCTGTTTGTAAGTTGTAAATATTCCTCTTGAACCTTAGATGCTCAAGGAGCTTTGTTAACATTGCTCAAACCTATTTATTTATAACACAAATTAACAATAAATGGCTTATAAATTTGGTGCCCTGGTGATCACTTTGTCACTTAAGATGGATTCTAATTGATATTTGATCATTTTGAATTTGTTGAATTGAAACTAGCGTTCCCGTTTACCGGTAATTACCTGTTTTTTTCCGGTAAATTCAGGCTTGTACTGGCTTGTGACTGCCAGTCCCTTTGGACCGGCAAATAAAGTACCTTATAAATGTTGGTGATAAACATTGGTGATATGCATATAAGTACATTTTTCGAACAGTCAGCTTGTCTGTTACCATCAGGGTTTCCCCATGTCTATTTCTAGGTTAAACATCCATTTGTAGTGACATCGTCTTGAAATATGAAAAAAAAAAGAGAAAATTGTGACGACATCTTTGCACTGAATATGATGTTGAAAGAATTAAAATCCCCAAAAATTCATACATTTTTTTATTTGTTGAAAGTTTGGGCCGGCAAAACTTCGGGGGGACTGGTAATTTTTAGAGTTGCCAGATCACAAGGACTGTCAGTTTCAAAAGCCAGCGGGAACGCTGAAATATTATCAGTGAACATCAGGGATTTACGTAGGCCAATTGCTTAGTTTGTAGGGATCTCACGATTCACCAATTGTACCAATGCATCAGTAGATAATTTTCGAGATATGATACGAGATAATGTATATCGATACAAAATTTTATTGAAATTGGTACCCATTTGTTTGCGTATCAATTGATTTTTCTTTTCAAATCGAAATTTCATCATATTTTCTGAATTTGACACATACAAAAAATAGTGTCTGACTCTTGTTTGAATAAATAGAATCAACCCTTTCTAAGTATTATTATTTTACAAAATAATCTACTGATAGTGATTAGAACACATAATTGTGAAAGTGATATGTAATTAAAAAGTTTGCTTCTAAATTTACGCTTAAAAAGTCGGTTATGCTGTATCGAGATATGTATCGTATCTTGACCTCAAAATTGAGATACATGTTGTATCGTGACACCCCTATTGGTTTGGTCGCAGAAATAAAATGCATCCCAAGAGAACCACATTAAATTATACATCCGACTTGAAGTTAGGAATTTCATCAGTGGTTTAAGAGTCTCTCGAACTCAAGTATGTTTTCACACATATAATGGCAGAGCTACAGAGCTGCGTATTTGCGTAAACCCCCCCCCCAATTCTTTTTTTCAAAACCCATTTACTTTCAATTAACTTGCGTAAAGAAACGCATGCATTAAATGAAATACTCAAATGTATAAAAACAGCATGCGTAAATATCCAATGAAGCTTTTTCAGCATGTGTACAATGGAGCTAATTTCCGAAACACAAACATGAGGTAATTGACTTTCCAAGGCAACCCTTAAGTTAGAACCCTTGTATACATTATTTTAATTTTTTTTGAAATCTCAAAATCTTATCTCATTTTGGGAAAAACCCAATAGAGTGATGAATAGATGAGTGAAAAAATATTGGTTACCCAATGAAAAATGTAATAACCCAATAAAAATAGAAACCTTCGAGTAAAAACCCAATTGCTCAAATAGTTATCTGCAGCTCTGTAATGGTGTTTGGTTAAACCATGATTGAGATGTCATCTGAAGTATGGCTGAACTCCTGTACCTTTCACAGGACCCTAAAAAATATGTACTGGGTAATCAGAGTTTGGTTGTAAAATCAGGATTTATGATTGAATCATCCAAACTGATCAAGTTATGAAATTAATCGGTCAGTGTCATTTTGCTCTTTTTAAATGTTTTAATCAGTGAAACTCAATGACACTTAAAAACTAAATAAAAATACTGTCACTACTGTGTCCAATGTAGCAGGGTTCACTCAAATATTCTAGAGGTACACCCACACTTGCCCATACAACAGCACAGTGTGTAAATGCCCTGTTGTATTTGAAAATGTGCTCCTGTTTCAAACTCTTGGGCCCCAGCTTCAGGAAACAAGTTTCTCAGGGTTGAGCGAGGGCTAAAAATTGTTTGTAATCAATTGTGGAAAATTGTGTTCTATTGTTTGGTCATTTGGACCTTATGATCAATCTTTGATTACCTGTATTTTTATTAATCGGAACTACACTGTTAACTAGACTCATTCTCTGAGATTCTGCAGTCTGGTTTCAAAGATATCCGGATGATTCACAAGCTACTGGATAGCTGCATCACTTCAGGCTTCCCTCCCACATTAGCTGACACGCTGCGATGTAACTGAAAGACTGTTCAAAGCAGCTTTAAAACCCAACTCACTCACTCAAACAAGTTGATTCTTTCATTCAAGCTCTTGGTTCCTGGATAATCTGGAAGTATTGATGTCAATAATCATCATAATACAGTGTTCCCTCGTTATTGCGCCCTTCAATACAGCGCTAACTCAGTAATAGCGCACGGTAAAACATGGCTCCCCAAATTAACTAACATTTGCAATAAACTCAAGTTTTCCAATGACACAATGTTTTCCCCCCATCACAGAAAACATTATCAGCTGATCACCGCGATCACGTAACACCGGAAATACCTGTCAACAAATCCGAACTGAAGTATGCAATTTATAATCCTATTATTATAATATCTTGTAATAAAAATAAATCATTGTTTATCTGGACTAATGGTTGCAATATATTTGAATTATATTCAAAATTTCTTTCAGTATTTATAATAATGTTTACAATAATTTTGACGAAATCGTATGCGAAGTGATCAATAGATCGCACAACTCACCGTATATGTATATGAAATCAGAATAAAAGCAGTTACAGATAAAAACGTACAGCATTAGTTTTGGTGGTTACCATGGTACTGTCTTGTTGTTTGAAAAATAATCCTGATATATCTCAAACTAATATCAGGGGCAGTGGGATAGTCTAATAGTCATAGATAGTCTAATAGTCATAGATAGTCTAATAGTCATAGCCCTGAAGAACCCAATCCATGTCCCCCGTCGTGATATTGCTTGAAAATAGTTGAAACTATACTCACTAAACAAAAATCAGAATAAGACACAACACAAGCTTTTAATAAAGAAATGCTCCCCAATTTAGCTGCCATGTGTACTTAGTTTGGAATCATAGATAAATCCTGTTGTCAGAAAATTTGGACAAAGTTTACTTTATGAAACAAGTACCCATTTCATTAACATCTGATGACAATATGATGTATTTATCAAACCAAGAAGTAAAAAACCAGTCTGTACCTAAGCAATACTAACCAAGAGAATAGTGAGATTTTGAAAATTCTTTCGCAGAATGCAAAAGTTGGCTTAAACATTCATTTCCATTCCACAATTTTCATTAACATGTCAATTTTCTTTTGACAGGCACAACCCTTTAACCATTTTTTTCTACCTTTTTTTTCATTTATCCATTATGGATTCCCAAGAAGTGTGTGGGCCTAATTCATCTGTGCAGAATGGATTACGAAGGATGTCCAGAAGACTACTCGGGCAATTTGGTGGATTCGAAGACCAACCTGATCATCAACTACCTGCCCCAAACCCTCACAGATGAGGAGTTCAGGTCCATGTTCCTCAGCATCGGGCCTGTCAAGATGGCCAAGATAGTCCGAGACAAGAAGACGGGGTACAGCTATGGGTTTGGTTTTGTTGACTATGATAACGAGAACGATGCAGAGAGAGCCATCACCACCTTGAATGGTCTTCAGATGCAACACAAGAGGATAAAGGTGGCGTTTTCACGCAAGGGGGACTCTGGGGAAACGGTAAAGGGAGCTAACCTGTACATACGTAGCATTCCTTTGTACTGGGGGGAGAACGAACTAAACAACTATTTCAGTCCATACGGTGATATTGTACAAAGTCGAGTCCTTGTAGATTTGAACACAGGAATTTCCAAAAGGGTCGGCTTTGTTCTTTATAGCAAGAGGTCGGAGGCCGAAACTGCTATTGAGTACCTGAATGGAAAGGCCCCACCAGATTCCCCGGACAACCTGCTGATCAAGTTTGCCGACGATAGTTCCAAGAAGGTCAAGGCCCCATCAATGCCTCCACCCCCTCCACCGTTCCAAGGGATGGGCTTCAAACCACGCTTCAACTCGCCAGGACCAATGAGGAGCCAGAGAAGCCGACCCCACTTCAACCCGATGGGCAGTCAGAATGGAAATGGTAGTAGCTATGGGGGTAGCCAGCATTCTCAGTACCACGGTCAAGATCAGGACGATGAGAACGATGGACATGTTCTGTTTGTGTACAACATCGGCACCGAGGCCGATGACCGAGTGCTGTGGGAACTGTTTGGGCCATGTGGCACCGTCAGCAAGGTTACAGTTATGATGGATCAGGCTAAGGGCATCTGTAAAGGCTTTGGCTTTGTCACCATGCCTAATTACCAGGAGGCAGAGTATGCCATCAGGGCCCGTAACGGCATGTGGTATAATGGCAAGCAGTTGCAGGTTTCATTTAAGAAATGATTTGGAATTTGTTATTCAATTGTTACATGAACTTTTAACTAAGGAACCACAGAATTGATCATGATCGGTAAAATGTTACACTAATCTTATTGTTGACATTGGTTAATATGGATTCACTGAGGAAGGTTAAGGCTTAAAAAAATATAAAAAAATTGGTTCTCAGGCAATCATTTTTTAAAAACATAGTGCGGGTGGGAAGTGTTTTTTTCCCTTTTTGGGGGGCTTGTTCAAACTAGCATGTAGCCAAATAAACAGTTTGTGTACAATCCACCTGGGAAATGTCCTCCCTACATAAACAATCATACAGACTCCTATTGCCGCTGACCATAACACAAGATGCGCAGTAAAGCAGTGCGCATGTAAAGGGAAGTAACTGCATGCTCTATTGGATCGCAATGTTTTTAAGTCCCAGTGTATTAGAATTTATATATTTTTTAAAACGAAACATGCGACAGACTTGAGTATGTTGCGGGCGGTGCCTGAGAACCAAGACCATTTGTTAGCTTAAAAGTAAGTTAAGGATGTCAGCCGGTATGGTTTTGTGTTCAACTGTTGTGTATGAGGGTGCTTCTACATGTCTTATATATCTATCACAGACATGAAGTGGTGCAGCTGATGACTAAGGACTAAGTCAAATTTTGAAACACCATGTATATACCAAACAAAAACAAATTATTCCAATTATGTCAAGGTCTCCTATTAGGTAAGTATGACATCATTGCATAGTAATCTTGTTTACCATGGAATGCCACTTCACATTAGAGGTAAAGACATAATTGCAAAACTTGTTACCCATTTGCCTAAAAAATTGGCACACAAATGTTCAAAAAGTTTTCATGCTGAAAAGTGATGCTTATATTTTTACACATTGTGATCCATGTTATATGTTCATAATGTTGCGTCAGCCAAACAGATGAAGGTGAAGGGTGATAATGTTTACCAATTGTTGCCATGGTAACACTCACTAACAGTGTCTAAGTATTGGTAACATACATATGGGTAGTACCTTGAGTTGAGTTGAGTTTTTGGTGAATGGATCCATCATATTTATTGTAAAACACTCATTCTTTATAGGAAACTTGAAAAATTGTCTCTTAAAATACCAAAAATAATTCATACTATGGCAGAAAAGCATTTGTTCGATGCATAGATTTATGTACAAGTACAATTCATTAAATCAGATTTCTGTGCTCAAAGCTTTGTGTCGTGGTAGCGAGCGCCAGGATCTGATGGTGAGGAGGTGCATTCAAGTAATTACCATGGCTTAGTTCCACTCCAAGTTTAAGGTTTATAGAATTTACCTTTATGTGGTAATCAGTGCATTATGTGTACTTAAATTGATAAGTATTTGTATTAAATGTGGACAATCCATACTTGTACTTATGTCAATAATTTCACCATGTTAATAATATACCAACAGTCATGCTCAAATTGTGGAAGCAGAAATAAATTTAAGAGGAGTATGGAACTTCTCATTGACAGTGGTATTCGCCAAGTTTGCTATTATTCTGGAATATGATTCCTGTTTTTGTCATGTTTAAATGTTAAAATGCTTATAGTATGTTTTAGTATGAAAAATTCATGACAAATGCATGACATGTTCAATGTTAAACAGATGGCTTTCATTCAAGTTCGTGCCTACTTTTTGATGTGAGAATCATGTTTATTTGTTACAGTTCTGTTTTTCTGAGTTTGAGCAGGTGACACAAATATGTATAATGCCTGCACATTTCATGCAGAATTTGTCAAAATTGGATGTGGAATCCATAAGGGATATGATAGTTTCAATGTTGTGTTATGATGGGTTTATCATACGGCCATGAAGAAGTATATTTTCAAATGTTTTTTTCAGTCCAAGTAATTTTTCTGAGATTATGCAATTCCTCTAAGCATGATGATCATGATAATGAAGGACATTGCATTGTTTGGTATCCAATGTCTAGTGCATAAATCAAATAGTTACTAGTTTTCATCATCTGAATGACAACTCATCCAAATTTTATGTTTTTGTTTTTTTCTCAACAATGTTTGTTAGACTTGAATTCACGTGAAGAGTTTGCAGGTGTTATGAGTATTTGCTGGAACCGGAAACTGTACAACATATGGTCAGATATATACTTTTTAGGGTTGATAATTTTGGTCAGTTTGTTAAAATAACGAAATGTTGATGATTTTGGAGAATTGTTGTTCACTGTTCATCATTGAAGCAGGAGAGGAAGTTAAGCAAGTAAACGTGTTCCACGACACCTGGCAGCGGTAGAAACTAACAGTTTCAGTTTACTAGTCCTTATAATGATAACATATAGCAAAACCTTTAAAAATGGCTAATTTCTACTAGTCCTTAGGATACCTTTACTATTGGGCAGTTTGGCAAGGACTATATGACTAGTGCCAATTTCTAACCCTGCCTGGATAATCACATCAGCATTAATAAATCGTTTTTAAAACACTTGAACCAAACGTTGGTATAACAGCGGTTGAAACTAACAGTTTTAGTCCACAATGTTATAATGCTAACATATTGCAAAACTATTGGGCAGTTTGGCAAGGACTACAGGAGTGCCAATTTGTAACACTGTATAACAATTTCATACAGTATTGTAGTACAAGAATGTCAATACGATACATCAGTTGGGCCACATCCTTACAACACAAGTATCATCCTGTTGATCACATTCATGTAGTCACTATCAGCTGAATCATAATTATGATTGCCATCAACATTTGGCAACCTCTCTTGGCGGGTGCTCATTTGTCTCAATTCTTCACTGTTTTTTCAGCCATTTTGTTATAGATGAGATTTGCTTGAAGCCAAGCATCCTGATTTACAAGATTTCATTGTAATAATTTGTATAAACAGGGATGAGATTTTACCTCGGATTTGTAAGATCAATACATAGAAATATCCCAATGAAATCCCCCAGTCCCCTACTCCCCAGTGTTTTATGGAAAAAACCCATCTCATCCCTGGAGGTTTCATGATTATTTTCGATCAGTGGTACACATACTCATTGTTTCAAAGCTTTAAAAAATTCAATTTTATTTATTTATTTTGTTTACTGTATGCAGGTCTGAAAGCACTTGGGAGGGTAAATTCTGTGAGAAAGGTGATAACTCCAGTATTGCTTGTATTATCAATGAATTTGATATGATTCTCATCGCGTTCAACTGTTCTTGTTGCTGTACAGAATAATTGTTGAAATGTGGCTTTTATTTCTTGAGTGTATAAACCATGTGAACACTGGTGAAGAATACATTACTTTGAAGTATTGATCGGTTTTGGGTCTTTGTTTGTGTTGGAATGAATCAGGCTTTTTGTTTGCATCATGGAAACATGGTAGACCTGACTGCCATCAAAACTAACGGATGTCAGAACCTGTAGGCGTTATTCGACTGAAGTTCCGTGCTTCTGTTTCAAACTCCGAGGTTCACACAGTTTTATGGTTGGAGCTTGCAGCAACAATCATACAATGATCAGCCCTCACTCTATCAAGGTTCATACTCCAATGAATGGGGGGGGGCACGGGTGGCCCAGTCGTCTAAGGGGCGCCGCGATTCGCTGTCCCTTGGGCACGCCAGAAACCTCTGATTGTGGGTTCGAATCCCGGTTCGCCCCGATTATGTTTCTAGGTTTGTCAGCACCATACCCGTGCTTGTGGGTTTCACCGAAGTGGTAAACGTCTGAGACCTGCATCACTTCAGCCTTGCCTCCCACATTAAGATAACATGCCATGATATAACTGGAATACTGTTAAAAGCGGCATGTTCCAAGTGTTCCATGTTTATCGTAGGTGTATATGTTGACACAGGATGAGCATTGATCCAACATTATGTACATTGACACAATCAGCCAAGTCACGGTGGACACCTCGTAGTGTAAGAGCTGACTTGAACATCGATGAACACAAATGCCAAGTTACTATGAGGTGACTTGTCGGACTGTTGACAGCATGTCCAGGTAGTGTGACCTGCAATCAAAGATCTTTACCATAAGGTTCAGACCTGTTTTTCCCTCCCCCACCCGTGAGACCACATATGATTTGATGAACACTGCCTCCGTTTTCTGAGAGCATGTCAGGGGTTCGATCCCAGGCCATGTCACACCAAAAGATGGTACTTTTTGTTCCCCAGCCTGGCACCTCGGCATCAAGGGGACAAAAAATTTATGACTGGTTGGCTAGTAGTGTGTATAATGTGCTAGTGAGGTGTCCATTAACACTGCAGCAAGGTATCTCAGTGGGCTAGCACTATAAATCTGGACAAGTACAAGCATCCATACACGTCGCTGTGTAAGTGCAATTATATTGAACGCAACAAACCCATTTTCACCTCGCCAAATCAACAGCACCATGTGGGCTGCCAATCTCATTAAAATCAGATCTTAGTTCTCGCTACCGCTAAACAAAGATCTGAGGACATCCCATTAGGGTTCACGTCAGAATGACCTTTCATCTGACCAATCAGAGCATTGCTTACCAGATCTTGAGAGCGAGTCGGAATGTGATTTCTAATCATGCAGCCTCAAAAACTTTAAAATGGGTTATTCCGAACGATAGTTACGACTGAATCTATACAATCTAGACCATCTAATAGCCATTCGAGAATGTTTTGTTCAGGTTCAAATTTTGAAACGGTCTGGCGTGACCCGTAATGGGATGTCCTCAGATCTTTGTTTAGCGGCAGCGAGAACTAAGATCTGATTTTAATTAGATTGGTGGGCTGCAGATTTTGACACAGAATGATGTTACTCTTGAACATCTTCAGAACCTCATGCTTGTCATAAAGAGGTGACAGAACGGGATCGGGTGGTCAGGCTCGCTGACTTGGTTGATGCATGTCATTGTATCCCAGTGGCGTGGATTAATGCTCATGGTATCAATCACTGGATTGTCTGGTCTGGACTATTACTTCACAGACCACCATCATACAGCTGGAATATTGTGGGGTTAAACAACAAAACAGAATGATGTCAAAAGTAACAATCATGGAAAAATAATCTATAGCTTTATTATGGTAGTGTACATTATCATAGCATTTGAGGGCATAATAGATTCACTGCCATTTCATTATACACAAATTCACATCTTGACATTTTGATATGAATAATGCAACTTACATTTTTTGGGAGTGAAAATAAATTGTACAAACGTGAATAACCACTTAGTGGGTCCATCGCCTAACATTGGATGGCGAGAACACAGGATGTTTGGAATGATGAAACATTGAAAAATTGAATTATGGTTTTGTGGAAATATCAAATGAAGGATCATAATCAGGGTGAATCTGAGATTCAAACACATGATCATCAGATCATCAGATCCTGGTACACCTTGTGGATGCAACTCATGGCACCTTTTTCGACAGGACCACCTGTGCTTACAGTAATAAAACCATATATATTTATATGTATCATTAATACATACAGCCTTTCAGAGAGATTAAACTAGGTGACTGGAACTACTGTGGCAACTATATAGGAATCGGCAACCTATAACTAGATTCAACCAGGCAAACAAATGGTTGGGAGAGTGAGTGAATAAGTATGGATTTCTATGTCTCTTAACAATAGTACAGCAATATCACATCTAGGAAACAATCCCTATATGGGGATTTCAGCAATATCATTGCAGGGGATGCCAGAAATAGGCTACACACTATACCTATGTGGGGTTTTAAACCCGGCCTTTGGTGTGATAGATGAATGCTTTCACCACGAGGCAAACCCACCACCCCAACATCGAAGCAGTGTGAGTGAGTGAGTGAGTGAGTATGGTTTTACTCCGCTTTTAGCAATATTCCAGCATTATCACAGTGGGGGACACCAGAAATGGGCTTCACACATTGTACCCGTGTCGGGAATCGAACCTGGGTCTTCGGCGTGACAAGTGAACGCTTTAACCACCAGGCTACCTGACCGCCCCTTCATCACAGGATCACCTTGGAGCTATTGTATTATGCACAGAAACACCGAACACAGGGAGAGACTGAAAATGTTGGAGGTGCAACAATATGATTAATATCTCCATACCAAGGTCATGACACAATACGATACATGTCTGAACACACCAGAATAACACCACAAATTCATGAACTGAAATTTCTGTTTATTTCAGATAGGTCGAGAAATGGTGTTTCCATGGTAACCAAGTAACAGTGAGGTCAATATGTCCCAAAACATTTGGATTGTTGGATGTGGACGGCTTCTCAAGCTCAGATTTAACCCATTTTGATGAGTTACCCTTTTGTTAATGTATTTCGATCATCATGTTTCATGATACAGGTCTGCATGTATCATATCGAAGACCATGTATTGCAGTGCAGCAGAGTTTTAATGCATCATTTCACACTTGGATAATAAACAGAAGAAACACTTCACTGAAGCCCTGAAAACACAATGCACATTCTGGTATTTAATTTTTCCAGCAGTTTGTCGAAAAACTTGTCACTTGAAATACTTCATTTTCAAAATATTTTTATAAATGGTCAGACTGTAACCACTATGTTATCTCAGTAGTAAGGTGATACAGGACATGAAAACTCAACATGCTGGAGAAATGTATCCATCATAAAAGGAAACTGATTGAAGCTAAACTAATACCTAGTTCTTAGATTTGATTCATTTCATTAAACAGCGGCTCGAGACCTCTGTGCATGCAAGCAGAGACTAGTACTATACAATTATTATTTATGTTATTACAATTTAAATGTCACCTCTAAATATTTTAAACTGTTTCAAAAAGTTTCAAAATCAAGTCAATTACGGTCTCTTTTACCCTACTATTGCCAACTGAGAACTTCCTTCCCCGATCATTGTCAACTGAGATTTTCCTTCCACGATCATTGTCAGCTGAGATTTTCCTTCCATGATCATTCCCAACTAAGAACGTTCTTCCCCAGTCATTGTCACTGAGGTCTTTCCATGGCTGAAATTAGATTTTTTTATCTAAGCATGTTAAGTTGGTGGATCCAACCCATTTTTTTTAAGCAAGTACCGGTATTTAAAAAAACAAACTAATCTAAGCTACCAATGTTGTTTTTAAGCGTGATTGAGTTTGCCCTTTGTATTGCTAAGTACAGACTTCCTGTAATCTTGTGAGATTCCACAACCCTGCTAAGTACAGAGGGATGAAATGTCCCCTTCTTCTTTCCTCACAACAACTGCATTGTTATTTATCCTTGTCAACAGCGCTCCTATCTTGTCCGGATCGAGTTCAGACTTAAAATACTTTTCTAGTTCCAAGTCCACCTCACGTACGTTCAGTTCTCTATCAACATGAAACACAATCCCAATAAACACGTCTTTGAAAGGTGCGTTGTCATTATCACAGATGCCATGTAACAGCAAAGATGCCGTTGGCGACAAGCCCTCAAGGTGATCAATAACGACAGATCGTCCAGTCTTAAAATTAGCCCTTATTTTATCATCAAGGTTTTCCTTCTGCACCCTTGCATCAAGATGATTCAAGAGCCTTGCGTCCATGTAGCCGTCATCTTGCACACTGCTTGTCAGATGGTTAAAAAGGGAGGCAACTCTTCGGGCCAGGCAGCTTGCAGCTGCATGTTGGTCTTTCTGCACAGCGAACAACACAACGGCGGGGTATTCAGGGTCAGTGGCATTGAGAATGTGTTTTACAGATGACTTAATGGTTTTCCATGTTCTCTTGTCCTGGGACTTGAAGGACATTCGAAGGTCATCAACCTTGGACACGAAGCCCTGAAAGCTGGGACTGCGTGTGAGTTGAAACCTACGGGATCCAGAGAAGAGGAATCCCGATAGAATTAGAACTACTAGACCCACGAGTCCGATCCAGGGATAGGGTGATGTTGGAACAGTCCTCTGATTCTTAGGTGGCCGGGGAGCTGAAACAAAACATGGAGACGATGTGAATTGACTAAATTATTTTCTATAAGAGGCTAAAAATCATAATAGTCTTTGTTCTCAGGTACCGCATGAGAACATCATCATAATGTTAGCTCCAGGTTTCGGTTATATTTCCATTTGAAAAAAAATTAAAAGCTGTATACTTAAAAACAATGGAATCCAATATTGCACACAGTTACTTCCCTTTACATGTGCTCTGCTTTACTGCGCATCTGGTGTTATGGTCATGGAGGCAGTCAGAATTTGTATGCTTCTTTATGCAGGGAGGCCATCTCCCAGGTTCATGGTACGCAACTGTTTATTTGGTTACATACTAGTTTGAACAAGCAAAAGAAAAACAAGAACCACTGCCCGCCAGCACTATACTGGGTACTTTCAAAAGGCATTGCCTGAGATCCAATTCTTTTAATTTTTTAAGCCATACTTAATAGTATTCCAGTTATATCACAGCTTGTCAGCGTAATTGTGGGGGGAAAGCCTGAAGTGATGCAGGTCTCAGACATTTACCACTTTGTTTTTTTTTGTCTGAAATAAACTTTGTCTAGATAAACTTCTTCTTCTACAATCACTTTGTGGAATTGGGAGGGTATAATATTCCAGCTCTTCATACATCGACAGATTTCATACCTGCAGGCCTTTGCTCATTCTGCATTGGAGACAAATCTGGGTACATTCTCTCATATCGCGATGAAGGGCTTCCACCAGACACATTCCCCCGAGGATTTGACCGTTGATGAGGTATGGGAGATGTGTCACTATCGGACGCATTCCCCCGACTGTTTGCCCATCGTTGAAGTTTGGGGGATGGAGTCACAGCTGCTGGAGAGGCTCTGGTAGTGGCATAGCTGCTGTCAACATCATCTTCTTGTGAGTCTGTGTACTCATCTTCATCTTCATCTTCAGCCTCGCTGTCATGTTCCCTGTATGATCGACTGCTGGTGTTGTGGGAGGTATTAGGGGTCGTTGCCCTCCGATTCCGATTGTTTAAAGATGGACTGTCTGCATCAGAACCCTTGGATGAATTTAAACTCCTGAGATTGTGACCACCCTTTATATTGCCTGGCATAGTGGAGGTCCTTGTTCTGAAATCAAACAGTCATTGCCATTTGCAGAAAACACATCTGTTATGATACTAACACTGGTCTGTTAGTCACAGACTACTAAAATCTATGAAAACCAGTTGAATTAATTATTGACTGGTCCACTGTTTTTGGTATGCTCACTTTGTATTACTTCTTGAATTGGAAACAGAAGTCTGTCAGAGCACATTCAGTAAATGAAACAACCCTGCATGGTATGATTTCATTCTTAATAAATATCATTTTTAATGTTTATGTTAAAACCACATGAGTGAGTGACTGAGTATGCTTTACGCCACTTTTAGCAATATTCCAGCAATATCACAACAGAGATCACCAGAAATGGGCTTCACACATTATACCCATGCGGGGAATCGAACCCTTGTCTTCGGTGTGATGAAGGAATGCTTTAACCACCAGGTTACCCCTTCGTCCAGAACCCCTTGAGATCAAACAGGGTGAGAGGATTTTCTACTCATTCAAATAATGCATGTTAATGCCCTGAATTACACTCATGTCAATAATCAGATCTCTCAAATCAATTATAAAGCCCTTCTCATCTTAAGTAGTTTTTTGCTCATGAACATAATGATACAATGTGTCTGTTGGATTGGTCTTAGTAATGCATCATTTAAATGACCAGTCCCTAAATAGTGTTAAAATGTACATTTTTTTCATATGAATAAAATAGAACTGAGCCTTTTCATGGCCCTGTATAGTTGGGATAGTTGTTGTTTGCTCATGAATATAATAATACAATGCAACTTTTTTTTGTCTTCTTAAGCTGCGTTCCAGCGTATCATATAGGAAATGATCATACACAGTGACGTGCTTACATTAATCTAATATTCCGCGATGCACGCATGCACTCGTTATCAGGAGAACCTGAACTACAACATGAACCGGTTTCGGTTTTGGGATTGGGAATATATATGGACAAGTCGGACATTTAGAGTACCATGTACGTTTTTGTATTTTGATTTTGGCTAGGGTATATTTCTGTGTACAGAAACGTAGCTGGAGTACGTTTCTGTAGTACCTGTGCCGACGACGACACCTTCCGCGTTATTATGTCATTCACCAACCTCTTCTGTTTTCATGACCCCCACTAATCTCACCACTACCCCTTAAATAAATGACCAGTCCCAAAGCTTAATGTTTCAAGGTGAGCTAAAATAAAACCATTAGTCATTATTCTTACATATTAATTTAAAACTAAAATATACACCTTCACTTCCAACACATCTTATTCTGGTGTCTGATTAAAATGGGATCTTGAGAATAATAACGATTGAACCAAGTTAATGTGGGCCCAGGCCGACGTACTCAGATTTTTAGTTTCACTTTCACTTTTCCTAAATTTAAGTTTGATTGACGTTGAACAGTCTGCAAAGACATTTCAGTTGCGTGTGAAACTATCCCTTTCCCCATTCTACACCTTCCTCAATGTTCTTACCTTATCGTTTTAAGTTAATAAGCCATGTGATTCCTACACAGCAAGATTCTGTGTTGGCAAGACGGTTCCCGGCTTTCTTTCAATCTCTGCGCTTTGCGACCCCAAGCGGAGAAATGCTCCTTAGAGTCTAAACAAATATTGCTGTTAAAAAGTAACAGCGCGCAACTTTGACTATAAGGTTATTATGTGATTATGATAAACGGGAAATGAATATACGTTTGGATCTGTTATATCTTTTGGGAAGTTGACATTTTTTGTCAATATTGTAAGCGATCAACGCAATGTTCTATATTTAGATCGAAGTTTGAGCTGAGCTCCGTCTCTACATATAACAACGTGACGCTACGCGGAGAGAGCTGAGAACCAGCCAGTTAAGATCAAACGACGTTTTAACAGCTCATCGTCATTTGGGGAAAACCCAGTGAAACAGAAGATTTTTACAAAGAGGAAGTTATGGAAATTTTCAGTTTTCATGTAATGTTAATACACTTTTAGTTTTCTAATCATCCGTTAGAATCTATCCTCCATCATTTGAAAGAGAATCTCAGGTTGGTCGATCGGCATCGCGAGAAATGCCATTGTGTTTCTGAAAATGATCATGCAATTAGTTTTATATACTTTTTTAATATGGCAGCCATATTGTCATTGACTACCTTATGAATCTTTTTGAAATTTGAAGTGCGGTTGTCAAGGAGTATCTATTCTTGTACAATATTCAACCCTAAGAAAGGATAAGAATTTATGGATGAACAACTTCTTTATTACAATCAGAGACCATATACCGATATGTCTCTGTTACAATTATTAAGAGCGACGTTTCGGTGTAGGTTCTTACACCGTTATCAAGCAAGTGATGCTTGATAACAGTGTTAGAACCTACACTGAAACGTCGCTCTTAATTGTAATAAAGAAGATGTTCATACATAAATTCTTATCCTTACTTAGTACTCCAACTTCTAAATGCCTATCAAAGAAAATATTCATCCCCATTCAATCACCTGACATATACTCCTATTAACATATTTATCTTCATTTGTGAAATCTAACATGGGTACAATTAAATGTGTGAAGCCCTTTTTCGTTGTCCCGTGCTGTAATATTGCTGGAATATTGCTAAAAGCAGTGTAAAACCATACTCACTCACAGATATGTGAAACAGCAATGACATCATAGCTGAAGATAGTTGACGTCATTCGACAAATTGTGGTTCCGCTGCTGTTGCAATTAACTTGCTATCCATACAGGTAAACACTAAAATACGTCCCTTTAAGTAGACATCTTTTTCGGTAATATATAGAGCATTATATGAGTGTTCATGTCATACCATGTTTACAACACTTGTGCCTAAATACCGGAATTTTGACACTTGTGTCGTAAACATAGTATGACACGAACACTCATATAATTTCCCCAATATATTGATGGTACCTGTCATGTGTGTATTCTTATACATGTTGATTATATTTGCAGATGCAGTGTTGTGTATTGTGAGTTCAAGAGACGATAATGAGTTGTGAGCAGATAAACAGCCACAGAGATCTGGAGGTGGGGGATCTGGTGGAGTTCAAGCGGGGGCTGTATTCTCACTGGGCTGTCTATATAGGTACGATGCTCTGAAATTGTAGTTTCTCAAAATACTTCATGTTTAATGATCATCTTTAATATTGTCATCAGTGCATTTCATTCACAGATTATCAATTTATTTTGGTGCTGGCAAATATGGCCCCATGATTCCACTTGCGTTACTTATTATAATCAGAGTAACATTCTAACAACACCGATACCAAGTCTAATTCATTATCTGGTTTCAAGATTTTGTTTTGTTTAATCTTTGATCTTCTTTAAGTGGTGGACAATTTGTTAAACTGTTTTCAAATTATTGTCATATGGATCTTCAAATTTTTCATCTTCTGCACACATAGAATGATAAAAGTTTACAAATCTCAGAGTGCAATCCTTATCATCCATCATCAAACCATTTTTTAACAACTTGTTACCATTGTTATCTTTCAATGTATACTCATGGGGAAAGGTGAAAATCGCACGTATTTGTAAAAATTCATGAAGCTATTATTGAATATTATTTATCATGTATCACATATAATTTGGGGCTGTTTTCATCTGTATTGGGTCATTTTTGCCAATGTTTTTGCTTGGGGCAGTTTTAACATGGGGCCATTTCAGCCATAATCCATCTATGTTCTGAGAAATATGTTGTATTTTTTCACTTTTTATGTTTATTCTCTTATGGTAAGGAAGTAATGGAAAACACAAATTGTTGTCCCCAATCTCAAATTATGTAAATACAGTGTAATCACTTAATCCACAGGATAATCAGGCCCATGGCATCATCTGCCTTGGTTACTGAGTGTAATTAAGGATCCTGATAAGAAAGTACATTCATTAGCAAGTTCTGTTGTCTTTTCTCACTATGCAAGGACCAACACATCATTACCTCATTAAAATTGTCTGTTGTTTTTTATTTAATGCAATGTTATCATTAGTGTATGTTTATGTATGTGTAAATATTAACAATTGTTGGATAATTTACAATTATAATAATAGGGTATATATGCAGCTTATGATTATAATAGGATCAGCCAGTAATTATGTAAATACAGTGTAATCACTTAATCCACAGGATAATCAGGCCCATGGCATTATCTACCGTGGTTACTGAATGTAATTAAGGATCCTGATAAGAAAGTACATTCATTAGCAAGTTCTGTTGTCTTTTCTCACTATGCAAGGGCCAACACAACATTACCTTGTTAAAGTTGTCTGTTGTTTTAATTTAATGCAATGTTATCATCAGTGTATGTTTATGTATGTGTAAAATTTAACAATTGTTTGATAATTTACAATTATAATAATAGGTATATATGCAGCTTATGATCATAATAGGATCAGACAGAAATTGTGTATTTTGAGTGTACAGTCTGCATCTTTGGCCACTTGTTCAAAACTTGAGACCCCTCACTAGCACACTTCAAGGTTTATGACACTTTCACAGACTGCAGTGTATCACAATCTCATTAAAATCAGATCTAAGTTCTCGCTGCTGCTAAACAAAGATCTGAGGACATCCAATTACGGGTCACGTCAGAATGACCTTTCGCGAATATCGCGACCACTGAAATGGCTAACAAGAAGTCGACATCAGCCAATTAGAAAGCAGCTTTCTTGAGCTTTACGGGACTCGTTTCAACCTGGCGGCTTCCATTTCAGACTACGCCTGAAAAATATTTTGACACGGTTCTCAATTCAAATTTTGAAAACTGAACAAACGAACAATCTGGAATCAGGGTTAGAAACTAACAGTTTTCTTCCACTAGTCCTTATAATAATAACATATAGCAAAACCCCTAAAAAGGGCAAATTTCTACTAGTCCTTATGATACCTTTACCATTGGGCAGTTTGGCAAGGACTACAGGACTAGTGCCAATTTCTAACGCTGCCAGAATGTATGGCTGAGATTGTATGGCAGTGCTTCCCACATACTGTGCAGTGCCTCCTCCTTTCAAATGTTTATCCCACGGAAGCGAGAGTTAGATGATAATTTTGACGGAATCAGTCAACTGTCATTCGGAATACCCCGTGTTAACGTTTTCGAGGTTGCATGATTGGAAGCAAATTGTGACTGTCACTTTCACGATCTGGTAAGCGACGCTTTGATTGGTCAGATGAAAGGTTCTGACGTGACCCGTAATGGGATGTCCTCAGATCTTTGTTTAGCGATAGCGAGAACCGAGATCTGATTTTAATGAGATTGGCATTGTATCATCAGACATGTAATAATCATGGTAAACCAACTTACTTATATTGATGCTTGTTTCCAGGAGGGGGAGAGGTCGTTCACCTCGCAGGGGAAGAAGATGATGGGCTAGCCAATGTTGGAGGAAGACATGTTTTCACTGTAAGCGGAACTACATTTAATAAGGCCTTGGTCCGCATCGACCTATTTGATGATGTTGCGGGTCTTGACAAGGTCTACAGAAACAACACGAAGGACAAGAGGTGGAGGTAAGATGACTGATGTGGTAGACATTTGTCATGTTAGAACCCTGGGTATGGTGCTAGGAACCCTGGGTAATGTGCTAGGAACCCTGGGTATGGCACTAGGAACCCTGGGTAATGTGCTAGGAACCCTGGGTAATGTGCTAGGAACCCTGGGTATGGTGCTAGGAACCCTGGGTATGGTGCTAGGAACCCTGGGTAATGTACTAGGAACCCTGGGTATGGTGCTAGGACCCCTGGGTAATGTACTAGGACCCCTGGGTATGGTGCTAGGAACCCTGGGTATGGCGCTAGGAACCCTGGGTCATGTGCTAGGAACCCTGGGTAATATGCTAGGAACCCTGGGTATGGCGCTAGGAACCCTGGGTAATGTACTAGGAACCCTGGGGATGGCGCTAGGAACCCTGGGTAATGTACTAGGAACCCTGGGTATGGTGCTAGGAACCCTGCGTATGGAGCTAGGAACCCTTGGAATGGCGCTAGGAACACTGGGTAATGTGTTAGGAACCCTGGGTAATGTACTAGGAACCCTGGGTATGGTGCTAGGATCATGATCAGGGCAAAACTCCTTGTCAAACTCATGCTATTTCCAGGTCAAGCCGCATAACCACTCATACCCTTCTCTTGGCCATGTTTATTAGGGCTGTTACGATTCACTTGCATATTTGGTGAATCAAACCATATCCATTCGTGAATTGAATTCGTTAATCGTGGACACAAGAATCGAATATTTATAAATATGCAATCATGTGCATTTACATACCCTGTACCTACAAATATCCATAAGACCATATTATATGCATAGATTTCTTCAAAAACAACACTCTTATAATATTTAATTTGACAGTATTGTGGTCACTGGTCATTGTTGCATTTAAGCAGATACTAGTACCTGGATAAGTGCAGTATATAAATATATAATATGTTAATAATTAACAAACCATGTCAAATAATTTATGTTATTTTTTCACTGAATATAACAAAAAATACATCAACTGCTGACGTGTTATTGTATTCGTGAATTAAAATTCGTATTCGTTACCCTATATTCGTAGTACGAATCGTATTCGCCTCATAGTGTATTTGTTGCAGCCCTAATGTTTACGACTGGTTCCGTCTACGTGCAAACGGGCAAAGTTAAAACAATTGTTTGATTAATGTATGTTTCCACCATATATCATATATATTCTAGATGCAGATTTAAAACACATCGGGACTTACGGTATTATACAGTATGGTTGAACACATTTAACTTTATCTTGGGTACATTTTTAGATGTAAGATATGTGAACAATAATAAATTGTATCTGAGGGTTGAAGTCATACCCTCATTCATCTTACAGGGCAAGGGAGGTAACTGACTAAGATTCCAGTTTCCACCATTGCAATACTAGGGTGGGATTTTGGAGTTATAATTTGGCTGGACTAACAAGTTTATGCATAGTCCTATCAAAATAGCGTAACAAAATCTACATCCGGTTCGTAAACTGCCGTGCACATTTTGGTCTATTACAGGATTTGCAAAGCATGTCTACCTCCAAATCTTTTCATGTTTTTTATCAAGGTGCTCACGTGATTTGATGCACTTTGCAAAGTAAGACACGTTTTTCACAATATAGATATTAATTCTCGATCACATCGTCTTGACTGGGCGCCTCCATTTTATTTGAAGCAAATGCAAGTGATATGAGAGGTGGAAAATAGGGATTAGATCATGGAATCTTTTCAGACATTTCGCTGCATATGAATACTTTCTTGAAAAGTAGCATAGTTTGCACAATCCCAAATTTGAGGAACATGACTTGAACAGGCTGAATATGGCCCAATGATACAGCTGCTGAATACAGCCAATGGTACAGCTGTTGAATACAGCCAATGATACATGTAGCTGAATATGACCCAATGATACAGCTGCTGATTATGGCCAAATGATACAACTGCTGAATATGGTCAAATGATACAGCTGTTGAATACAGCCAATGGTACAGCTGTTGAATACAGCCAATGATACATGTAGCTGAATATGACCCAATGATGCAGCTGCTGATTATGGCCAAATGATACAACTGCTAAATATGGTCAAATGATACAGCTGTTGAATACAGCCAATGGTACAGCTGTTGAATACAGCCAATGGTACAGCTGCTGAATACAGCCAATGATACAGCCGCTGAATACAGCCAATGGTACAGCTGTTGAATACAGCCAATGATACAGCTGCTGAATTTGACCCAATGATACAGCTGCTGAATACAGCCAATGGTACAGCTGTTGAATATAGCCAATGATACATGCAGCTGAATATGATCCAATGATACAGCTGCTGGATATGACCCAATGATACAGCTGCTGAATACAGCCAATGATACAGCTGCTGAATACAGCCAATGGTACAGCTGCTGAATACAGCCAATGATACACCTGCTGAATACAGCCAATGATACAGCTGCTGAATACAGCCAATGATACACCTGCTGAATACAGCCAATGGTACAGCTGCTGAATACAGCCAATGGTACAGCTGCTGAATACAGCCAATGGTACAGCTGCTGAATACAGCCAATGATACAGCTGCTGAATACAGCCAATGGTACAGCTGCTGAATACAGCCAATGGTACAGCTGCTGAATACAGCCAATGGTGCAGCGCCTGAATACAGCCAATGGTACAGCGCCTGAATACAGCCAATGATACAGCTGCTGAATACAGCCAATGATACACCTGCTGAATACAGCCAATGGTACAGCTGCTGAATACAGCCAATGATACAGCTGATGGATATGACCCAATGATACAGCTGCTGAATACAGCCAATGATACAACTGCTGAATACAGCCAATGGTACAGCTGCTGAATACAGCCAATGGTACAGCTGCTGAATACAGCCAATTGTCACAGCTGCAGAATACAGCCAATGATACAGCTCTGGAATACAACCAATGATACATGCAGCTGACACAATCTTGCTGTTGTTATAACAAGCAAACAATTATTATGGACATGCATTTGGTGACTCCTACAATTCTATTTTTCAGTCCATTCTCAGCATCCGAGATCGTAAGAAGAGCTCTGTCCAAACTTGGGCGTGTCGGCTACAACCTCATCTTCAGCAACTGTGAACATTTTGTGTCTTGGTGCAGATACGACATGGAACGGAGTGATCAGGTTTGTCAGCTCCAGTGTTTTTAGGGGTTGGTTATAGCAGATATTATCATAGATACTAAGGATGCATATTAACATAATCTTGTGCCAATCTGACAGAGATCATGATCTCATCATCCCAGATAAAATAGATAAAAAAAATCTGCAAGCAATGAAAACATATGCAACTGTGTGCTTTTATTAATGTAGGGGTGTATTTAACATGTAAGTTGGTTTACTGATATTATGATCCTGAAAGAATGAAAAGTGGGAACAAAATAATTAAAAAAAAGCACTATTTTTTAAAAACAAAGAAACTGCATAATGTTTTGGATTTTTCCCCATCTACCACTGCCAACTGGAATCTGTGCCAAAAAACAAATATGTGTCCTAATAATTATTTGAAATTATTTAATATAGTTCTCAAAAGAAGTTAAGGACCCCGATTCTTTCATATTACTAAAGTTCTCCGTCATACATGACAGATTAGCCTTTGTAATATGAAATAATTCTCAAGGGTATTGTGATACAAGTGTGTCGATCAATAAATTGACAAGATGCTTATGCTGTTTTACTAACTCTTACTGAAAGTTATTGGTCGCACACTGGTATCACAAGGTAAGGACCTTGTTCTGACCCAATTTGGGCTCACTAGATTCAAATACTACCAGAATAGCAGCAAAAATCAAAGACCCCATGATCTCCCCTCTGACAATAATTAAAAGATATGTACCGATACTGCTATTGGCAGCTGTCACAGAACACTGAGCTTGTGCCAGTGGGATGAAGAGTGAGTGAGTTGGGTTTAACGCCGCTTTTAACAGTATTCCAGTTATATTACGGCGTGTCAGCTTAATGTTGGAGGAAAGCCCGAAGTGATGCAGGTCTCAGATGTTTACCACTCCGTTGAAACCCATGAGCACAGGTATGGTGCTGACAAACCTAGAAACATAATCGGGGCGAACCAGGATTCGAACCCACAATCATAGGTTAGCGTGCCCAAGCGATGCAACTCTGCACAGGGAATAGCGACGCCTTAGACAACCCTGACCTCCCCACCCAGTGGGATGAAGAGTGATATTATTCACTGAAGTGCATCACCAAAGATGTTACAAAGACATGAGTATGGTTTCATGAAATGTAAGAGTTTTTACAAAAAGCGAATAAATAATTACCCATTCAAATGTTTATCCCACTAAAGCGTAAGATAGACGATTACGACAGAATCAGTTGTACAGCCCATAACTGTTGTTCGGAATACCCTCTGTCATTTTCCTGATCTGGTAAGCATTGCTCTGATTTCCTGGATAATAGGCTTTCTGACTTGGAATGGGATGTCCTCAGATCCTTATTTTAGATTTTTATATTGTGAGAACTAAGATCTGATTTTTATGAGATTGACAGCGTTCATAAGGGACATGCTATCCATAGGTAATACCTTGTAGCTGAAATATTGTTGACTACGAAATATCCTCTCTTGTACTTATGCTCATGTGGTCTTCAGCAACCCATGCTTGCCGTAAAAGGCGACTTTTCTTGTCGTAAAAGGCGACTAACGGGATTGGGTGTTCAGGCACGCTGACTTGGTTGATACATGTCATCTATCCCAATTACGTGGATTGATGCTCATGCTGTCAATCACTGTCTGGTCCAGACTCGATCATTTTACAGAACGCCGTCATATAGCTGGAATATTGCTGAGTGCGGCGTTAAACAACAAACAAAGAAACAAACTTATGTTCATGTTGTGTTTAGGTGGACAGTTTCAAGACTGGCTTCCTGGTCGGGTTAGCTGCAGTTGCCACAACGGCCCTTGTTGGCTTCCTCGGAGGAAGAAGTAAAACCAAGGAAGAGAAGGAGAAGGAGGAAGAGTCCTACTAGATGTGTAACATCCTCGTGTTTCCAGTGTATTTTGTCCTGCTGAAAGAGCATGTGTCAGGTCCCCGCCCATGTCATTTCAACCCCCTGTGTCCATTTTCCCCAGGCAAGGGAGTTAACTGACTATAACAGTCCAGTTTCCACCCTTGCCGATACCATTTCCAGTGAAAGAGGTCAGGATAACCGTATTCGACGTAATAACCGCCCACGGCGCTCTCAAAATAGGGGGCTCTTGTTAGTATATAATTTTGGTGGAAAAAAAACAGATTTGAAAGATAAATTTCGTGGTTTATGCTGACAGCCTGAAATGTTTATATACGACAGATATATTTTTCCAGAATTTAATTGCCCATAATTAAGGGTGCATATAACACACGAGTACGTATTACACGCGAATAAATAAGTCTTTTGTACATTGATCAATCGGAAGGGGTGCTAATTGGGATTGTTCACTAGCCAATATATTAGCAAATATGGCAGTGGACACTTATTAGATGGGGCACTTATTATGTCGAATACAGTAAAAAGTACATGGTATGATAAGGATCCTTTTGGGCTACAGTATCTGCATACTTTAAGAAATTGGCAAAATCTTAGAAATTGTTTTGAAAGTCATCTGAAGTGTACATATGAATGAGAACTAGACTTTGTTCATACCGACTCTTGCATGTTTGGGACTTAAAAGATGGTGTATAGCCAAGGCTAAAATGTTTTTAAAAAGATGATTTGAGAGGTTTTCAGGAAGCTTTTTTTGTAATATTTAAACATGAGTAAGTCTTTAGCCAATACTGATTTTCTTTGATCATTAAGACAGTACAAAAATGTGGTAAAAAATTCAATTTTGGTCACGACTTGATCAGAGCTAAAAGACTTTTTTGGGTTAAAAAAATCAACTTACACTTATTTTTACATTGATGTTTTTGGTGCAATGAAGAAACTAATTATCAGCCGAATTGTTTGATAGGCATTACTTAGAAGTTGACGGATGACAAAGTAGACACAATTTATGGGTAACAACTTCTTTAATAGTGTGATGGCGACATTTCGGTATAGATCCTTATACTGTTGTCAAGTATTGTGTCTACTTTGTAATTATCAGCCATTTTATTGTGTTGCATAATTTTTCAAAACATTTCCTCAACTTTAAATTTTGATATTTTAAGTGGGTCAAAAAGAACCCTATTTCTATCTCCTCCCATCCTTGAATAGCCAGGGTGCATTTCTACCATAACAAATACCCTGGACCCATGTTTTGAATTACACAACACTGAATATACTGGTAGTTAAATATTGGCGAGTGAGTGAGTGAGTGAGTGAGTGAGTATGGTTTTACGCCGCTTTTAGCAATATTCCAGCAATATCACGGCGGGGGACACCAGAAATGGGCTTCACACATTGTACCCATGTCGGGAATCGAACCCGGGTCTTCGGCGTGACGAGCGAACGCTTTAACCACTAGGCTACCCGACCGCCCTAAATATTGGCGAAGTATAGGTGACGTAATAACATCACAAATACTTGACTTGTGTTATTACATACAATTTCAAATACATCTGAGAAGGATTTCCCTCTGTGTTAATACTAAGAAAACATCTTTTCAGGCTGGAAATGTATCAATGGCCCGCTCTAACAAGGCTGCGGTTTTGAATTCAGATCAAAGTTTAGAAGAGTCATACTGAGCGATTGCTAAGTTCAAGCTCGTCAGCAACATCTTGTGCTAGGTTATCAGTAGGGGAGTTGGAGATAGTGACGTCACTTCAGTAACAAAGATTAGGTGGCATCCATGTGCAGGTTGTTAGTTCCCAGTTAGCTCAAAGTCCACCATTTGAGCTCAAATTAAGTCAGTTGTAACACAGGTGTTTTTTGGATCCATCTCCTGACCATAGTTTGTAGGAAAAATAATAAAACAATTTTGTTTTTATATATAGATTTATTTATTTTTATGTACAAAATTTATAATTGTTTTCAGATGCATAAAAACACATGACACTCGGGTACATATATTAAAAGTCAGGAACTCCATGGAGTCCAGTGTCAATGTCTACAAACTCTGTTCACAAGTTATCAAATCTGTTGTCAAGGAGACAGTATTTCTTCTTTCTAGACTTGGTCACGCCAGTTTCTTGGAGTTGAAGAAGTTCATAGGGGGATTGCTCATCCTTCAATACGCTCAGGACCCACTGGTAGAGATTTGGGTGGGGGTGACCTCAGCTAACTTCAGCTTCTTAGCTTTTGAGCTAACAAGCGTTCACCTGTCAGGAACAGACTATAATCCACCATCCCTAATCCCCTTAATCCTCCTGAATTTCATTTTTGAGTTAACAGGGAAGACCATGTACAGGTTTTGTATATCACAATGGAATATAACAATATGCTGGAATACCTTTCGCATTTGACAATTTCGCAATTTGATACTGTGTCCGTTGTCAGCTACATAAATCATCCATAAAGTTGAGCTTGTGGCTCAACTGTATATATTCATATAAATTGTCATATAAAACATGTTCACTTTATTCTGGGTATTTTCTATATGGATATGTAGCAAGATATGTTTTGTAACAAATTTCTCATCTTGAAGAGGTGGTGATTGTTTGTTGTATAAGTGACGATCTGAGGCAGCAGTGTTATAAAATTGTTGCACATATTTTCTGATATGTGATGGGGTTTTAAGATGGAAAAGCAATAATTTAGGACCTAATCTCATTTCACCTTTTATTTGATTAGTTTGAAATAAATGACAATGGTGACAGTGAAAATAAACAGATATAGCAAAAAATAATTTCCCCCAAATAAATCAGTACTTGCTGAAAACAAAAATAAATATGAAATGATATTATTATTATTTTAAATATTTGTACTTTTATTTTGTTCTGCCCAGTCTAATGGGAAAGTGAAAATATGTCTTTTAACATTTTCTATTTAGTTCCATGTTACAGATTGAATGTTTTAAACAGGAATCATCACTCTGTTCAAATGAGTACTTTTTGTACCGTTTTTACTTCATCAGTTCAGTTCTTTTGACTTGTAGCTGTCAGATATGTATATTTTAAAATCATTTACATATCAGTTACAATGTGCTGTTGATAATATAGACATAGATAATAATGTTATCCAAACATTTTTACTTATGTCTTTTATACTGTTGTTGCAATTTGGTATTAAAGAATCAGAAGGATAAACTGTTTGATTTATTTGTGTGATGATAATCATTCATTTTCTAAAACCGTAAGTTTTGTATTATTTGGTCTGTCACTACCAGGACAACTGTGAAGGTCTGGGTTAGAACTCGTCTTCAGCAATCCATGTTTGTCGCAAGAGGCGAGCGACTATGCTTGTCGTATGAGGCACTTAACAGGATCAGGTGCTCATGCTCCCTGAATTGGTTGATGCATGTCAAGTTGTGTAGATTGATGCTCATGATATCAATCACTGGATTGTCTGGGTCAGGCTCGATTATTTACAGACCAACATCATATAGCTGGAGTATTGCCAAGTGCAGCATTAAACAACAAACAAACACTAATAGAACAAACAAAGATCGCTCAATAGTATTAATGGCCATTTCATTCATTATTTATTCATTTAATAACAGTGTGTCTTTGACTATACCATACATTTCTGAACAATTGTGTACTATGAATGCCTGTGCCAGTTTGCAAGTTTCTCTCATGAAATGGTCGATCAGTAAGCGATGTCTTAACTTGATTTGTCTTTTATACAAAAATATGTATTATTTTTTTCATGGGAAAAGACCACCTTTTAATGTGATGATGATTATGATGATGGTACGTGAAGATATTGTTGTTGAAAGGGCTCTTCTAAATGGTCTCCTTTGCCTTACCACCTGTGAAGATCTTCTGCAGCCCATGCTTGCCGTAAAAGCCGACTATTCTTTTCGTAAGAGGGATCGGGTGGTCAGGCTCGCTGACTTGGTTGATGCAAATCATCGATAATTGCGTGGATCGATGCTCATGATCTTAATCACTGTATTGTCTGGTCCAGACTCGATTATTGACAGACCGCCGTCATATACCTGGAATATTGCCGAGTGTGGCGTTAAACAACAAACCAACAACCAACCTTTGCCTTACACATCAGGTTCAATCACCGTAGCATTTATCAGACTAAACAACTGTTCAACAGGTACTTTTTTGCCTTGGATTTAGACAAATCCCTTCAAGCTGGGGATTCATCATGTTATCACTGCATGTCTTTCAAATCCATGCCTGCTCAGGTCTATTCACAGTCAAGCAGTCCTCCGTCTGTGCCTATTGGTGTCAACTTTGCAGCAGACGTCATGAAGTGCTATTTACTTTCTTTTTCACAGCCCAAACACCCTAAATCTATCAAGGCAGGATATTGTTATATCGAAGTGGAACAATATATTCCAAATCCACTTCGGTGTTTCAAATGCCAAAAGTTTGGCCATGGTGCCCAGTCTTGTAGAAATCACGTGACAGGCTTTCGATGTGGTGCAGCTGCCCACGGTACGGATTGCTTGACATCTCCAAAATGTGTCAATTGCTTTGGAGAGCATATGTCTTCATGGAAGTCCTGTCCCATCTGGAAGAATGAATATGAGATTGTCAAACTCAAACTTCAAAGAAATATCACATACCATGAAGCAAAACTTGTATTAAAAGCAACCTCCCCACCAACAACCGGTATGCCATACTCTGCAGTTGTTTCACGCCCTTTAACCAAATCAGTAAAATCTGTTCCATGTCAGACCGATATCACCTGGGGAAATACAGAGACCTTTTCAGTCATCACACCAAATTTCAATGTAGAGAAAAGTGTATCATCAGAATCACAGACTGATCCAGCACCAAGAGTGTCATCTCCAAAAGTAAAAAATGCCAGTCAGAAAGTTGATTACTCGAAACAATCTGATCGAGTCCCCAAGGGTTTACATGACCCTGTGCAGCTATATAATAAATTCCAGTTAATGGAAGACATGGATGTTTCCCGTCATCCCTGTGGGCGCAAAAGAAGTAAGTCGCCTCGGTCAGGGAAAAGTAGATCCCCTGTACTTCCATCTCCTATAATATGAATAATACAGACTCACTAATTCAGTGGAATTGCAGAGGTCTAAGGACCAATCTTACTGAAATTCAATCATTGGTACAATAGCAATTTGTCTTCAGGAGACGTATCTCAAACAATCAAATACATTGGACTTCCATCAGTACAGTTCATATCATTCATTTTCTCCTCGGGGTGTTAAAGCCACTGGAGGATCTTCCATCCCATCTTCCCGAGGCAAGAGAGTTAACTGACTATAAAAGTCCAGTTTCCACCCTTGCCGAACTAGACTGGGATTATGGAGTTATATTTTGGCTGGGCTAACGAGTCTATGCATAGTCCAATCAAAATCGCGCACCGAAATCGAAATCCGATTTGTAAAATGTCGTGCAGATTTCTGTCGATTGCAGGATTTGCAAAGCATGTGCACCGCCAACTCGTTGTCAATAGATATTTTCCAAATCTTTCCATGTTTTTAATCAAGGTGCTCACGTGATTTTATGCACATTGCTATCTAAGACCCGTTTTATCACAATATAGATCTTGATTATCAATCAGATCGTTTTGACTGGGCGCCACCATTTTGTTTGAAACAAATGCAAGTGACACGATAGGTGGAATCTGATTGGTCCATAGGAGAGGCTTAGAAGGAACATAACTCGTAATAACCACTGGTGGCGCTACGGTCGAGCCCAGGAATTCCAGCCTAGTTCGACAAGGGTGGAAACTGGACTTTTATAGTCAGTTAACTCCCTGGCCTCGGGAAGATGCTTCCATCCTGGTGCGACAGGATGTGATTCACAGTCCTGTGTCCCTTAATACCAATCCCCAAGCTATTGCAGTCCGACTCACTTTGCACGTTGCATCATTCTGTGCTCTCTATATATTAATCCTACCTCTACTCTTCAGAGTTCTGGTATACAATCCCCATATGGCCAGCTTCCTAAGCCGTGTATCATGATGGGTGATTTAAATGGTAATGATCCCTTATAGGGAAGCAACAATATTAATTCTAAAGGGAAGCTCCTTGAGGAATTTATTTCCAATAATAACATGTATTTTCAATGATGGTTCAAATACATATTTACATCCTGCTACTGGGACGTATTCTGCGTTAGATCTGTCACTATCAGATTCTAACTTGTTAAATGAATTTATTTGGTCGGTTCATGACGATTTGTGTGGAAGCGACCATTTCCCTACAATTCTAAAAACTAATAACCCATCGGACGTTCCGCCCTCATCACGGTGGAATTTTAATAAAGCCAACTGGTCTTTGTTTCAAAACCTATGTACTGACAAGTTAACAAGTGACATTTTCGAGAATGCTCCTGATCCTATTAAGTTGTTCTCGGATCAACTGAATGCAATTGCTGATGAAACGATACCAAAGTCCTCTGCAAATCCACACATACGAAAACCATGGTTTGATAACACATGCAAACAAGCTAGAAAGATAAGGAAAAAGGCAGAAAAAATATTTTCGCCGAAACCCTACTGTTCATAACTTGAATCATGTTAAAATTACAAATGCTAAAGCACGACGAACTTTTAAACAGAATAAACGTAATAGCCTTTCCAAAGTTTTAAATGACTCAATTGATGGGTCACTTTTTGTGGATGACTTCAATGTTTCATGTCGCGAAAAAAATATGCGTACTATAGAAAGACAACTACATTTATGTCTTACTAAAAATCAGAAATGGTCACTTGAAAATGGCTTTAAATTTTCAAAAGCCAAGATCAACTGTATTCATTTTTGCAGGAAGTACAAGTACCATAAAGATCCCGAACTATTTTTAGATGGCAATCCTATCAAAGTTGTTGAGGAAGCCAAGTTCCTGGGACTTGTTTTTGATCGGCATTTGACTTTTCGGCCACATATCAAATATCTGAAGGCTAAATGCCTGAGGGCTCTGGACTTGCTGAAAGTCGTTGCAAATTCAAAGTGGGGTGGAGATAAGAAAACCTTCCTTCACTTGTATAGATCCTTGATCCGATCTAAATTGGATTATGGTTCCATTGTTTATGGTGGTGCTTGCAGAAGTAATTTAGAGAAATTAGATTCAGTACACCATCAGGGATTAAGGCTCTGTCTTGGCGCATTTAGAACATCTCCAATTGATAGCCTATATGTGGAAGCTGATGAACCTTCTTTACAGCAGCATCGTATCAAGTTATCCCTTCAGTATGTTACTAAATTATACTCCAACCCATTAAACCCTGCCTACACCTGTGTTTTCAAACCTCCTTATGAAGAGTTGTTTCAAAGCAAATCTAAGCTTATTCCACCACTGGGAATACGGATTAAACCCGACATTAAAGCTGCTAATATAAACTTAGATCTTATTTCTCCTTATAGGCTTTTGCCTTCTCCTCCCTGGCAAATAGTCCGGCCGGAAGTAGATCTTTCTCCTACTCACTATAAAAAATCTGACACAAATTAATTGGTTTTTCAACAGGAATATCTACAAATGAGAGCAAAATATGAATCACATCACTCAATATTTACCGATGGATCCAAGGACGCTGACAAAGTAGCAACTGCCACTGTCGTTGGATCAAAAAATATATCTTTCCGAATACCAGACTGTAGCTCAATTTTCACTGCTGAAGCAAAGGCTATTCTGACTGCCTTGGAATACGCTCAACATCAGTCAAGATGTAAACAATTTGTCATCTTTTCAGATTCCCTGTCATGCCTTCAGGCACTAAAACATGTATCTTCCGCTCATCCATGTCTTCTTGACATTTTAGAGTTGTATAATGATCTTTCTACTGGCCAATACGACATCGTTTTTTGTTGGTTACCGAGTCATGTCAGCATAACCGGAAACACAAAAGCTGATGCTGCAGCTAAATCTGTCTCCCACCTTCTGATACTGTATTCTGATTATAAACCCTATATCAGCAATTATATCAGGCAGTTAATGCAGACAAGGTGGAATACCCAGTTAGGTGCAAACAAACTTCACCAGATAAAACCAACTATAGGCTATACTTTCTTGGGTTGCCAGTCAAGGCATGATGAAGTTATTCTGCAATGATGTCGCATTGGCCACAGTCGTTATACTCACGAGTATTTATTGAAAGGTGAAGATCCTCTATTTTGCATCCCTTGTGATGAGAGAATCACTGTCAAGCACGTTTTACTTGATTGTGTAGAGTTTTCTCTCACAAGGGATACTTTTTATCAAGTTTCAAATTTAAGGGATCTTTTTATCAAAGCCAATTCTCATTTAATTATACATTTTTTTTAAGAAATAGATCTGATAAGTAGCTTTTGAGTAAATGTGTTTTAAACTTAGTTAGATGCAATTGATAACTTATATTATTCTGGTTGTGGCATTTTATGGGGTTGAAGTACAGTAAAATTATTGTCCCCTTATAGTGACACATAAATCCGCATAATATTTAGTACATTGCAGAGAACTAGAATTTTAATACATTTCATATTTTGAATTGAATGTGTCTTAATTTATGGCTAGTATTGTCTACACCTACCAGTGACTAGAGTTATGACTTAAATCCTGTTGGGGATTCATGCAGGTAGCTAAAGTAAGGTAAGTCCCCATGGTCCCCAATAAGGTGGTATGGCTTTAGTTACTTGTGGTATATAGCTCGTTATTTAAAAATATAAAATGTAAAGTTGATGTATATATGTTTGTTAGAGGTTTTAGTGTTGAATCTGATGGTTTTTAGATTTCAATCTGTGATATCATGCTAATGTTGTACTGTCCTTTGTGACAGATATTTCTCTTTCAATTTGTTCTCGTCACTATATGGCTGAGATACTGCCGATGTGACGTAGAACTTTAACTCACTCACTCACTCTTACCAATTACTTCTTCCAGTAATTTCAAGGTACTGGCGTCGTTCAAGAAAGTTTCCGGCAGACATGTCACATGTCCCTTGATTCTAAGCAACGAATGATCTGGAACGTTGCTACTACCAGTCTGATCTGTACAGTTTATAACATCAGACATTAAATGCACGTTAAAGTCAGATACATCAGTCATCTGCTCCTGTGGCACAATGAAATAATCCACAACCGCTCTGCCTCTGTGAGATAGTGAAGTATAGTTGTTATGTTCCACAATACCGTCAGACACACATATTGCAGTCATTAAGGAAGTTCAATAACAAGTATCCTGCTGCATTTGTACATTCATCCAAGTTATCTCTGGGCTTAACATAATAAACCCCTTCTATAAAATCTGACTCTCCTCCAATTCGTGCTTTAAAATCTCCATCCAAAACTACTTTACCCAAATTCTGGTATTCATATATCTGTTATCAGTGTAGCAAATAAACCTTCCTGGTCACATGATCTTGTCGAGCCAATGGGAGGAAGATATGCCACTCCTACACATCAACTATCGTCTGCTTCTCCACTGTCTACAACAGCCAGATAACACCTTCATGACCATTGTCCAAAACCTCGACCTTATAGTTCTTTGTGATATACTTCTTTACAAATATTCCCACCCACCCCTGACCCTCGCCTTGCGTTTGAATGTAAACTGGTCCTGTTATTTCCAAACCAATCAAAGTTTCTGAATCTATAATGTACTCGTCGCCACGTAATCTACACGCAATCTCAGCGCAATCTGAGGTAGCGCGTTGTATATATTTTTAGCCATAGTTGGGCGTAACCACGATCAAGGATTCTCCGTTTCAGCATACCGCTACATTTCACGCGCATAATAGGTGTGAACGGATAGAGGGAAAGCATAACAAATATTCTTCTCAGGGAGAAAGGTAAGTGACGACAATCTAGTCTATATAGGCGCGGTACATGCGTTGTAAATGATTGGGTTAATATTGATGTGAGCAGAGATTCAGTTTGGGTAATGTGGGATGTAAGCCTGAAGAGACGATAGGCGCACAAGTATGCGAATAGCTGACAAACCAAGGATTCTAATCCCTGTTTCACTGAATACATCTTACTACTGCGGCCTTAATGTCAGTGTGGTGTTGTGTATCTCAAACTGCTTGTTTATCCTTGCAAACATCACATCGTTCACTTTCACTTGAACAAACTTGAATTTTTTTCATAGCTTTTTCATTTCCTAGTACATGTTATTTAACAGGTTCACGCTCATATACAAATAGTGATGCGAAATCGTCGTCATGTACTGTTAATTTACGGCTTCGGCGAATGTTACTATTTTTATACTCACACGCAAAAGAAACGCAAGTGGTTTTAAGCAAATAGGTAACAAACACGGAACCATACGAGTTTTAGGATGTAGTGAAGCCTGATGGTGTTATCAATATTTTTGGTTGCATTTTGGAAGCCCCGAGTAAAAACGCAACATAAATTACGAATAGTCAAAACGCACCATTTCAATGAATATGTGGGTATCATGCACCCGTTTCTCGCGAAATCGAAAATTCACGAACTGTAGTGGGTATAAAACTGTGGCCGATTCTTGGACCTACCACTCCTTGTTCAACAATGCCACGCCTAACTCAAATTCAGAGAAACCAGGCTATCGGACGTTTGGAAGCTTGAAAGTCTGTCCATGATGTTGCCCGTCATTTCAACGTAAACATAACCACAATTTACCGTCTCCTGCATCGATACAATGCTACACAGACCACAGATGACCTTCCTCGGAGCGGTCGTCTTAGGGTCACCACACCTCGACAAGATCGGCAGATTACCCGTCAACACCAGCGACATCCGTTCCTAACTGCAAGTGAAAGTGCTCGACAGACAATAGGAACACTTAATCGACACATTAGCCGGGACACTGTGATCCGACGTCTCCGTTCCAACAACCTCAGATGTCGCCGACCAGCACGTCGTCCTGTTCTCCAACCACGGCATCGACAAGCACGACTTCAGTGGGCATAGGGTCATCACAATTGGCGTCATCGTGAGTGGAGGCGTGTCATCTTCTCTGATGAAAGTCGCTTTTGTGTCTCCCATGCACTGACAGAAACGTTGTGGAAAGGGATCCATGGGGTGGACCCAGCGTCATGATATGGGCAGGGATTGGACTTAATGCGAGACTTGGACCCATACGCTTTCTGAATGTTGGTCAAGGTCGGGGACACGGCGTCACTGCTCAGCGGTATATAGACCAAGTGTTCAGACCCCACGTTGTTCCATTTTTTGCACAACATCAGCAACACATTTTCCAGCAGGACAGCGCTCGTCCCCATGTTGCCAGAGCTACCATGGCCTTTCTGCCACAACGCAACATCCGTGTTCTACCGTAGCCCATCGAACACCAGTGGGATGAGGTTCAAAGGCGTCTGCACAATGTGCGCCCAGTCCCTACAACTGCCGATGAACTACGCACAGCTGCTCTGGATGTTTGCAGGAGGATCCCTAGGGCCTTCACAAATCATCTGATCCACTCAATGTACAGAAGATGTGGGGCAGTGATCAATGCTAATGGTGGTCACAACAGGTATTGACTAACATTTTGGGTATTGACCCGAAACTGTGTAAGCCCTTAACATTTGAAAAACAACAACAACTATGTCATCTGCCTTTTGATCAAGTAAACTGTCTTCAGTCAAATTTTTGTCAATCTTGCCCATTAGTATTTCTTGTCTTTACTGTTGAAAATAAATAACATGTATACTGCATACTCGACTTGCGTTTCTTTTGCAGGTGAGTATAGATTACACCGATAAAGAGTAAACTCAAGCGTTTCGTGTTAACAGGTTTGAAACTTTTGACAAAATATTTAACGTACTTAAAGATAAGTAGTTTTGGCACAGATGTATTAACAATTTCACGATATCCTTTAATATGCACTCTGTTCGAACTTGTGAACATTATTGCCATTAGAACGTTAGTTTGAGTGAATCGTAGCTATGTACTTTATGTAAATTTTAAGGCGTGTGTCATTCCCACTTTATCTTATAAGCACTATTTGGCAAGCAATAAGTTTCGTTTGTGCTATGTTGTTATTTGACTTTGTAATAGTCTCGCCGAAGTCTGTTCATTGATATTATGGGACCGACCATTTCATTGTCGTAGGGCGGATGGTTGCCCACTTCAATAAATTATTTTCTTTGTGTTGGCATACAGGTCAATGGGATGATAACAAGAAAAGAAATCATATCCTTTATTTTCCTTTTTGTGTTTAGAAAAAAATCACTTTTGGAGACTTCAACAACTGCATAGTTAAAGAGTAAAGAGAAATGTCGTCCCTTGAGGTCCAGCGCCACAACCAGACAGTACTTGAAAGCTTGGAACCAGGCGATCAGGTGGAATTCATTCGAGGAGTGTACTCGCACTGGGCAGTATACGTTGGTAAGTGTACTGTAACAAAATATTACTGCACCTTCTTGTGTTTGTTTGCTTGTTTGTTGTTTAATGCTGCACTGAGCATATTCTAGGTTCACTTTATATGACGGTGGCCTATACATACACGATTATTGATCAGACAATCCAGTGATTCATTTTATGTTTTTGTTTGTTTGCTGTTTGACATCACAATCAGCAATACCCCAGCTACGAAAAGGAGGTCTGTAAATAATCACGTCTGGTTCAGACAATCCAGTGTTTGACATTATGAACATCGATCCATGCAATTCCGGGGGATTCCGGATAAGAATATAGGTCCGAAGCAACCTATGATAGTAGTAGCCGGCCTCGTGATGAACGGCAAATGAGAACCGAAGTTAAACCAAAAGGTTTTAATCAAAGTAAATCGCCCGTCTTTGTAGATAGGATAGATATATCTAAAGTGAATCTCCTTTGTGAGCTGATAAGGATGACCTAGCTGCTGTTGTCAGTCAGGTAGCCATTGAACTGTGCAACAATACAACTGAAGGGCAACAATACCACTCGTAGTACAAAGCACAGGCGTGATCATAAGCCTTAGTTTGGCAATGTCTGTAAACAAACTCGGAAAAGGTTTTTCAAGGAAAAAAATATTTGTATAAAGAATAAGCCTAATTACAAAAGAAGCATTTATCGTAAAACAAGTAAAGAGTATAAATGAACAATGAATAAATACATTCGAAAACATGGATTAAAATTTTAAAACCAACTCAGAGAAAACCTGAAAAGAATACTGGATGTTACTCAATAACAAAGTATGTGAACAAAATAGGAAGGTCCATTTAAGCACATTCAACAAATATCTTAAGAAGATTAACAGCAATTGTGAGGAAACGTACGAGGGCGTGTTCCCCGATGAAGAAGACGTCCCAGATTTTAAAGATGAGTTTTTGAATAATGACAGAGACGGAAATACTGACAGCCATTAAGGGATAAAAAACGAAAAGGTCTTCTGGATTAGATCGTATTACAAATTAATATACATTTTCTTCAGCTTAAAAATTATTCCCATTCTATTCTGAATATTTTAACTTTATTTTTACCACTGGCATATTACCTGATATTTGGCTAAGTGGAACAACTAGACCTATTTACAACAAAAGGGCGACTGCACTGAGCCCAGCATCTTCCCGAGGCAAGGGAGTTAACTGACTTTAAAAGTCCAGTTGCCACCCTTGCCGAACTAGGCTTGAATTCCTGGGCTCGATCGCAGCGCCACCAGTGGTTACTACGAGATGTCCCTTCTAAGCCTCTCCTGTGGACCAATCAGATTCCATCACTTGCATTTGTTTCAACAAAATGGCGGCGCCCAATCAAGACGATCTGATCGATAATCAAGATCTATATTGTGACAAAACGGGTCTTACATCGCGAAGTGCATCAAATCACGCGAGCACCTTGATTAAAAACATGAAAAGGTTTGGAAAATATCTGTTGACAACGAGTTGGCGGTGCACATGCTTTGCAAATCCTGCAATCGACCGAAATCTGCACGACAGTTTACGAACCGGATTTCGTTTTCTTTGCGCGATTCTGATTGGAACATGCACTGACTCGTTAGTCCAGCCAAAATATTGCTCCATAATACCAGCCTAGTCCGGCAAGGGTGGAAACTGTACTTTTACAGTCAGTTAACTCTCTTGTCTCGAGAAGATGTGAGCCCAGCTCATACAGGCCAATTTCAATTCTTAGTTGCCTAGGGAATTTTTTTACAAGTATAATGCACAATAGATATTACCGGATTTATGGAAGAATATAATATGATATCTCATATACAGGCTTGATTTCGAAAAAGGATTCTCTTCAATAGATAATTGATGATTCTGTGAACTTTACTCCAATTTCAAAAGTAAAAGTCGAAGAAACTTGATTATTGATTTTTCTAAGGCGTTCGACAAAATATGGAGATTGGGGCTTCGGACTAAAATGCTTAGACACGGTGTTAAAGGTCAAATACACTCTTCAAGAAAAAGAAAGGCACATGTAGTATGTAGTTCATTGAACCTGACGACACAAAAAATTCGGTACATAAATTGCATATATGTTATTGGAAAATGTTGGTGACCTGGTATATTTTTGAAGAGTGTAAATAATCTGATCACAAATATGTACTGTAACATTAATGTACTGTGTGATGATAAGCGGTAATGTGTCGTACTTTGTACCTTGCTTTACTGCCGTTATACAATGATAAAACCTGTACAGTACTGTAACGACTAGAAACTATATGTTAATATAGAAAAAAAACACAGTCATAGTCATCTCTGGGTCAAGGCCAGGTGTGAAGACAAATTTAACTTTTGTCAGTATCGGATAGACATAATTGACAGCTAATTATTTAGGTATCCCTTTACACCGAAATAGAAAAATGAATACATCTGTTAAATATATTGCTGAAAGTGACGTGAAAGCTACAATGAGCCTATTTAAACGTGCGAGAAATTCACATTTACCGCTAAATTGCCTTACCGAAACATTTGATACAATTGTTGTCCCTACTTTAGTCTATGGTTTCAAAGGCTTAATGATATCAAAAGTAACTGATAACTGTGGTCTAACGTACATGTTTGATTCCCCTTATAATAACAAAGCCTACATTTTATTTCAACTTGAGAAAACGAGCTATTTGAATCGATAAATAGTACTTCGATTGGCCAAATATCTTTAAGTTCGCTAAACTAATGAACACCAAACGCATATCGTATCAGGGACAATGAGCTAACACCCTAACGGGGATTCCGGGTGAGATCCCCATCAATCGACGTCAGTGTTTGTAACCAGAGGCAAATTAATCCATCGAGTGAGCAGGATCGGTGCCTTGTTCGATTGCATGTCACGTCCCGAGCCTTCGATCCGATTCATTTGAAACACTGGTTGCCGGGCATCCCTATGGGAGGCAAAGTGTCGTGAAGATATTTTTGGGCACCGCTGTATACCTTTGTTTAAATATAACAATCCCAATCCCTGAACCATCACATTTCTGCTGACCCATGCTTGTCGTAAGGGGCGACTTGGTTGATGCATGTAATCGTATCCCAATTGTGTGGTTCGATGCTCATGATGTCAAACACTGGAAAGTCTGGTCCCGACTCTATTATTTACAGACCGCCGTTATATAGCTTGAATGTTGCTGAGTTCAGCGTTAAACAACCAAACCAAACAAAACAACAAAGCATATATATTTAACGGTAATAGTGGACACTTTTATTCAGGTGACAATGAAGTCGTGCACTTGTCTGGAGACGATGATGGAAGGGGAAGTAATATGGGTCACTCATTCACAATAAGTGGAGTAGAGTTTGGCAAAGCAACTGTTCGCAGAGATAACTTCTGGGATGTTGTTATGAACTGCATGGTGCACAAAAACAACTCAAAGGACGAGAAACTGGAGTAAGTTTCGTTTGAATAACGCTGTAAGACAGCGGCATATGTATAATCGAATTGGCACCAGACACACCAGTGAGTGTTATGTAAATGCTACCTCAATATCGGTTGCCATGAAAACGTTTTATTTGAAATTATAGACAGTAGCTATTGCAAATTGTTGTCGCTCTTTTCATCTTCTCCATTATTGATTGCCAAGGAATTAATGTCAAATTGTCACATGGTTGTTTCATGTATAATAATATATTTTATTTACAGACTCTTTAAACCATCTGAGATAGTAAGAAGAGCACTGTCCAAAATTGGAGAGGTTGGGTACAACTTGATCTATAAGAACTGTGAACATTTTGCCTCATGGTGCCGGTACGACAAAGAGCAAAGCGATCAGGTCTGTTCCTTTGCCAAGTTCATTTGTCTTTCACCAAGTCGGCGAGTCTGATTAACCAATCCTGTTAGTCGTCTTTTACGCCAAACATGGGTTACTGAAGACCTATTCTAACCCAAGTCAGGAAGGTATTATAATCATTGCAAGCGTCCATGCTGCATCTTGGTATAACGTCGGCACCGGAAAATAATGAGCCTCGATTACATGGCGAAATAGCTTCCATAGGGCGTAAAAGTAAAAAAAAGTAGGGAAAATTATATAAGTGGATCACTGAAAATCAGGCATGACACCAGGTGTTCGCGAAAAGGGTGAGCATGTCCTTCTTTACCGGTAGCATCCGCCACTCGCATAATTTGCAGGAAGAGTAAGTATTTGTTGCCTGACGCCGTACAGCAGTACTCCGGCCATAGGACATCTACTTGTAAAATGATATGTTATGTTAGGGACATGTTTTGTTTCACCATAATAACATTTTAGCAAATATCTTAGACAAACAAGATTTTACTTTTGGCCCCGCAACACTTTATTTTTCAGAACAGCTGTAACCGGGGGTGTTTATGAATAACACAGGTCGTTAATTGTCGTGAGGATTTATTATCAGAACACACAATCGCCCTGAAACATATTAAATGTAAAGATATATATACACGTAAATATATATGTATGTTAATATACACAAACACAGATATATAAGAGCACATCACATTATATTCATTCACATCGTCACACCGACGACATCATAGAAATAGATAGAACTCTTGCTTTCAACAAATACATTGAAGGATGTGTTATAACTTACAATAACTATATATACATTTGTATCCCTATACATGTGTAATAATATGATAAATACAATTAATTAATTTCATTAATACACAAGAAAACACAAGCATACCCTGTAGGTGAAACTGGGGCGGGAACTGTGTTCACCAACGCAATGTGACAGGACTTATGGTGCCTGCATCTAAATACAAATACAAAGACAAATATACTTACTTAGGTAAAACGGATTACCGTAGAAAACATGAATTATGTGTTACACATAACATACCAATGAATGCTTTACATTATACATAAATAACATTGTCATAAGCAAACACATACATCATAAATACATACCCACTCGCTCATTCATTCTCAAATGAAACATTTAGGAAAGGTGAAGATATACAGTGCTAACCTAGTTAAAACATTTACA